AATATAAGTATTAAAGAGATTAAAGAAGTCTTGCAATAGGTTAATTTAAGAAAGATTAAATTAATCTATAAGCTATATATATAATTATTGGCCAATATAATTAATATAAGGGAGGATATATCTATAAAAGAAGCCAGAGGAATATTAAAAATAGTTAAAAATATAAAGTTGGCGGTAGTAAAGCAATAAAAGAAGGGACTATTTAAAATAATAATTTATCCTTATAAAAGTTTATTTAAAAAAATCAAATAGTTTATAAATAAAACCTTTAAAAATAAATAGGTAATAAAACCTCTTAGTAGAGCTTTAAGAATTAATATAAAGCCCTTCTTTTCTGCAGTAAACCTAGAAGACCTCTTTATTAAGAAAGAAACTAGGTATTTAAAAAATATATAGAATATTAGAACTATATAGTTTAAAAATAATATAAAGGCTAAGCAGATATTAAATATACCTAGCAATAGCTAGATTAAAAGAAGGATAAAGAGTCCTATTTTAAGAAGTCTTAAAAGTATAGAAGATAGAAATAATATAGAAATTAAAGAATCCTTATTTAAAGACTTTCTCCCTAAGAAATCCCTAGTATTAGGAATAGTTTAACTATTCAGAAATCTTAGGTTAATTAATATAAATATTTCTAGTAATATATCTAGCAGCTTATACTATAAAGCCTAAGATAACCTATATAAAGCTAAAAAATATCCTAAATCTAAATATAAAGACAGAAAATATTTTAACCTAAATAAAGAAGACTTTATCTTAAATAAGATATAGGACTAATATATCTAATTAAATATTGTAATAAAAAAGGACTTTAATTATTAAGAAGTAAATAGGGTTTTCTAAATTATACTCTTTAAAAAGAAATTAATAAAAGAGATATTATAATATACTACTATAGAAGTAAAAGTAGCCTTTTATTATAAAAAAAAGAATAAAAAATTAATAAGGCTTAAAAATTTATCTAGAAGTATTTTCTAAAAAGTTATTATATAAGATATCTAGATCTATTTAATCTAGTTAGCGCTATATAGTTATAGTAAATATAGGCTATAAGTCTGCTATTTTAAGAGATATAAGCTAAGAGTATTAAATATAGAGTCTACAATCTTTAAGGGAGGAATAGGCTAGAGCTTTATAACCCTAGGAACTAGACTAATTACTAGAGATAAGTCTAAGGAAATTATAGGTTTAAAAGATATTATACTTAGGCGGGGAGAAATAACCTTTATTAATAATCTATATTAGCTAGTACTAGAGAATTAGGGAATAGATCTTAATAATATCTATTATTTTAATTATAGGGAATAAAATAAGATAAGATTTAATTAAAGAGAATCTAGGCCTTTTAATATCTAAATAAATAGAGTTATAGTTATAGGCAAAGTAATACTTAGTTAGCTAAATTAGGATTATTTAGAAATTAAAATAGAGCTATACTTTATATTAAAGCAAGATATATTATTAATTTAAGATTATCTATAGAGGAAAAGAATTTAGCTTTATAAGTTAGGGGTTTTAAGGTATATATAATATTAGAAATTAGAGTATTTCTGCTTTAGGAATAATTTATAATATTAGAAGGAGGAGATAGTATAGATTATAATAATTAAAGAAGGTAGATAAGGATATTTACTCTTAAAAAGGGGGAAGCTATATAATAGGAAGGATCGGTATAAAGAATATAATTAGTTAAGAGGTTATATGCTTTTGCTTAAAGTCTTTAAAAAGTCTATAAATAAAATAGGAGAGGAGGAAGAATAGTAAAAAGATAACACCTTTTAGTTATTTAGAATAAAATAATTAGTTTTTTTTTTTTATTATTGTTTAGTATTAGTTTAGTATTAGACTATTATTAGTTTATTATATTAGTTTATAGCCAGAGCTTTTTTTCTAGCTCTACTCTAAGCTCCGAAGCTAAATACCCTTCTCTTCCTTCTTAATACTTACTCGCTTAAAGACTCTATGCTGAGTCTTAATATGTCTTCACACAATAATATAAGCCGCCGGCAGGTGTCTAGTTTCTCCACACAGGCTTAATTATTATCTTATACCACTCCGCTCTAATTGCCAGAGCCTTTGCTATATCTACTATAGTATTAATTAGTGCACTATAAATTATAAGATATATATATACAATACGCCAGGCAGAATGCATACTTCTATATCTTTCCTACAGCGTATATGTAGTTCCCTAGCCCTCTTATAATCTAAACAATACTATAGAGCTAGCTTCCCCGCTTAATTCTAGGATCTGCTGTAGATAGAGAATTAAATCTTCTTTAACAATATTAGTTAGCTCCTTTCTACCCAATAGGCGACTTATTATTAACCCGCTTAATCCACTTAACTGGCTGGACAGAGGATTTAGCTTAGTAGACTCCTAATAGGTTTTCGCAGATAATAGTTAAGCAAGGACTATAACTGGTCCGCTAGTAGCTCTATAAATCTTAGATACTAGGCTATTAACTGTGGCATTCATATGTTTAACAATAGAGTTAAACCCGATAAAACTAAGTATCACAGCAGGTCCAGTAATAGACTTATTCAAACCCAGATATATAGCGGCTTCTGCGCCTATTAATACTATAATAGAACCTATCAGACTAGAGTCTATAAGATCTAGGATCTAACTCGCAACCTCAGCGAGGATAGCCCAAGAGTTATAGTTGCTTACATTAGACCCTTAACTAATATAATAGGAGAAGCCGCCGCTGACTACATTATTAGGAATAAGATATATTTTAAAAATAAATTTAGTTATTACGCCGAACTAACCTCCTGCTTCGCCGCAGATAGCCTAGAATAAGTCCTAATTTATTACAGTGTTTACTATCAGATATTAGCTATCTATTATTATTACAGTCGCCTGGTGCAATTAGTCTAAGGCAAGACTATAAATGCTCGAGAGAAGTCCGTGACTACTATTCTAGATAAGGCCTCCTAGACTAATAATCGCATCCTCCCCTCTAATAATAATTTAGTTCACTTAATGCACTGCAGTATAAGTAAATCCCCAATTATTTCTACTACCAAATATCATTATATCTACAGTACTATTCCTACTAGGCAAACGCCACGCCGGCTAATATTTAGCATAGTTAAGGTTTCGCATCTAAATCAACAATAAGTATACACCCATAGAGCTAAAATATAAATAAAATCAGTTTCCGCAGGTAGGAAGTAAAGGAAGTAGCACCTTTTTATTTTCGGATTCTTATATACCGGCCGCTTAAATCATGCCCCGTCCCCTTAATAACAACACAGATATTTCTTTTCGACGCCTATTCTAGTGCAGTTATAACCTGCTCCTCCTTTATCATATTCACAATATACTATAATAAGCCGCCAATACTGCATCCCCGCTCCTCAATATATCCCTTAACTCCTAGCGGTAAACACAAATTATTAATATAAAGAGAATAGTCGACACTTTCCGGCCAGGCAGCATAATATTTAGTATATATCCAATACTTGCTTACATCGGTACAATCCTCTGGGGAATTAAATGAGTTTCTAGGGTAGCAGGACAATGGTGTAGGGGAAGTTTTAATAAAAACTCCGTCGATAGACTTGTTGAGAGCACTCCATTCTTCCGAGGACGGCCAACTAGCATTTTGAGGAGAAGACTTGCAGTCGGAGGGAGTTGATGCTGCTGAGGGTGGGTCAGTATCCTGTCGGTCGTCTCTGTGGGGTTAAAGACAGAAACGATTCTGCCTAACTTGCTCTATTTTCACCCCAAGGGATGGGTAAGAAGTGACAATTGTCAAAATACTCAGATTAATTACAAGAACCGCAATTGACCTACTCAACTATCATTCGGCACCGGCAGTAAACTAGGTATCAACGCCCACGTAATTTCGCGAAATGTCTCGTGCCGCCAGATAACCCTGGTATCTTGAAGTCACCCCAGCCGCTGATCCCTACTTATGTACTGCAGATATCAGGATAGCACATGCGGCCGAATAATCTTGGCAGGTATCGCCGGTGGGTACTAGTGGACCCTTGAAAAACTATAAGACCGCGTATTCGTATCTTTTCCTTGTTCCGAATATTTCAGGGTATATCTACTGGGTGCATAATGTTTAACATTTTTAACTTATTGACAACAGATATAAGATACATTATTCCTCGAAGAAATACTATTATCTGATAGGTTTTCTGCGAACAGCTAATATATTATTATACACCAAGGTGCTATTAGCTTTGTTTAGATTAGGTGCTCTTTGACGGCCTATTGATTATATTTATAGTTAACATAGACAGATAAACTGCAATAGGATTATTCATTATTATTGGCCCTCCACGCACATAGGGTTACCTACTAGAAGCCAGTCTTCGGCAGAATAAGCCTATAAAGAACCGTTTACAGGTCTGCAACTACCCTGTTTGATAACTACTTAGTGAATTGCATATGCCCTCCCTTAGTAACAGGAGCTTGAACAGAGAAAAGACGAATCATGGACGTTATCTCTGTGAAGTGGCGTCGGCATCTGAAGAACTGAAAAGACAGGATTAGTGATCGGAACCCCCGACTATAGAGAAGAGATATATGTGGACTCTGTACGCCTCATGTGCCGTGCTGTCTATAAAAGAACCTCGTCCGTACGGCTCAGTCTTTGCCGTATAAGAACCCACCGATCAATACGAAAGAGTGTATATCGACGTCTTTGATGCGGCTTTCATAATGATTTCGATCGCGCTTCTTGTTATGTGGCATCCCGAGCTGTTGATTAACAGGGCTAGGAAGGCTAGCGAGTTTGAGAAGATATGGGTCTATGGACCAAAAAGGTTGCAACATGCGAGTCTCGGGCCTTTTTCGGGGTCCCTTCCAGTTCTTGCATCCCTAGTGAGATTTACGGTGGAATTCTTGAGAGTGCATCTTCCTTTTCTACTTTGGATCAGCCATGTGGCGGCAGAGCTAGTTTCTACCATGGTGGGTACAAATATTACCCTCATCGATTACCTCGTAAGGACCAGATCATATTCGTTCTATTCTGCCCTAAGTTGGTGACGAAATTAGGCGTGATAACTGTAAACGCCGCATTCACATGATGTTCAATTCACGAGTGTACAAGCCAATTATTTTTAGTCTTGCGGCATCTTCGCTTATATTGTATCTTGACGGTGTCTTAACATAAGTAGCCTTGGTTTCGACATCCTGTCAAAATCCTTGGTTCGTCCTAATCCTCTCCCTCCTCCTCATTACGACCCGCAGATTCGCTCTCGCCAAAGTAACATTATAGAGGAACAAAAATATCCACACTATCCCAACGAGCAAAATGCCAGCCGCGGCTACCACTAAACTCCATGCCGTAAATACCACACTCGCGGTTTGGAACCTCGGGCTCCTATGCAACCAATCCGTCCCCAGCCCTACCTGCATCGAACTGGCGACGATGCTAAAGAACGCAAACATGGACAACATCCAGGCGAAGTTTCGATCGAAGAATGCTCTTGACCACGACGACTCTGACATGAACCCGCGAATTAGGTAGCGTGTGCTGAAGACGGACGGCGAGAGGCGGTAGATTAGGCTTAAGCGAGAGAGCCGGAGCTCGCCATAGTGGTAACGTCCTGAGACCGAAGAGAGTGATTCTGAATCGACGGTTGAGAGGAATGAGGTCATAAAGGGGACCCATCTTTCCCAGGTGATTGTTCGGGGCAGAAGATTCGAGTCGTGAGCGATGGCTAAGTCTGATTTTGTGCAAATGAGCCACATATATGACAATAGTGTTCCGCATGCACACTGGTAGAGTGATTGATTGTTGATAAAGAGGGCCGAATTCGATGTCCAGAACTCATGGCAAAGAAGATACTCCGGGAGCGGTTTTATAAAGATGCGAGTCGCATGCCAGACGAGATGCTCGTTAGGGTTCTCAGTGATGATAATGCTGCGTCCTAGAAGCCGTTGGCGATGGAGGGGACGCGCCGCTTTTGGGAGTCCAGCTAGCCAGAGGTGGGGATATATTCTATCGATTGATCGAGTGAGGAGATCTTGATTCAGGAGATCAAGGATTGGGCGTTGAGGGTCGAAGCCGTAACTTGGGTGATAGGGAGAGAATATCGGTATGCAATATTGGAGTTCGTGCTCTTTTTCAAATGGTGGCGTAAAGTGACTCTACATTACTTGTTTTCAATGTATGGCTTCAATGGAAATAGAGGGGAGAATACGTACCAAACTCTTCTCTCCTGCCATTTCATTCACGGTTGCAGTGTTAAGGACAGAAATCGAGGCCAGATATCTTGCTAGATCATGAATTTAAGAGCACACAATATGTGGGAAATTCTTACTTTACAGATTTGCATAGGATAATGCTAACACCTTACAGAGCGCTCTACAGACATAGGGAAAGCTAAAAATGCTGCTCGGTTAACGAGCGCTTTAATAGGCGACAAATCTTTCCGAGGATAACCTATAGGCACCACAATATCGAAGTTGCGGGAAAAAGGTAATTATAATGGGGTAAGCAGAAGGTAAGCAAAGCAGCTAAAGTAGCGCTCCAATCAAAATTATCTCAGAGGAAACGTGCACGCGTACTGTTCGATTGTAACTATGTCTAGCATATTGTTTTACGTATATTTTATGATACCTGTAATAGACCAAAAATATAGAACAACATAACTAGCGTTCTCATGATACTAACTAGACATGCTTACCCCAGCTTGTGTGTGGATATCTCCTTCAGAATTGGCTGGCCTGGTTAGCTCTGTGGGCAGCTTAGGGTAAGTACACTGTCCCAGCGCGTGCCTTTGCCCGCCTTTTGTCATCCGATACCATAAGTCACTGAATCTCTTCCTGAAGTCCAATCGCTGGTCCTCACCGCCTTGAAATCCAGTCGAAGGATTATAAGTCTGGTGGTTTCCATTGGCATACTGCCACCCTTTCGCCAAACGCTCTAAGCTCTTGTTTGGCAGTTTGGGCAGATGTAAAGTGCGTGGAGGCTCGGTAGGCGCCAATTGTAGCTCAGGGATCCACACCCATGCGAATAGTGCCGCCAAGGCTAGAGGAACTGAAAATGAAGCCAAAAGTTGATTGAGGGCCTTAGTATCATTGCTGGGTAGTGCTTTCTCTGTTATAAGAAGGATAATTATGGCGCCAATCTTCCCACAGGCAGCAGATATACCATGACAAGTAGCCCGGAACCTTGTTGGGAAGATTTCAGCAGATATCTGAGAAGACTCAATTAGTTCCTTTATCATATATAAACATATTGGGACTCACGATATATGTTAGAGTGTTAGGTCCTAGAATTGCAAGCGATTAGTGTGTCTACTACTTCACCATTTGTTTCTTTTCTGAAGACCACTCACCAAGATTGAAAAAGAATTGGCAAATAGCATAGATAACCACAGCCGCCCAATGGCCACCTTGGAACTCAGTGCGTACAAGAACACCTCCGAGAACTGCAAAACAGACACTGAGTATCAAAAACGACCAGACTAGCCACATCTTCCGTGGGACGTAGTCAATCAAAAAGATGAGTAGCCCACTACCAGCCAGGGAGCTGATAGAAATAGTCTCAATGTATTGCTGTGCGTTGTGGGATATTTGGTTAAACATGGTTAACTGCGGATCCCAGATGTTCTCAAAGTCGGGGACACGCAGGCTGGGGTTACTAGCCGCAATGTAACTGGTTACAGTGGCTGTTGGTGGCGGAACGCCTGCAGCGAGAGAGGTGACCATCGTGTACAGACTACCATCCACAGTCGCGACATATGTGATGGGAATAGTAACTGTAGCGGATGCTATCGGCAAAACGGTAGTGTTGGGAATAGTCGGGAGGCTGTCATCCCAAAGAGCAGCCAGCGGGCGTGGACTGTTGATACCGAGGGCGTAAAAGCAGAAGTCCAGTAAAAACCAACATATTGCCGTCGCCAAGAGGTACCTGATGTTCCCCTGGTTGAAGAGGTAATCCCACAACTCTGGCGGATTGTCCGTTTCGGGGAGTGGTCTGGATATGAGTGCTCGTCGAGAGAGAAAGGCACCACCCCCATTGTTCTGTTGAGCGTTCTCCCCATCCTCAACCGCATGTAGCTGGTGCTGGAACTGACGCCTGGTAGCTGCCAAAGCTTGTAAAGGATCATGATTGACGTCCATCGTATATCGTGGGGATTCTGGGATCGAAAAGCGCCAGATTATTGCAAGTAGAGTGGGGATGCAACCTACCCCGACGACCCAGCGCCAAACACTGTCAAGAGTAGACAGGATCCTTTGCTGCTCGTGAATCGATAAACTCTGGAACTGCGAGCCGTGATCAGGTAGATCGACCAAGCCTCGAGAATGCATCAGACCAGACAAGACTCCCCAGCCAACGGCCGCTGCGAGGATCTGGCCCAAGGGCTGCATCAAGAACACAGCGGCCATCATCTTGGCTCGGTACCTGCTGCTGCTGAACTCCGCCGTAATCACCGCGCTCAATCGGTACTCGGCTCCAATCCCTAATCCCAGAAAGAACCGATAGAAGACGATCCAACTGAGTATGCTCATGCTGTGATGCTCGCCGCCCGACGCCTGAGCTATTCCCAGCGTCGCGAAAATGACCAGCACCAGCTCGAGGCCATACAGCTTCCGTCGACCAAGTCGATCGGTCAGCCAGCCGAAGAGAAGTTGACCCACTGCAGAGCCCGCGAGAGTTGAGACGTTAATCCAAAGTTCGGGCATGCGATCTGTGGGGGTTGGCCAGTAGAGGAAGCCGAGAAGGGGCAGGATAACGTTGGTTGAGAAAAGAGCATAAGAGTCCGTGAGAAATCCAGAGGCAGCCACGAGAAACACCTGGAAGTCAAATCCGTTTGAGTCAAATATGCTGATTACTTCCTGTCGCCAAACTTGCGGGTCGTCCTCTCTCTCCTCCGCAACTCGAGTCGTGCCATCCACCCACAGCGGGTGCTTTCCAAAGGGAAAAGGTAGCCGCCTGGCTATGGATCGTTCGGAAGTTTCATATTTATCTGTCATAGCTACTGAAGCAGGAAATATTCTCCCAGTCGATGGAGAGACAAATGCAGAGCTGGTAGAGATGACCGGGGAGTGATGGCTAGGTACCTAGGTAACTATTTATTTACTGCCGAGGGGACGACCGGGAGCAACTAAGTAAGTATGGCCCCCAACATTGTATGTACATAGTATTTACATACAGTCAGTACATAAGATCGAGATCAGCTCTTGTCCGTGGCCACTATGCATGACCCGAAGAACGATCAATCAGGTACGATGTGAACGACGCCCTGGAGCTAACGAATCCCGCGAGGCTGACCACTCACAGATTCACATCAAGGAACGTGTTTCCAGATAGCTACAGCGGCCTCTGTTGATTGATTTAATGTCATCGATTTAAGTGATTCATCTGGCTTTCGGCCTCGCTGCTACTAATATAGCGATCATTGTCCCCTTTCGACATGCTCTGTTTCCATTATTATTCTTTCGACCATGTCATCCCAGCTCTGGGCTGACTGCCGCATCGCAGGCCCACTTGCCACGCTTCCTGTGGGGAAGCTCGTGGCTTTAGCCAAGAACTTCCAATCCTACTTTGAAGTCTTCCCATGTTTTCGGGGAATTATCAGCCATCAGAACACGTCCATCGAATTCTTTGATGATTTCCAGCAGACATGGGACGAATGCATCGATTTCATTCATCAGAACCCCAGCTGGCATCGCGGAAACGCAAGCCCGCAGCCAACGCTACTGCATCGAACTGCCTACTATGTTTATAATAACAAAGACTTGGCCATCTTGGAAAGGCGTCTCGAGCTGCAGCTTCATATTATGAATGCGAAGATTGACGACATCCTATTGTAGGTCTTTGATCTTCTTGCCCTCCTATAACTCCCATTGACACTTGCTAACATCCTGGCATCAATCGCTAGAACTCTGTTTCTGACGGTGCTGTCCCAGTCATTCGGGCAGCAGAACCCCGACTTAGCAATAACCGGAAGTCTGCCCCAGTATGGCCGTAACTTACCGCAATCAGATATTCCAGTCGATCAAAATGCATGGCCTCTCTTCAGCTACCTTGTCGAGCTCCAAGAGGCTCTTAAGAGACTAAGAGCGCCAGCATTAGGTCCAGACCAACGTGACCGGGTATGGCGGTTGATCATTACGCGCTTCCGTGCCCACGAACTTCTATCCCAGAACTTTCGGTCTATTTTCTCAACCGACTTTACCCCGCAAGACACAAATCGTCTCGTGGAGTACTCACGCCAATCCCTGCGCATGTGGCAATCAGCATATCGTTCCGAGTTGCTCACCCCAACTCTTCGGAGACGTGTATATAGCTACTCTGCTAATAGCGACTCGGCGACATTGTTAGTTTCTGTCTTTCTTTTGTTGTCGACTAACTAATTGATCTTGATTATTTAGTCGATTGGTTCCTGACTACGAAGAGGAGCCTTTGCATACAATTGATGTTGTGACTTGTAAAGGCAGCAGGTGGATAGTCAGCACCAAGCGAAGGTCGCAGTTGGGGATTATCCAGCATCGTGAGAGCCCTTCTGTTAATCCACGTTATAGAGGCACACACACTAATTGCGCACTTAGTTCCCTCCATCAACAATATCCATCCATACACAAAGCATGAGAAATTCAATGCTCCCCAAATTCGACTATTCGAACCATGCAATGTCGATGAGACCAACGGTACTCAGACAGAGCATTATCAGGGAATGAAGCCATCATACTTATTCTATTCTCCATCTAATGCGGATGCTTTTCAATGTGCTTTACGAGGAAAGATTCTACAGTACACCTTCCAAGTCAAACAGATTAAATCCGCGCACGGGTTCCTGGGTTCGGCTCAGCCACTAAAGCTGTGGTCTGATTTCGATGGAAAGCACCAGTCTGTGTCGTTTCTACAACAATATGCCCGGCCATACTGTCATGTGGATATTCCTCTGTCTATTCTTGCTACGACGATATACACGGACAATTCGAGAAATAGGGTCACGGTCGAGATTCCTGCCCCGAGATCAGGGAGAGTTAGACGAGCTCTGGATAGGGCCATTCGGTGGATGCAACGTATGGGCTACTTTCCTAATCGATCTTCTAGAGCTCCGTCGGACACTAGTTCCGTGACAGGCGAACAAAGTACGGTATTTGAAGATGAATTAACTCTGGACGACGTGCGATTCCTCACGTACCTCGCTACCTTGACAATCGAGTTCTCTTCATTACATGGTATGGTCGATTTCCAATGGCCATTAGCTTCAATGGCTCATATCAATATTCAGACGCGAAATGCTTCGAAACTAAACTGTCCGAATTCTTCGCTTCAAGAACACGCATTATACCGGAGTCACCCTCTCCCGAAATACCCGAGTCAATTCCGTCTTCTGGGCAATCTATACATGAATTAGCCACCTCTGTGTCTGGGCACTATCTAGAGCACGACCCAGAATCCCCCCTTGGAGAGTCACTGGATGTGACCTACTCTTCGCCAGAGAATAGATCTATGGTAGTAATTCCGCATCAAGGAGAGTCGACCGGCGAGGACAAGGATCTAGACTATCGTATCAGGGGTATAGGACTTGAGCAAAGCAGCGAGAATTTAATGTCTTTCTTAAGACAGAAGCTGAACCTCGAGGCTAATGTCGTGGGGCGAGTTAAATCCTTCGCGGTCAGCCACAAAGGAGAATCCAAGGTAGCGGTAATATCGTTAAAACCTCGACCGATGTGTCTTTCGACTCCTGGGAGAGAGGAGTGGATTTTCGGGCCTGAGTCTGAGGATGATGACACACTCATCACTGTCGATACACATTTTCGTGGTGTGACCGTTTTATACGCCCCGACACAAGCTTCACCGCACACAATCGAGTAAGTTCATGTCGTATTTTGCTATGTCGACTACTAATATGCCAACTTCCAGTATATGTGCAGTCGCTGGTCTCGGAGGTCATGCCTGGGGATCATTTAAACATAAAGGTGGCTCTCAGTCGTCGTACATGTGGATCCTAGATGCACTATCCAAGGACTTTCCAACGGCCCGAATAATGGTTTACGGTTCGAAGACAAGGCTTGAGAGGGATGAATCGACCCAACAAAGTCTTGAGGAACTAGGACACTTACTACGCAGCGAGATGCTGACCGTAAGAAACCGACGCACACTATCCAACATGAGCGTCGTTGAGCCTTCTCTTGCAGTTCCTTCAATCTTTATTGCGCACAGCTTAGGTGGGCTTACTGTGAAGGAGGTTCGTGCCAAAGCAACCGCCCGCGTATATTGAACGCCGTTTGAAACATTGTGCTAACAATTTCTGTCAAACACTAAGGCTCTTTTACAGGAAAAAGAACACCCAGTACGCGGTAGCTTTATTGACACCCTTCACGGAGCATTATTCTTCGGCGTCCCCAGTCATGGAATGCAAATCAATGGCCTTAGAGCTATTATCCGTGGGCGGCCAAATCGGACGCTTATCGAGTCACTAAGCTATCAGTCTGACACTCTTCTGAGGCTAAGCCAAAGGTTCAATGCACAATTTGGGGATAGCAGACCGAGGATTATATACTTTTACGAGACAGAACGGTCATTTACCCCTAAAGTATGTCGTACTATTCTATATTATGCGTCCTATTACAGCGTCTGCTATAAAAATGCTAACATATACTTTAGTTTTCCAATGGACGGTGGAGAATGGAAGGGACCCCTAAAGATTTCCTTATCAACAAGGACTCTGCGACAGATGGCAAATGCTGGACACCAGATCCAGTAGATATCCATCCATTAAATCGGGATCATTCCGGTTTAGTAAAGTTCAGCAGTCCGGATGATGGGGATCTAGAGCGTGTCCGGATAGAATTAACCAATTTGTTGGAGTATCCTTCAAGTCGCAGATTATAGTTCTAAACGATCAAAATAGAACGTGCAATCTGTTATAGACTACTCAGTAACCTAATACATTTATCTTAATCCCAAGGGCTCTACTATGTGTAAGAAGTTCTATAGTCTATAATCCAGTATAGATAGCCCGACCCTCTAATTACGTAAATGTACTTTATAATGTTCATAAGGAAAGTATACTAGGGTAGTTTTTACAGGTAAATTGTATTTATGGTAAAAGATTGATTTACTGGAACATTATATCTATAGTTCTACTATCCTCTAGGAACTCATGAGACGCGCGGAACGGATGGGGGGAATCTCCAGCTCGACGGAATCAATGGCCATATCCGGCCAACACAGCACCTCGTCTGCAATCTGCACATAAATCTTGGGCAATGGGTATGCTTCAAATGGCTTTAAATCTGATTCAGCCACACGCCATATTGACATTGACGATATATAACAACGGGGAAGTCGGACAATCGTTCGAGCATTATATTTTTGAAATGCGGGTTCGGGTGTCATTGATAATCTTACATATAACCCGATAATTGGGCTCATGTATAAATACCTCCTCTACCTGGGGGTCGCTATGTGGGAGCTCCTATTAGTATCATCCTCGACCTCATATTTCTCCATTGTGTCCTCCACCAGCGTTTGCTTTCTCTCCTTCATTCCCTTTTTCTATCCCGCTGTTTAACTGCCGGCGAAAAGCCACAGTATACTCATCTGGGTCCCATGCCAAAATCCTCACTTCCTTCTCTTTCAGTTTCCGGGTCACCAGTTGTTCCATCTCATCCTTTTCCTTCTCGTCCAACAGGCTAAGTCTCTCTTTCCAGGCTTCTTCCGGCCTCTCAGCAGGCCCAAAAAACCGTGGGTCAATCATCTGCCAGTAAATTACATCAAAGGCAAAGCTGTGCAACAATGCGTACATAATCCAGAAATCCCCGCTCTACCAGCTCTTTTGCATACGATTGGAAAGTCGGTTGTTCTCTGTTAACAGACCCCGCTGGATGGCCATGTCTTCACGACCCTTCATGGCCTTAAGAAAGGTCTTCAGACGATCATCAAACACGCTTTTCCAGTCCTCAATACCCTTTGGCCAGAATTCGGGCTTTTCAATCAATAACCACCAAGGTGGCGCATAAGAAAACTCGGCTGGTGCTGCGTATGTGAATTCCCAATCTACCACGCCGACAATTTGCATATTCTCGTGGAGAAGTATGTTAGCGGGTCGTAAATCATCACACCAAAGTTTGAAAGGTCCTTTCTCCAGTGACGGATCGGTAAGTCGCTTATCCCTGGCGAGCTTACGGAAAAGCTGTCGCGCCACAAACTTTCGCCGACAGTCGTCTGCGGATTCCACAGCATCATTCCTCTGGTGTACCAGATGCTCAACGTTAAGGTTTGCGAGAGCTTCAAGATACGAAGAAGTTGTGTCAAATGTAGTACTGGGAAGTTTGGTTCGCGGCAAATCACCCAGTCGTACAAGTTCATTCATATTCATTGACAAAGGCCGATATGATACTTCCCAAGTGAAATCATCAATCTGGCTCGGTGATCCTATTCGAGATAAAGAGGGTGTGGAGAGCTGGAGCAGAATATCTGATAGCTGTCCATACAACATCTCAAGTTTGGCTTCGTCGATGTTCGGGTCAAGGATTCCACGTTCTTCGGTCGGACATCCCGGTGTGATAAGAGCGTCGTACATTTTCGTTTCGTGTGCGACATAATCCATCATAATGAATGGGCCGAGTTCGAGAGGGCTCTCCTTCTTTGTACCCGAGTGAAGAATGAATGGAACAGGTATCGATGTCTGGTCTGCCAGGAATCTCATCACAGCAACCTCATTCATGACTTTCTCCTCCGGGAAAAATACCGCCCCAGGCTGCGAGAAGCGTATAACAGTGGCAGCATTTTGATACTTCAACCGTAAGGAGATGTTATAAGAGCCTTTTTTAAGTATGGCAAACTCTGTAGCATGGCCTCTGTTGTGCTTGAGGATGAAGTCCGCGATAGGTCTTAAGATATCGAGTTGGAGAAATTGAACTAGCCAATTGTCGGATGTTTCCTCGGCTTGTTCCCAGGCTACATCATCAGGGCACATTTGAGGTAGCATTTTTTAGGTCGCAAATCGGATTGAATAATGTGTAAGGAAATTTTGCCGAAACAAAAGACTGCCCATGTTTATTTCATGGTAAAGTGTACTTAGAAGTATTCAGGAAAGGAGAGCGGAAATAGACTAAGTTGGTCTTCTTTTGGGGGTACTCTTACATGACACCTCCCTCGCCCAATGAAAACAAAGATACACTTGGGTAATAGAGGGATTTTGCAGCGAGTTCTATCGTTGGCATATAGTGGGTAAATACTAACTGAAGTAAGTAAAGCCTGACCTATCGTTGGCGTAGAGCTAGTAATCAAATCTTGAAGCCTTTAAAAATCAATTACCAATTAGTCATTAATTATTAAGCGAGAATTCTCTTACCAGCCTAAGTGAGAAAAATGAAGCTATTTGCGCACACCTACTTAACTCCTTATTACTATGCTTAATATAGCTATTAAAGCTATTAAAATGATTTATATAATAATTAATAATATTAATTATTAATTATTATTAAAAATAGGTCATTTAAATAATTATAAGAGGGTAAAGTATATCTTAGAATACCTATACTAAGGTAGATAGCTATCTTAACCTTTAGTATTTTAAAAGGGGGCTATCCTATAAGATATTCTAATGCCAACGCTAATCTACAGTGGGATGCATTAAGTATTCGACCAGCACTAATTTAGTTATATAAACTAGTCTAAAACGGGGAATTTATATAAGCTATTACACAAAAATACCAAAATATACGTACTATATGTTATATGTTAAACTAGATCAGGTATAGCTTGTATTAGTGCTGGTCGAATACTTAATGCATCCCACTGTATGGCATTAGCTTTTACCATCATACGGTATATTACAGAGTTAGGCGTTTAATAGAGTACAGAAAACTATTTATAATAGGTTAGTATATTTTAGATGCCAAGGCACTAAAAGGTTAAAAAATACGCGCACCTTACTATATAGCGGAAATTACAATGCCTAGCATGCGTTGCAAAATCCCTCTAATACCGATTAACATACTACTTTCCCCCTTAGACTAGGTAAGCTATTTTTATTTTTTGAGACTGTCCTGTCCTGCCCTTTTTTTTTTTTTTTGTTTTCCACTTAGAGTACGCTTTATATAATTGTGGACGGCCTTCTATGATAGTAGGACCTCTCTAATAGTAATCTCGGCCGACCGTTTACGCGCCGTCTTCAGTCAGTCATACAAGCGCTAGTTTTCCCTTAGATTAATTATGAACCCATCATCCATAGAATGGCCTGAGCGCTGAGGTGAAGACCCAGAATCAGCAGCACAAGGAAGATATACCGGATTGCTGCGAGTAATGCCGACGTTTTCAGAGTCTTTATGTTACGTCCAAGACCAAGCTATCCTCGATACAGTATCAATACATTAATTACCTATCTACATATCAGAGGAATTATTTAATATTGTCGGGTGGTTCAGAGGTAGTTAGGTACCTAGGTACCTATTGCTATTTTAAGTAGCTTTCCGCTTCAGCCGCAAAAGTTGTTCACCGCCTCAGACCTGCAATATCCCGAAAGCCACCATCTTCCTACTTTCTGTCTCTTGCTTGTATCTGTGGCGGGTTGCTGTGAAGTCCACTCCCTTATGTCGAAATGGGTTCCAAAACACCTGAGAACGAGAGGCACAAAAATCGTGGTACGTAGAATCCAATAAAGCCGAACCTTGCTCTTTGGTCTATGCTCACTCTTGATAGATAACCCTTCTAGCTCAGCTAAACGTAATGCTGCTGGTGGAGAACCTCGCGGAGTTCATTTGTCCCGGGACGGCGACGGTAGCCTGGGGGATGGTGAAGGAGATTCCGATGACGATGAAGACAACCACGCTTGCACTGCTACCTTGCCGCTGACGCAGCGACCTACATCGGCAAATAATTCGAAGAAGAAAAGGAAGAAGCGAAAGAAGCGCAACATTAATGCTTCGCCATTGAAGCAGACGTCGCCGCCGCGTATTCCGCTTAGTGAGCTCTTTCCCAGTGGCCAGTATCCGATTGGTGAAGTCCAAGAATATTCTCCTACAGTTATCAATACGGCTCGCACGACGGCTGGAGAGATAAGATACCAGGCACGATCTCAACTTGAGGATGATGGCTTTCTCGATGACTATCGAAAAGGAGCAGAAGTGCACCGTCATGTCCGACAGTGGACACAGAAGAATGTTCGTCCGGGCCAGAGCCTCAGCGAGATCGCTTTGAGTATTGAAGACGGTGTCAGAGCACTGCTTGGTAATGACGGCCTTGAACCCGGAGCTTGCCTTATATCTGGTCTGGGATTTCCGACTGGGCTGGCACTGAACAATTGCGTCGCGCATTATACGCCTAACCCGGGTCAAAGGGACATTGTGCTACAAGCCAGCGACGTCATGAAAGTCGACTTTGGCGTTCACATCAACGGCTGGATTGTTGATAGTGCGTTCACAATTACATTCGATCCAACTTACGACAATCTACTCTCAGCAGTTAAAGATGCAACTAATACTGGTATCAAGGTGAATAGATTAGCATTTTATCCTGCCTTGGGACGCTATTGACTCTCTTGCAGAATGCTGGAATCGATGTACGCATCAGCGATGTCAGTGCCGCAATTCAGGAGACTATGGAAAGTTACGAGGTGGAGATCAATGGCAAGACAGTCCCCGTTAAGCCTGTTCGGAATCTCTCTGGCCATGACATCAAGCACTATCGGATCCACGGGGACAAATCGATTCCATTCATTAAGAACAATGATCAGACAAAGATGGAAGAAGGTGAAATCTTTGCCATCGAAACTTTTGGATCCACAGGTCGCGGATATGTCACGGATGGTGTACGTTTGGGCCAGTCTAATGGATACTAGAAGAATGCTGACCGGAGATATCTCTTAGCCTGGCGTCTATGGCTACGGCAAAGACCCTTATGCACCAAAGAAGATCACCTCTTCTCTTGCTTCGGCTCGATCTCTGTATCAAAAAATCAACGAAAACTTCGGCACAATTGTGTTTTGCCGCCGCTATCTCGAGCGTCTCGGCGTGCAGCATTATTTGGCTGGTGTAAGTATCTACCGCAAGTGTTCTTGGGCAACGTACTGATGATGGTCAGTTGAACAACCTTGTTTCACAAGGTGTTGTAGAAAAGTACGCGCCTCTTATGGATGTCGCAGGGTCGTACTCGGCGCAATTTGAACATGTAATGTGTCTTTATCGATTGGTAACTTGCACTGCTGACTTTTCTAGACCATCCTTTTGCGGGAATTTAACAAGGAGATAATCAGCCGGGGAGATGATTATTGAAGTCTGTGATGCATTGAACACCACTAGAGTCTAGTCTTCATCACTTGGCGCCCTTTGTCGTATGAATTACCCAGCATGACTCTGTTCAACATGTGGTTGCAATCATTCCGAGGCCATTCAACATGGTCCGATAAAATATCTGCTGCTAGCGGGGTATTTTATGTACGCTCTTTATTCAACAACCGTATATGGTGCGAGGCAAAAAGACCCTGAATCGATCTATTGTGACAAAGAAACCAAGATTTCTAAATCTTATAGTAACTACCCTTTACAGGCGATATCGCTACGTTAGACTTACTTAATTTCTGGCAGGGAAAAGGATATATAAGTGCAAGTTAGCTTCTTGCAATGATTGAAAGCAAGCTACTAGATGGGGGCCCTATGGCATGCAACTGTACGAGTGGGTAGCTAGCCGATATAGAACTCTGGGCCTATTCACATAGACTTAAGTATTAACTAGGGGGCAGAAGCATCCGATACCTTAACATATATTACGATATTGCGTAAATACAGTATCATTATGTTCTCGAGTTTGGTATCTTCATATATTGACCACGCAAACTGAACCAGCTACCACCCTCAGTTGCGTTTGAGGCTCGCATTTATATTATACATATATAGGTATGGCTATATCCTTTTACGGAATCTCCGTCGTAATGGAGAGCATTAACGATTGCCCTCTACTTTCTCTTTGGCCATTTCTCGTAGCTGTCGTCGCAATGTTTTACCGGATGGGCTCTTTGGAATAGACTTCCGGAAAACAGCACCGCCTGTAATGCGATTGACAGGCTCAACGCGCTGTGCCATAAAGTCTATGATATCCTTGGCTGACGCCGTCTTTCCAGGCTAAGGACAATATAAGATCTGACGTTTCCGATGTTGCCGGTTTTCAGCCAGCCGTCGGTGTCGTTTCTGGCCTGGAGATTGCGCCAGTACTCTTTCACCACCTTGGGAACGTGGACGCGGAGTTCTCACGTTGATTTTGGTCGTTTCTACGACGCAATCCTGGGCCGTGATCCTCGCCTCACAGTTGGGCAGTAGCTCGCCAACAACGGAGATCTTGTTAACTGTCTCGTCCGGGAAGCTCATGAAAGAACAGAACATGCTACAGTGGATGCGGATCAGCTTCACCGAAATGCAGATTTAGGATTCCTTGATATACTCACTTTTTCATCCCCTAATCTTCTATCCCCGATGATGAAATTCCAGAAGCTAGGTGCTGCAATGGGCTCTGGAAGATCGATTATCTCAGAGAATATGGCATTTCTATCTAATACGGAAGCTGAAGCTCTCTCAGATGGGAGCTGGGCTTAACTCGACAACTAACTTAGCGTGTTCAACGCATTGGAATGCGGGGTTTTTCATTCAACGAGCGGCCTTGCACAGCTGGGTATATACACTAAGCCGGATATGCCGTGGAAAATGATCTCGACGGCGCTAGCGATCTTACTTGAGTGCGGACTTGAAACTAGCATCTGAGCAAAAGAGACCTCATAATCGGTGGAGATCCTCAATGGCAACCTTATGAAAAGGGGGCTACGTGAATTGGTTTAGTTTCGTGTGCATTCTATCTTATGAACCGACTCAGAAGGAGGTCAATATCAATGCAACAATACCTACTGCTATCATAAGAATTACTGTGGAAATAGCACTTGGCTCCTTAGCATATTTTGCTTCAAATTACTTGCTCATACTCGATTTAGGCCAACTTGAGGCGGGACGGAATATCTGACTAACACCGCTCTCTTTTCAACACAATATAGCCATTAATATATAATCCCTCTATATGACTTAGTCTATTGTTTTAGTAATCTAGTCTATGCAGAAGTATATATAAAGAGGATCTAAAAACAGGGACTGATCCCAATACAGACCAGCGTCCTGCGAACGTATTGAGGCAGAAAAGAAAAGAAAAGAAAGGCAAGTTATAGTAAGGAGGAAAGAGGACGTGTGTTGTAAGTCTTCCATAGTCACGACCCCACTCAGGGACATTCTCTGCAGCTCAGATTCTCGTTCCCTCCACTTCCTTGCCAGTGGGGACTTTTGCAGATTCTCTCTCGGCAACACTGAGCTGCAGGCCTTGATCATCCCAGCCCTGGATTCCCAGCTTGTAGAAGGTTTTCTGTTGCTCGCGGGAGGGAACAGGGCCCTCCTTGCCACGACGCTGGCGGGAGTCGAGTGTCTCCACGATAGATGCGTTGTCACCATCCACCGTGTAACCCTCTAGATCTTCCGTGTCTACCGTATCCGTGAACCGATAGGTACGGTATTCAGTGTTGGACCAACCGGTACCTGCCAGGACAAAGGTCAGTTTTCGTTGTAGTACCATATGCAGTGGCAGTCCATAACTTAAAGAGAGCGGATCTGCTAAACTCAAGAGTGTCCAGAGCAAGCATCTCAATTGTGGTCAACAAATGGACACGCGGGGGCAATCCATACCTTGATAATGGCTGCTGTCCTCCCAGTCCTCTGTGAAGTAGTGGAGGAAGCCTCCGTGGGTGACGAGAACAATCTCCTTCTCCGGCCGAGCCTTCAGCCACCGTCTTACCTCACGGGCACGGTCCTTGATCGCTTTTGTTTCAGGCGCCCATTTTCCTTTCTATATAACCACCTTCGATCAGTCTCTTCGCCGCCAAAGCTAACACCTACCCGCACATGAGAAGCGACCCGACGCACCTTGGTGTTCCACCCTTCCTTGACTAGTGACAGATCAACTGGCAGTTTCTTCTCTTCGAATTCCTTCTTCAGGAAATCAGGGTCACTGCCCGTGTCGCAAGGCACATCGCTGGTCTCCTGAGCCTCAGGGATTGCGACCACCTTCACATCTTTCTTCTCTTTAAACACCGGCTCGAAACTTAGGAGGGCCGTATAAATTGTTCGACGCAGCGGGGACGCGGTCACCAGGTCGATTTGGGAGTGAAAAGGAAATGAGTCGCGCAACTTGCGGCATTGTTCCTCGCCCAACTCGGTCAGAAGAGGATCCTGGATGACATGGTTTTCCGTGCAGAGATTGTGAAACCCCTACAGTAGAACGAGTCGAATGGGGTTAGAAAGCTGGAACCCGCCCTTTCTGTGGAAGGAAATAACGTACCTGGGCATGACGAACACAATGGACAATGGGTGCCATTCTGCTCCTTTTTTCTTGCGTTCTTCTTCTCCTTGTCTCTCCTTGCGGAGCGCGGGGTAAGTTAAGTAGGTATCTAGCGGGGTCCTAAGGGAACGCAATAATGGGTCGACCCCAATGCAAGATGAAAAGATGGACAAAATAGAAAGGAGCCAGGTGTGAATAATAATACTAGAGAGTATCACAGCGGTCTATTTCTCGATCTACTTCCCACGAGGAGCCACGAGGGAAAAATAAGTTGAAGCAGTGAGCCGTAACTCAAACGCATCGATCGAGTCATCGCGGTGAAAAGATGGGCGTGGGTCCAAGACATCCGCCACGTTCGCTTGCAGTTCGTCCCTGAGCCCCTCTCTTGGTGGATTCCTTCTTCCCAAGGTTCTTTTCGATGCGAAAGATCATTTAGTTAATCTACTCTCTAACTATTCTTCGTTATTACTACTCTGGTCATCGCCGCCTGGGAAGTTCCCCGACGGTCGCTCCGGACAGAAGAATCTTGGCAGAATACTTAGTGGTGAAGCAAAAAAAAAAAGATGCGATGTGATCAAAGATGAATAGATTTATATTCCTGGTGATTGATTATAAGTGTATATCTGGCTTGCAGACTTATCGCCAGTAACTAACGTTTTACGCAGGTTTGACTATGGTCTCGCCCATACTTAACCATCCCACCATTTCTGCGCAAAAATGGTGGCGGCAAAGACGTACGTACAATGTCATCATGCAAGGTCCAATATATTCAGCCCCAGTGCAATGCTTGCATTTAAGCACATGCATATGGTAGGCAGAACTAGAACGAACGCACACCCATTTCTGATGTCTCCAACCAGAAAGTCCGGTGTCAGAATGGTGAGCGACGATGTCCGGTCGCACGGAATATATATTTATGTGTCAGACATGCATCTCCCGTCAGTTATGGGAATGGGGAAGAATGGAAATGCACTCAGCACGTGGCATTGACAGGAACCACGGAGGAAGTTCTGCTCATTAGAGCACCTTCTTTGCCCTCTACCTGCACGTATCGGACAGAACCGATCACTATGGTCGTCTCAAAACCCTTCTTGGGGACAGAGCCCACAAGCTGGAGATGAGAAGCATTCGACCCCCCATAGACATTCCATCCTGTGAGCTCCGTGGCTCCATTCCAGCTCATATAGATGTGCGTGCTATTTCCGGACGAGCAAGCCCACACGCTAGGTGGCGTCTTCGGTTTCCCGATCCAGGGCAGTCGGAAACCTCGGTAGCTCGAAACTTCGTTATTTTCACCGAACTGGAGTGTCATCACGCAGGACCCGTTGGCGTCGTATTCCTTGAACTTCGGGATCTGGCCGTGCCCGAGCAGAGTATGGCCCCCTGGCAGATGTTGATAGTTTCCCTGAGACTCGCTATAGATCACATCGCGAGAATCCAGCAACTTTCGCTCAAGAGTAGCCTCGTGGGTGTTGAGGTCAAGACGGAGAAGGAGGCCAGTCGAAGGACTTGTTCCGTTCTCGACTGGGGAATTGGCGTTGTTGAACATGCTGATGATAACGGCATCTTCTGAGGTATGTCGAATTCTAGCATCATGCTGGTAGCAGAAATCTACTCCAGGACCAAGCTTGAAGTCGCCGCCGCTCCTGCCCTATGTAATCTCTCAGTATGCACATATTGCGAAATAGCTGAAGATAAAAAGACTGCCCTTACATTCAAAACCCAGTCAACGGTACCATTTCGGTTGATACGGTAGATCGAGCAATAATACCGCGAGGAGATGAGATATGCACCATCATCGAAGAAATCCACCGAATTGATGTGAAATGCGCCCCATGCATAAGTTCTGTTGTTGCCAAGTCCGTCTATGGGCAGAAGAGAGCCCTCAAGAGGAATTTCGTCCACGTGTTCCAGTGCGCTCCAGCGGTACAAAACTCTGCTCGTTTTGACGTCGAGCTCATAGAAGAGAGAGTCGGCGATCCAGCCGTCTTCTTCGCCTCCTACAGAACGAAGGTCGTACTGGGTCATGTTTACTGCAGTTACGAGGATTGATCCACGGTCTGTCAGCTTGCTTTCGTGGAGATCAATCCATGATGGAATGGTCAGGTTCTCCACAACCGCGAAGGAACTATCCTCAAGAGTTACCCGGTATATCTCCTCGTACGACTGGTCCAAAAGATAAATCACTCCATATCCAAAGCCTAAAGGATCGCCATACCCCGTCCCTCTCCAGTACGTAAGAACTGGCTTTCCCTCGAAGGTCTGCGGCCGAAGCCCGAAAATTGTATTGTCTTCAGCTGGCATGGGTCCTTGCCAGACCAGTTCATTTTCATCCGTCATGATCAATGGCGCATAATCCACCGTCCCGGCCCATGTTTGGTCGAAGAAGAGAAAGCCGGGTTCTGTTCGGCCATGTTTCTCGATAGTCATATTAGGAGGCTGGTACGTGGCCGACTTGAACGTCTGGTACTGCCACGGAGAGACAGTGTCGGCCTTGCCATGGCTTGAAAAAAACCAAATTGAGAGAATTGAAAGTGAAATAATGGACAGCTGACCAGTCATCATGGAATCTCGTGCAGCTGCGAGTGTTTGATCACTTGAAAACACAAGAATCCCTCAGGAAAACGCTCAGCAAGGCAGGTCGCACAAAGTTTCAACGGAATTAGCAGTCCAGCACTTAAGTATATTCTCTCTCCGGCTAGAATTTGCCGAGTAATTGCCTCCTTGATCCCAGTGAGAGCCCGACATCGCTCGTCAACTACCGTCATCTGGTCCCATCTTGTTCTGAGTATGCGGGGGCCAAATTCAAAAGGAGGTGAAGAAGAGAAAAGAAATTCAGGAAAAGGTACAAAGCGGGGCTATTATTCAATTACACCGGCCTTGGTCCCGTTGTTAAGGAAGGCCGGCAAGAGTCCGGCTGTTGTTGGATACGAAACTGAAGTGTTGGGAGAGTGGTTTACGTCTCGGATCGGCCATCAGATCAGATTAGATAGATATGGATCGCATCCCCACATGCTGGAGTTTAGTGCGCGCCGCCAATTCTCAGCCGCGTCCAAATGGACCGTTTCGTGAAACTCCGGCTCCACGGCACCAAGAGATGGAAGACAAAATGCCACTCCCTACTCTATTAGGATACTCTTGGTTCCCTACGCCAAGAACCAAACAGCCAGCGAGGCTCTCCCTACGGAGTAGTTTGTACTATGAAGATCAGAGAAGAAGCCTGTTCATGGTAACATGGTCAGCCAACGTTGCACCCGCTTCAACGAATCACATTCTCTACAACAATATACAGGGCAAGATACAGGGGCTCAGTGCATACTTGAGGTAGTTTAGCATGTAACGAAGGAGACACTTGATGATTTTGTCGGCTTGTCCCGCCCAGTCAAAAAAGCTCTTCTGTCAGATTCTTTATCTAATCTGATCAGGGTTTCCGATCGCTTCCTGAACCTTGCGCCTGTCTCGGGATGTACAGTACTCTACTTATGTCTCCCAGGTAAGTATGTGCTTGGTGCAGCTGACGCCCTAGTGCAGACAGCATGACAAGGGTCGGTGCCCAAGCTAGCGATGGAATATTAGTCTCGCCAGAAAAGTTATCACACTCTATGGCATGTGGAAATCAGCCCGTCTAATACAAAGGGGCCAGCAGCGAAGCAGGAGCTCTCGTGGAGATTTATGGTAAACAACGCTCCGTTGAATCGATCAACGTGCCTGTCATGGGTCGCTCTCTTACTCATTTGTGGCATGACAAGGCCAATCTGTTCCACTTGCACCAGTCTGGTCCTTCACGAATTACCCAAACAGAGAATGTGATTGAGAAAGATACCAGTACCCAAACAACCGGCCAGAAGGACACCAAAGACGCCGTGGAGTCTTCTGCACCCGTTGCAGCACCGACTCCGTCTCACGCGTATAATGGTGTCAGCGATGTCGAAGCATTAACGAACGCATGGACGACTCAGTCTCTTATTGCGGCATATCTCTTGTAAGTTCTCTTCTCCGCATCGAATTTCATTTAGGCCACTGACTCTGCTAGTGCCTTCTTGGTCTTCTTTATCAATTCATTGCAGCAGGAGACTACTAACAGTCTTTCACCTTATGTATACTCCGCATTTGAGGGGCACTCCCTGCTCTCGACGACATCAGTCCTAACAAGTATCATTGGAGGGGTCTCTAAATTGCCCATAGCCAAAATAATTGATGTCTGGGGCCGTCCAGAAGGATTTGCAGTTATGGTAGCTTTGTGCACCCTCGGTGAGATTCCTTCCTATGCATCACAGGATTCTGGACTGACATGTCAAGGTCTTATCATGATGGCAGCATGCCATAATGTGGAGACATATGTAGCGGCGCAGGTAGGCGTCCCTTCTATACCAGTCAGCTTTTGTTGATTCTCAGCTCACGATTCGTGTAGGTACTGTACTGGGTTGGATACAATGGCATGGACTACGTCCTACACGTCTTTCTGTCAGATACGACTGGTCTCCTGAACCGAGCCTTCGTCTGGGGCATAGCTTCAACCCCCTACATTGCCACTACTTTTGCTGGCCCCGCTGCCGCTCAACGCTTTTATGACGAGAATGCTGTCCGGTGGGGATTCGGTACATTTGTTATATTGACTCCAGTTGTAGCAGCACCAATCCTCATTCTGTTGTGGTATAATCGCAGAAAAGCCCGGAAGATGGGTCTGGTTCAAAAGAGAGAGAGAAGCGGCCGCACATATTTCCGATCAGCCAAGTATTACCTGACCGAGTTTGACGGTAGGTTCATGCATCATGTCACATAAAAACATTTGCTAACCTCCCCAGCTGTCGGATTAATATTGATTACGGCAGCATTTACTCTAGTACTCCTACCGTTGACCTTGGCATCGTCCAAGGCTCATAAGTGGCAATCGCCTGCTATCATCGTAATGATAATCGTTGGTGGTTTCTGTTTTGTCGCCTTTGCGCTGTGGGAGCGCTTCTGTGCCCCTGTTTCATTTCTTCCGTTCGCGATGCTCGCTGACAGGACTCTTTTGGGCGCTTGCATTCTCTCCCTTGTTCTTTACGTGAGCTTCTAGTAGGTTTCTCCTTGATTTAACATCGAACTCGCCTAACTCATTGTTCCAGCTCCTGGGATATATATTTCTCTTCATACCTGCAGGTTGTGTTCAATACAACTATAAAGGACACAGGCTATATTATGAATATCTACAGTATCGGCTCATGCTTCTGGTCTGTGCCTCTAGGACTGTAAGGCTCGCCTTTGAAAGATTTTTTCATGGGAATTGACTAATTCTAATCGCAGAATCATACGCAAAGTCGGCAGAATAAAGTGGGTTGCCCTGGCCGCGATGCCCTTACTCTTCTTAGGATCCGGTCTCATGATCCGTTTCCGGTACCCCAATAGCCCAATCGGTTATGTCATCATGTGTGAGATCTTCAAAGCATTCGCGGGTGGTACTCTTGTCATATGCGAAGAAATGGCAGCAATGGCTTCCGGGAGCCATGACACTATCGCTGTTGCCTACGCTATGGTCGGTCTTTCCGCAAAGATCGGTGGAAGCATTGGTTCTTCCATCTGCGGCGCTATATGGACCAACACTGTTCCGCAAAAGCTCAGGGAATATCTTCCGGCAAATAGCAAGCAACTTGCCCCTGAAATATATCTATCACTAAAGGTTGCACTGAAATATCCCATTGGCAACCCAATCAGAGATGCCACTATCAAGGCATATGGGGTAGCGCAGCGCCGGATGCTCATCACGGGCGTATCTATCCTTCCTCTTGCACTTTTCGCCGTTCTCATGTGGAAAGATATTCAGCTGAAGCAGGTCAAACAGATCAAGGGGAAGGTCCTGTCTTAAAAGAGTCGTACAGCTTTTGGTGCTATGGTTATAAGCTTTGCTAAAGCCCATGCAGGTTCCCTTAGATGTCCGTGATGAGTTCGACCCCAGCGAGCCAAGAGGCGATTCGCCTTCACCTTCCGCATCAGGGTCACTGAGCTTAGTGCGCAGTAGCTAGTTACCTAGATAGCTCAGAGCTTTAGAGCTCGATAAGTCTCCTTCACCCAAGCATCTTAGCAGCTCAAGTCAGGACTATAGCGAGCATCCCGCTTCGAAAATGGTTTTGATGAATCTTGCTCACCGCGGGGAGCAAGTGACTTCTTCGAATCGCACAGGCTACGGACCTATTTTCAGATTAGGAATCTCGCAGTCAACTATACGACACGGATAGAGGGACCAAACCGGAGCTCCGGTTGGTCCGTGAAATGTATTTCCGATGAGTACGTCGAGTCTAGAACACCATCGAAAATCGATGTAACCAAAGAATCGGAAAAAAAAAAAGAGCTAAACTAAGCTTGCGATGTCGTGACAGTATACTCCGTAGATCGAAGCTCAAGCTAACTATTACAGGCAGGTGATGGGCGTATGTATGTACTTACGGTAGTTATTGCCCGGATCTGCGTCGAGACCTCGAGCTTCTTAAGTACTCCGTCGCTGAGATCAGCCCGTAATCCACGTGCTTATTTTGTCAACATAATTCCGTTTCAAACCCCATGAAATATAACAATAGAGTTGGATCGCACTATCTTGTGTTGCTTCTCTTATCCGAAACCTTCACTGAGAACCGGAGTATACGACCTGGGATTAATGCACTGATCCTAGTGTAGCCAAGGAAGCCAAGCGAAGATAAGCAAAATTACGACCTGGTGGCGGAGCTTCGCAGAGCAAGATATGCGGGGTTTCCTCGGACATGTAAGCTACCTAGGTAGAAGGGGCATAACACTGTCCGTCTAGTGGACGCCACGCGGGTTCCCGTCAATGTTGTTGCGGATGGTGCCGAATCGAAGATGTGATCGAGATATGCAAACCGACTGTTATATGCTTATGTGCACCGCACTTCCAACAGTCTATAAGGACAGCTCCTTTTGCGTCTGTTTATTGTTACAACTCCTGCGATTGCGCTCGTGACTTGAGACGCATAAATATCCAATGTGCCAATAATACCCCATTATTGTCGTTATCTGAGCCCATGTGGGGCGGCCGTGAGCCTTGAGGATTGAACACTTTCCCTGACAATTCATCTGATGAGCTTGTATTACTCCGCCCTGATTTTGCGTTTCGCAGTCTGTATCTGAGACCCCGGTGTGGCTTCCACTGGCGCCTGGGCTAGACATCACGGGCAGGATTCTTCCTTACTACTGCCGTCTCACCTGGTCTTATCTGCCACCTGACTCTATCCCGCTAGCGGATGAACAGTTATCTATGCAACCGTTTTGTCTCTCGAGACGTTAGAGTCGATTCGGTGGCATTCATTGGTTCGAGGGCACATACCTGAGTGCCTAGACACTATTCTAGATATAGAGGGTGACACCATCGGACGCTTCGATGTCGATCGAGTACAGGGGTCGTACTCTCTAGATAAGGATGACCATTCTGAATATCACTACGGTGCTGGTTGGTGAAGACTGTACAGCTCCACCTGAGGGGAAACGGTAGAACCATTTCTTGTCCCCCTCGTTGTCAAGGAACAGGGCATAGCAATGATACTCAGTAGGGGGTTGTTCTAGTTAGTAGGGCACATTGCTAGCATATTATTACAAACATAGCATTATTTCACACCGGAGCGGGACAATCTCTGGAATGAAGTACATATACAATGGCACATATCCAAGCCGGGGAAGTATAACTAACCCCCTTCGTTTTCCATACTATATAGGATCTAGGTTGTCACAGTTTCCCTGGTGGTAAACAGTTCTAATCCAACCTTTCGCTTTAGCCACAGCTTCCCCGAATCTAGTGCCCTTCGGGACTCCGTTTAAAGTTGTGTAAAAGCGGTATCTAATTTAAGCCTCCGTTACATCGCCTCCCGTGGCTGTATGCGTGTAGATGGTCTGCAGAAATCTTGACATATACTATTAGCTCCATTAGGAGGATAATCACATAATTTGGCAGCAACCTGGTCAATAGATGGGAAACCAGGGCAAATCAGGAACCTCCCCTGGCATTTCAATATCCCGCTCTCAGAGCCAGACTCGCTCTACTGCTGGTCGCCGGAGATTCGACCCATTCCGGCCGTAAGCTAATAACTGATAGAGAGAGCCAGTAAATGTTCAATAGCAGGGTCCTTGTTGCAAAGGTATAACGTACACGAAATATTGGAGCAATCTTGGCGATCACAAGGCTTAATGCTGTACGCGGGACGACCACCACGGCCAGATGACAACAAGAGTGCATGACCCGCTTTGTTATCGACAGCTAAAAGCATCGTACCGTGCTAGAAGGATATGTAGACCGAAGAGGCTATAAATTTGGCCTCCCCTCTCCCCATTATGTCTTTTCCTTTTCACAGCAGATTCCCGTACATTCCCTCGGGTTTTCGATAAACTCTTAACCTCTCAACTTCATATCCCCCCCTATGAAGAAGTGCCTGCTTCATTAGATCTCACGAAAATGAAGTTCACCGCGGTCACCAGTCTATTCATTGCAGGCACTGCTCTTGCGGCACCCCTCACTACTGAACGGCACGCTCGCAATGAAGCTCGTCAGGCTGAGAGACGTCGTACTAGCCCGCCGCTTTCTGCTGTCAACGGCCAGCAGCTGCATTTCAATGGTACCAAAAATGTTGAATACAGCTCAAACTGGGCCGGTGCCGTCCTGATTGGAACCGGCTATACGAAGGTCACAGGCACGTTCACGGTACCGACTCCATCTGTTCCCTCGGGAGGTAGATCAAACGAAGAGTACTGCGCCTCTGCCTGGGTTGGTATCGATGGCGATACCTGCAGCACTTCCATCCTCCAAACTGGTGTGGACTTCTGTGTCCAGGGCAGCTCTGTTTCATATGACGCGTGGTACGAATGGTACCCAGACTATGCCTACGATTTCAGCGGTATCTCCATTTCGGCAGGCGATGTCATCACTGTTACAGTTGACGCGAGCAGCCCCAGCGCCGGCACTGCTACTGTTGAAAATGTCTCGACTGGACAGACGGTTACCCACACCTTCAGCGGCGAGACAGATGAGCTCTGCGAGTACAACGCTGAGTGGATCGTGGAGGATTTCGAGTCCAACGGCTCTCTTGTTCCCTTCGCTGATTTTGGAACTGTCACTTTCTCTGGTGCTACTGCTACGGATGATGGTTCTACAGTCGGTCCTTCTGGTGCCACCATCCTCGATATCGAGCAGAATAACCGGGTCTTGACATCCGTTTCTGTCGCCGGAAGCGATGTCACTATTACTTATGAGTGATCAAGTGCAGATCACCTATTGAGCATTGGGGGACATACTTGCAACATGAGCAACGATCGAGAAACTCGAAGAGAGGTCAAATCCCTATTTCTATTGTTTGAATTACTGGGTAATTTGATGTGGCAAAGCATGAATCTCTGCCCCTCTGCAAGGGTTTCGATTAAGTTCTGTCTCTTTGAGAAAATACTGTCAAACATGTTTTACTTCTCGGTGTAGTTCATTTCTGCGCAATGGCCCCATTCAGTGGGTGTAGATGCAAAGTATATATGTTATTTTAAGTCATGAATATATTCCCATTAGGGTTTTAAGCTGGAATACCATTAGGTACAGAGGTGGATCCATCATATTCATAGAGAGGGCATAAGAAGCGAATATGTATCGTAGGCGTCAGAAATTGTAAGGTATGAATTTCACGATATGCAGAGAACTAAATGACCTCGTTGGCCCTCGATAAAATGTATCCGACGACTTTATTTGACAAGGGCTTTTTGTATGTGCAACACAGCTCATTTTGATATAAGACATATGCCAAATATAGACGGCGGTAACTAGCCAGGAAACCTCGTTCGCCAACTCCGCGAGTGTTAGGCTTCAATAAAAACAGGACTACTATCAATCGCTATGATATCTATAGATAAGAGGATTCCCCCTTTATTGAGAAGGATAATGAATACCGATTCCTTTCTCTGCCTAGGCTCTCCTAAGCCATCCAGAACGCCACTGATATCGCTCAAAAACCTGAGTTGAATGCTAGAAGGAAAGAAAAAGGTGGTTTCTATGCAACACCAAACCCACGAGCATTCTCAAGGGCCTTTTCTAGCTTCTCCTGCAAGACACTCCTGGAGGAATATTCTGGAAGCAATAATCTTCCAAAACATGTCAAGCTAGTAGGAAGACGCTAGAAGGCATTAGTACGAAAAGAACAATAGCAACAGGAATAGCATCATTAGAAAGGGGAGGACTCACAGTATCACCGACACCATTTTTCTGGATCACAAACATAATGCTTGCGATGCCATTCACTGGAACGCGGTCACTCGCTGTAACAAATTCCAACAACCTACGCTTCTTTTCCGCAGAGAAACGTTTCACGACGTGCCAGAAGTCCCGGATCACTCGATGTGACGCAGTGAAACCGCCATCATATCGTACATGACGCTCTAGTTGATCCAGATTGATCTCCTGAATTCCTTCGACCACTGTCTTCAAAGCCTCGGGGGTGAAGATCGATAGGGCAGTGCGATCCAGGCAAGTATAGAACCCTCTCGCGAAAGCCTCATACTGCGGGCGAATAGACTTGTCCGTCAGCCAGAAAACATAATCTTTGACGAACTGATGTCGGTTCTCATTCGTCACAAGGCGCGCCTCCTCAGGTTGCGACAGGAGTGGGCTTTTCAATGGCATATCATAATCGGCACCTTTGAGAACCCCCGTTCGGAACGATTGATGGGGAAAGCGCATCTCTTGGTCTTCATCCTTCAACGTCGTTGAGAGAGGATGCTTATTGCCGCTGTACCGTCTCCTTTCCAAGCGTGAACCAGGAAGACCACCCCTAGCATCCTCCTTGCTGGATCTCGTTTCAAGTATAGGCCAGTAGGCGTCACGATGGATCTTTTCCATATCGACCGTGTGCACGGTGCCAAAAGCATCAAAGCTGAACTCGTAGGTTCGCATGAAGATATCGCCAACATCACCATCTTTCCAGTTCAGAAGCTCTTCCAATCCTTTGGAAAGCTCAGGCCAGCCGTCTCTGATATGCTCAAGGCGCTTTACTTTCAACCCAAGCAGTTTTCGATATAAAGCAATTGGAAAGTTGACAGGGAGAGTCAAACCATTGTAGATAGCAAGAGACATAAGAAGACCCAATAGTTGGAATTTGTACAGAGGCTCCAGTGAGCAAGGCTGAAACCACGAGATGCGCGTCCGATTATCCATGGTGAACATACCGTACGCTGGGTCGAGCGCCTGCGCCATAACAACCCTGAAGAATTCCTGTTGCACACCACCATGATCCACACCTTCTTCTCCCTCGTCCATTCCCATCTGGACCTTTAGTGGTCTTAAGAGCTCGCGCTTTTCACGTCGCCACAGTTGGTTCAGGGCATCAGTGAGAACATTATCTCGTCGAACCACGAGGACAAGATAAGTGGACATAGATGTTCTCAGTCTCGCCAACAGGCCCACATCGTCATAGATCGGTATTTGCCCGAATGCGGTCTGGGTAATATGTCGAGTTGCGGTCATTGCTGCCTCGTAAGATTTGGACATTGTGGCATAATTGAGAGCTCGGAAATAGATCACCAGCGCTTGCGGTGGGAACAGGAACGAGTACGACAGAATGTGCATGGTCTTATTGTTCGCCTGAGTACCGAGCCACTCCACGGGCATCTCCATCGGGTCCAGTCGTTCAGATAGAAACGCGGTGTGGAAGTCATCCGCAAGAAGGCCCAGTCGCTCACGATCTTTATACATGGATGCCAGAATCTGCACGGCGCCGCCAGCAGCACTGGACTTGGACACTTCAGCCTTCCCATCCCATTCTTTGAGGAAGAGCATTCGCAGCCATTCAACGATGACGGAGGCAGCGCTGAGAGACGGGGCAGGATGCGAAATAGCATCAGACTTACCCACAGTCCTGGCTAGCGCGGTATGATGCTCTCGTAAAATCTCCAGCATGATATCGACGGCACTGTTCTTGCGTAGCTTGGGAGAATCATGGCCATACGTCTGGCGAGCCTTCGAGATCTCGTAGAAAGCCAGCCGTGCCGTGAGGGCACGCACTAGCCGACTGAGGAGCCTGAGCGCAAGTTCATGCTCGAGTCTATCCGTAACATTTACCAACAAGGCACGACTTGCTGGAGAGAGCCTCTGAATCTCCGCATCAGGCAGAACAGTCCCAGCAGCACGCATGTGGACTATGTCCCGCCAAGTCTGCGGATCCAGTTCGGGAAGCGAGCTCACCAATGCAAAAAGCGCCACACTTACTACGTAAGCAGCTTCAGCGTCAGACATATGATCTTCACTTGACGAGGACAGTGACCCGACTGGGATGACTGGCGGGGTGCCGTTATTTGTTGAACTGGAGCTAATTTCCGATTGTCGCCGACTCCTAGAAGGAGTCGAAAGGTCCTTCGGAGGCGCAAAGACGTTCTCCAGCGCAGTCCAGAGACTATGAAGAGCAATATCCCAGGGACAGATGCGAAATAGCTGGCGGAACGTGAGCTCAAGCTGCTCGATATCCAGGCGCGTTTTCAAAATCTCATCTTCTTTCTTCAAAGAATCCGCTTCTCTTTTCCGAAAGGATCGGAGGATTTGCTTCGGGTTACTCAAATTATAGAAGACACTTTGCGCAACAAACGAAAAAGCCTCGCGCTGGCCAGGTTTGGCGTATTTCCAATCGACTTCGTCTAAATTGCCACTTGCTTCCATTGCACTAACTTCCAGTTGCCAGCTCTCAGCGTCATCCTCGTCACTCACAATCATCTGGCTGAGGCCCTGCACGATTTCCTTAGAGAGATGATCGACCGTCTGCACCGAAAGTAAGGTATCGCGTTGCTCGGGGCTACGTCGCACCTTAGCTTGGGGATCCTCTCCTGCCCGAGAGGCCGTAGCCAGGTCATCGTCCAGGTGGAGGTCTCGCGCTCTGACCCTGCGCCTGGGGGAGTCTTTCAACAGTTTTGAACCGTCCCATGATACACGTCTGTTGGCCTTTTTCTTCCCCTCCATATTCGAATTTGCGCCATCCGGATTCGCACCCCTATGTTTCTGAGAACGATGCCGCAACGCCGGTGGAGAGGGTAGTCCAATGGTTTCCTTTGTACTGGAGGGAGTATTCACCGACAGTTTCTTTGATTGTAGATCACGACGACTCTTATCGTCTGCAGTTGACCGCGCGGTTTGACGCCAATGTTCAACATCGTTAAACGAGAGTCTCTTGACCGGTTGTCCCGGTAGTTTCACCTCGACTGCAGTTGGTTGGGCGCTCGTCGACCGCGACGATGAGCGATGTATACCATTCCTAGCCATGCCAGTTGTAGAGACACTTTTTTGCTCACCAGAAACAGAACGCTCAATCCCATGCTGTCGTGCACTCCCTCTGCCACTTGGCGTTTCCGATTTTCCTAGGTCCCTGTTGCGTGGCTGCCGCGTGGTTCTCACCGAATCAACCGGATCGACCACTTCAACGGTGCTGGGAGAGCGTCGTAGCGGAAGCCATTCGACCATTCGCACTGAGATTGTGTCGAAGAGATTTTGTGTGAAAGACTTTGGATCCTTCAGCCTCTGCGCCCCTAAACCATCACCCTCCGACGCATATTGGTGTTGCCTCTGTTCTTCTGACGGACGAGCTGCCATCTCTCCGCCTTCTCCATCTGCCCTCTCTTTTGTCTCAACGTTGCGATTCTCTGTAGAGGTGATGTCTATATGCGATCGTGGCGGCTCATACCCGACATCCTTCGAATCACTGCAACTCAGATCAGGATGTCCAGTCGCGGCCTGATCGGTCGATAGTTGAGGGTTACTCCGCCTTTTTGAACGACGCGGACTCTCCGCTGGTGGGAAGTCGGATGGCAGACGCGGTGGGTTACGACAAAGGCCACTTTCCGCATTATCCAAGCTTGCCAAGTAACAGGCCAGCGTGCGTGCGCTTAATTCGGTATACCGTCGAAAGGGGCCCTCCGTCGCTCTTTTTCTATAACTAAGACACGTAGGGGTCATGCAGTTTGCATCTTGACATCCGTATAGTAGCTGGTTCTTGTACCTGGTGTGTGTCCCCATGTCAGCAGCTGGGTTCATCTGCGCCGGAATGCATTCCCCTTGAATTCCACGTCTTACCTGCGGACCAACAGGTTGAATTGCCTCCGTCTCTCTTCTTTATGCCATGGCAGAACATATTCGCTGTCGGTTAAATGGATGGTGTTCTGAATAATGACTTCTGGCGCATTGGGCGGCAGCTTAGCCCGATGACCAGATGGACGGTCACCCCCGTGAGAAGATCGTGCTGTCTCTGAAGGGCTCCCTGAGCCACCGCGGATTCTCGTCATGCCTATTTATGATATGACTCATATCCGGACGCTCTTGATGGCGCAAGAGAGGACGTTCGACAGTCTCTCCAGGCAGTGTTTCGTTCCTGAGATGATATGGCTGATATCATCGGGGTTCGCTTTTTAGCTTCAGCCTCCGCCACGGTAAGCCTCACCGCCTCAGGTGCCGGTTTCAGTCTAGCCGCTATGGGTTAGTGTATTGAGTGAACACGCTAAACTGCATGTGGACATCATCGCCACAACCCGAAAAGTCAAGTGACTTCACAGTTTGCTCGTTTTGCTCTTCTTTTAGTCAGACGGTCGAAAAGACGATATTTTAGTAACTATGATTATTGTTGAATTATCAAATCTGCAGAGCTCAATTTCATTTCCTGTTCCCTAGTCTATTCCTTCATAGTCTCTTCCCATCTCTTATTCTATCGGCCAAGTCGACGGAGGGCGCTGAAGACATCCCTCCTCAACTGCCAGTTGCACACAGCGACCGCTTGGATACTTTTGCGGTATCGATAACCGCCACCACCCCTCCATCCCGCTTCTTTCTTGAGAAGCGTTCCACGACAACCATGGCGACCTTGACGACACAGGTTCTGGGCCAGGCTGATGGCGCCTATTCGAATGTGCCATATACATGCAATACATGTCTGGTAGCATTCCGCAGCAGCGATGCACAGCGGGACCATATGCGCAGAGACTGGCAGTAAGTTTCCAACGACTCACTGTAAGGAAAGCAAGTCGCTAACAGAGCCTACTCTAGTCTCTACAACATGAAGCGCCGTGTCGCTTCACTGCCTCCTGTTCCTCAAGAAGTCTTTACGGAGAAGGTCCTAACAGCCAAAGCCACCTCCTCCGCTGCCGCTGCCAGAGCCTCTTACGAGAAAACATGTGCTGCCTGTCAGAAAACATTCTACAGCGAGAACTCATACCAGAATCATGTGAAGAGCTCAAAACATAAGCTCCGGGAATCTCGAATGAAGAACAAGGATGCCGACGAGACGGCGTCTGTCATGAGCTCCGCCTTTTCACTAGGAGAGCCCATCAACCGAACTACTTCCGCTGAGAAGAGTTCCGATGCAGACACCGATGTGGACAAGTTGGCTAGTGGCTTGAAGACGACGACTATCGACGAAGAGGATGAACAAGAGGACGAGGAGGACGCAGAGGCGGATAAGGGGTTCAGCGTTTCTCGCTGTCTTTTCTGTCCAATTGAATGTTCCGACCTGATGGCAAATGCAGACCATATGTTGAAGGCCCATGGCATGTTCGTCCCGGAGAAAGATTACCTCGTTGATCCGGAAGGTCTCATGCGCTACCTGTACCGTAAGATCACTGAGGACAATGAGTGCTTATACTGCCATGCCATCCGCAGCACGGCTGCCGGTGTACGAACTCACATGCGCGACAAGGGCCACTGTATGATCGCCTTTGAGACGGAAGAGGAACAGATCGAGATCGGTCAGTTCTACGATTTTACAAGCACCTACTCGGATGATGAGGGCGAGTCCAGTGGCACTGAAGGCCCTGCCATGGGTGGAGTGAAGTTGAATGGATCGAATGCTGCTGAGGATGGCTGGGAGACCGAAAGTTCTGCGTCGTCACTTGATGATGCCGACGGAGCGCCACAGGAAAAGAGTTCTCGAGCACAGCCTCTTGCTATATATGAATCCGACTTCGAGCTGCACCTGCCATCGGGGCGGAGCGTTGGTCACCGTTCCTTGGCCAAGTACTACCGCCAGAACTTGCACAGCTACCCCAGCGCAGAGGAGCGCACAGCTCGCCAGCTGGCCATCGAGAATGGTAGTGCTGAAGAACCCGAGGAGACCGAGCGCGGACGGAACCGCAACCGTGCTGTTATCAGCCGCGCGAATGGCGGCATGGGAATGATCGGTGCCACAGACACTCAGAAACGTGAAGCCCTAACTGAAGAACGCAGACAGCGTACTCGTGCGTTACGGCAAGAATTACGCTATACTGCCAAGGTCAACAAGGCCGCTAATTCCCAGAAACACTTCCGGGTAAGTCTACTCGTCATTTGATCGATGATTCCAGCAATCGCTAACGGCTTTCTACAGGATCCTCTGCTACAGTGATTGTCTCACAATTTGAGACCCCTCCTTGGTGGTATCACTCTGTTGGTCTTGCTTTCTGAAAAGTACTTCTCGGTCGGTTTTTATAGGTTTGCGAGGTCTAGCCTAACGCAGTGGTCATTATTCTCCTTCCATCTAGTTATATGAGACGACGTTTAAGATGTAGATATTCGGCCGGGATACATGATCTGTTATCGAACCTCAAATTCAATCAGGGGTTCCCCTCAACCAATAAGGGATCCATTAATGACAGCATGGATATATGATCATTTCTTATTTCAGAGTACTGCCTCCATGTAATAATGGACCTTTGAGGTAAAGAAATAACCGTGAGCTCGATCAGATATATGGAGCTCGCCCATCTCATGTGCTACGCTTCATCTCTAGAGTTCCCTAGTATCCAGAGAACAAACCCGTCCAGATCAAGGGTCTCGGATCGTGTGGTTCCTAGTATCTCTGTTAAGATTGCCAGATATGTTAATACATACTATCAATAGTAGACTTCACCAAAACTACGCTGAGGAAGTGGAAACACACTCCTTGAGTCGATCGGTTCATGAATGGTAAAAATGGTTTGACGCTGTAAGCTGTGTCTATTCTATGCATAATTTTGCGGAATGATACAACGCCAATGGGATATCCTACATATGAAGGGAAAGATTTGAGCAGCAAGCTTGTCCCACGGCGAACCCCGCTACGGAGCGAATGTAAGAATGAAAAAGCACAATGAGGATGTCATGCTAAACAGGATACATCACGGTAGAAGAAGTATACATGCCCTGTGACAGGTATATCCTTAACGTCGGGCAACAACAGATTACTTTCAAGAATCAAGGCTGAAACAGCTTAACGTACAGTCCCCCACTCATGGAAAGCCAATATGCTCAGGTTATTGGTCTAAGAGCGGCTGCCGTTCTCCATCACCAGAATGCTTGGATTGTGTGTTGCGCTTCTTTCTACGGCGACGCTTCTTCGAGACCGTTTGTCCCGACACATGGGAAGCGCCATCGGACTCGTCTGGTTCTCTATGGCTGTTCGTTCTGTTTCCGTTCGGGCCACTATGCGTTTCGTGTGGTCTTTCGGTATCAGAAAAAGCATCGCTGTTGGTTTGAAGAATGACCTTCTTAATGCCGTTGACATCGACAACTTGTTCTGTAATGCTGCCACTCCTGGCAGGGCCATGGCACTGATAATTGGGTCGGAGTTGGTCGGAGGAAGGGCCAGATCCAGAGCTCACAGGTCTACTGTTCTGAGAACCACGTGAATCATCTCCATCAACCTCTTCTACAACTTCGGGGATGTTGATATTTGGAGCGGATCTAACGTAACCACTCTGGGAACCGTTGGAAACCTGGCTGATTGCGCCATTGGAGCCCCGCGGAAGATCTGTCATAGTACCATATCCGGATTTGAGCGCCCGAACACCATCTTTTGCATCCATTCCCGCTGATTGGATGATTCCAGCACTTGACCCCCCTTGATATTGAACGGACGCTGGCGCCTTCGGCTGATCGTCCGACATACGTCGGGCAGAATCTCCAGATCGCGTTGGAGACGCACCGGGCTTAATCTTCACACTCTGGTAGCGAGTCTGGCGAGGATTACTCGCCAGATTGGAAGGCCCTAGGTGTTTGAGGTGCTGCCTGATCTCGTCTGTCGTGCCAACCTTTGCAACAGTCTCATGTGTGGCATCCCCGGTCTGTCTTCTAATAAGAAACCGCGGCTGCGGTGCCTCCACGGAACTGGAACGCCGTGGGAGGTCTGGAGTCCCGTTTTCGGTGTCTTTCGGCAAGGGTTTCCCTTGCTTGTCGCCTAAATCGATCAGGTTTTGTTCCTGCTGTGACGGGAGTTCCTCCACAATGCGACCTTTCGGCACCCGCGATTTCGGAGCTGGGTTCAAACGTCTGATCGCCTTATGGACATCTATGAAGACATCAGATTCATCGATGATCTCCCTGCATACTCGTTAGCAACGAAAGGCTAGTTCCTCAGCTAGTATCCAAACTTACTCTCCAATAAGCTCCTCGATCACGTCTTCCAAGGTAACCACCCCAAGGGCTCCATGATCCTCTCCTGGGTATTCCGACACCAAGACCATGTGCGACTTACCCTCCTGGAAGAAGTTGACAATGTCCAGGCAACTGGTTTCGGCTCGAGTCTCGGGGAGGGTTGCCAGCGCGAAATCGCGCACCATCTTGCAATCCTCGGGATCGTAGGTGATAAGCATCTTGACCAGCAGCATACCCACAAAGTTCTGCGGATTATCCGGGGCATGTATGGGAATCCGAGAATATCCTTGGGAGAGAATCAGGTCCATCGTCGGTTCGTCCAGCACAGCATCCGCCGACATGGTAAAAACATCCTCCATAGGAGTCATGATGCTCCCGACTGACTTGTCTTTCAAATCAAGAACGGCACTAATGATGGTGACTTCGTCTGAGTTGAGCTGTTCGCCAGCCTTTCCCAAGGTCTTGTGCAAAGTCACCAGCGTCTTCAGGCCGGCCTTCTTGTAGATGGTTCCGTGGTCCTTCCCGAGCAGGTAGTCGAGCAGTTTTGCGACAGGCCATGCAACAGGCGACATTATATACATCAGAATCAGGACACATGGGGCCATCCAAGCGCCGATGGGGAGGCCGTATCGAACGCATATTGACTGAGGGACAATCTCGCCGAAGATGACTGCATGGCTATCAGCACCACCGAAATGATCGACGAACTTTCCTTCATACCAATCAGAACCGTACTGCCCACCACAGCGGGCCATCCGCCTCCTAAGGATCGGTCGAGAATGATGGGGAGAGTTTCGTTGGTGATGACGTTGCTAAGGAGTAGCGTCACCAGCACCCAATGCTTCCCCTTCTGCAACAATCTCAGGACGCTGGCCGCATTCTTCTTTTCTGTCCCTTCTCCGGATGTCTTGATGACCTGAAGATAGATCTCATCCTATACATGATTACTCCTGTTAGCAACACTTGGCGATGTTCTCTCTGATGGGCACCTCGTACCTGGCCCATCAACGCAATAGTCAGACCAGCAAACGCTCCGCCTGCAAGGACTAGCGCTGCTGCGACCACCAGATACAACCATAATTCTGGGTCGTCGGATGGTTTTGCGTCTTCCTCTCGCTTCGACAGGATCCCGGAGAACGGTGTCGGAGCAGCAGTGATAATCGGTAGTTGGGCAATCGCAATCAGAAGCACCTTGGCCAGGCCTAGTATGGCCGGTCTTCGGGTCACGTACGGATTTACGTGGGAAGAGTGCATCCCGATGTGTGATCCTTTTCAATACTGAGCGGACATTGTGACGATGTAGAAACAGGCGGCCAGAGTTACTCGATGACGTGATGACGACCGGGAGACGGAAGGAAAGGAGATGTAAATCCGCCAATGCGGCTCCAGGAAGTAGTCTTGAAGTCAGAAAACAGATATGGATAGCTTTACAATCAGCAGAGAGGCGGGTTTCGGCGTGGGAAGCACGAAAAAAAAGAGTCGGTGGACGGGGTGAACTTGCAGCTCGCCATTATTATTGCATCCTGAGGCTGCACGCGCGGCTGAAGCGGGGTGCGCTAAGGGGGCGCTTGCAGCCTCAGGCAGTAAAGGTACCTAAGGTGTCGACATATTCTTGCCTGATCCTCAAGGCCTCACGTCCTGCTGCCCCAGGCATCAAGAAGCTCGGTTAGTCTCGGCGTTCCGCAACTGTATCGGATCCGGGGTTGATCTGGGGAAGGCATACCATAATAATAAATAATATCTATCTCCCACTTCCTCAGGGCTCTTCAGGTTCATCTACCTGTCGTCTCCCTGCCTGTTGAACTATGTCCCTTCTTCGTACAGCTTCACACCGTCTCCCACGCAGAGTATCCGTATGGCAGTGCCGTCCCTACTCCGCGGGGCCTCCCACCCCCTCCGCACGGCTCAATCTGCCTATAGACTACAAGGCGACCCCTCTCCTTCATCACACGCCTTCATCGCTGTCAATGTCCCCAGAGCTACCTCAGAATTCAACAAGTAAACGACTCAACCTATATCAGGCAATCAACTCCGCTCTTAGAACCGCCCTGTCGGCATCAGATCAGGTTATTCTGTTCGGGGAAGATGTGGCTTTCGGCGGCGTCTTTCGTTGTTCGGTAGATCTTCAAACGGAATTTGGGTCGGAGAGAGTCTTCAACACACCGTTGACGGAGCAAGGCATTGTGGGGTTTGCCATTGGAGCAGCAGCACAGGGATTGAAGCCTGTGGCGGAGATCCAGTTCGCGGATTATATCTTCCCCGCGTTCGACCAGATAGTCAACGAGGCCGCCAAGTTCAGGTATCGCGAGGGCTCGACTGGTTCCAATGCAGGAGGCCTAGTGATTAGAACACCTTGCGGTGCGGTGGGACATGGTGCTCTGTATGAAACCCCAGATCAACCCACTCGTGGAGACAACATACATATATATATAACTGCAGTTTTATGAATGACGTCCCTAACGTTTCGTTCTTAGGTACCACTCACAATCTCCAGAATCCCTGTTTGCCCATGTTCCTGGCGTGCGCGTCGTCATACCGCGATCGCCCACTCAAGCAAAGGGGCTTCTACTATCGGCAATCTTTGAGTGTAATGATCCTGTAATCTTTATGGAGCCCAAGATCCTGTACCGAGCGGCCGTCGAACATGTTCCGAACGAGTCCTATACTATCCCTCTTAGCAAAGCGGAAGTGCTCAAGCCTGGGAAAGATCTAACGATCATCTCTTACGGTCAGCCCCTCTACCACTGTTCCGCGGCAATTGCAGCGGCAGAGAAGGCCATGAACGGCGTGGAAATCGAACTTATAGATCTACGAACCATCTATCCCTGGGACCGACAGACCGTTCTCAACAGTGTGAGAAAGACAGGGAGAGCGATCGTGGTCCATGAGAGTATGGTCAATTATGGTGTCGGTTCCGAAGTTGCAGCCACCATTCAGGATGGTGCGTTTCTCCGTCTGGAGGCTCCAGTAAAGCGTGTCGCTGGGTGGAGTACTCATACGGGACTGTCTTATGAGCGGTTTATTCTACCTGATGTGGCACGTAAGTTAGCTTTTCCCTTCCGGCTCTGGTGATGGATATCTGACATTCTCTAGGAATATACGACGCCATCAAGCAGACGCTCGAGTACTGAAGCTGTGTGCTTGATCCAGCGGTGCCTCTGGTGTTGATTCCATAGAGGAAGGACTGAGTCGACCAAATGTTTCGATTGGGAGCCAGAGATAACGGGCGTCTTTGTGCAGGAGAAGGACTTGCTCTTTTACCTCCTTATTCCCCTGTCAGGGACGCTCGGCGAGGAAACATATGCTCTGCACTGCCTCTGCTACGAGTAGCGATGTTCTCGCTGGGTCTGGTGTTCCACCCGCTGCATAGAGAAATATTTTCTGTTTGTTCTGTTGTATTTGTGGGACTATCTCAGCTGTCCCAGCGGCATGTGCCATGTCACGTAGATACAAGAATATGGCGAGCTCTGATATCATGAATCACTTTATCCAAGCATGTTGCCCCCCTTCCGACACTATAATCCGTATCCTAGTACCCCAAAACAAAGACACTCTAGGCCCTAATTATAGGGAGCTGCCGTTTTGTAACAGCATCCAGCTAGCTTGCAGCCTTGACCAACACATTCTCCCAGAGTGCTCCCCAGGGTTGCAACAAAGCATTCTGCACTCGAGATTGAAAACAGTGAAGTGAATACGAGTCCCCTCCTGGCAACCATTCACTTTCACGTCCTGAATGGGCTGACTCTCGGATAAATTCACATCTCTCAGAGTGTTCCTCCTTATCCTCTACTCTTCTCCATTTACATGCAACTTTACTCAAACGTATCGAAACCTACTCTCTTCGTATCTGACAGCTCTCCTCTACTTCTTGATCTTCTCGCTCATCTTTACTCCGACATATCGAAACCTACTCTCTTCGTTTCTGACAACTCTCCTCTACTTCTTCTCGGTTCTTCTCTTCTCTCTACGTCCTTTTCCTCACTCCCCTCGTCATCAGGGGTTCAAGCGTGCCGTGAAGTGGCCAGGACGTGAGGAGGGCTCCTGCTCCCTTCATCGCTATTTTATCCTTTACAACCGTCCACTTCTATTGAGAGCGCGTTTATCTGAAGGTCACAATGAAGTCTGGCTCAATGACCTGGGATGATGTGGGCGTGACAATCCAGGGGCTCCTCTTTCTTGGGTGCCTCTGTTGGAGGTTTTCGGAGTACATCCAAAACCTCCTGCCACTCGCCCACATCGTGGCCAAAGTGGTCAAATTCGCCTTTCTTGGGCCGACGCTGCTCTCGTTGGACTGCGTCATGATCACGGTGTCGGAACTGGCCTCGATTCGTCGCGACACGCAGCTTACCATCAAATTCGAAAGCCTGGTTACCAGGCTACGAATGAGACTGGAGCAGACAACATGCGTGCGGGCAATCGCCGCGATGTATAACTTTGTCCTTCCCCCGTCCCACGTGCCGCCAATCTTGCGGGTTCTTTGTGGTTTGTTCGTCTGCGTCTGCATATATCCCCTCGCCCTGTACTTGGCGTATTACGCCTGTGGGCTGAGTGAGGGTATCTTGTCAAAGCATGCAGAACTGTCGCTACGTTGCATGGAAATTTATTCCACGTACGACAGCCTTCCATACTGGACCCGCCGACAGCGGATGGAGACTTCGTTTTGCTTCGGGGAAGAAGCTGGTCTCGAGTTGCAGGCTTGCCTGCAGGACATCGCCAATGCCGTAATCAGCTTCATGGAGAACTCCCTCATGTCGACGCCTGCTTTGGCCTTTGTCGTTTTCTGCCTCGCCTGTCTCTTCTCCCTGTTCCATTCTGTCTGGACAGCCAAGCCAAACCCCTCTGCTTCAACAGCCATCGAACCGAGTCTGTATGCGGTACGGGCCGCAGAGATTTCTGCTCTGCGGTCCGCCAAGTATAAACTCGGGGTCCAGGTGGCCCAGTTGAATCGAGAATTGAAGACGGCATATGACCGGCTGACCCATGCCAATGTCAAATACGCGGCAATGCTCGACAAAGCCAACAAGGCAGACGCGTCCTGGATGTCTCTTGTCAAGATCAACGCAGGGCTCCGAACCAATGTAAATTGGCTCGAAGAGCGCCTGTCCAAGGCCCAAGACGACGCGGTACAGACGCTGACCGACCAAGTGGCGCGACTCACGCAGCAGCTCGCCAACAGCCAGGAGGGCGTCGACAGCGCCAACAGTGAGCTTGGCTCACTCAGGAACACTCTCCAGGCCCAGGCAGAGCAACTGGCAGCCACAGAGAAGCGTCTGCAAGAGACCCAGGACACAGCTGAGAAGGCTTCCCGGGAAGTCCAAACACTTGCCGCCGCCAAGATTACCGATCTCACCTCCCAGTACGACAACCTCAGGTTGTCATACGACAATATGGTCGAGAGACTCTCTATCCTGGAATCAGTCAGGCAGGAGCGAGATGACGCCGCGGCACGGGTCATCGCCCTCCAGAGAGAGCTGGAGTCGACTAAGCAGATCGCGGACGAGGCGTACAAGCAGTGGGTGCGCGCCATAGAGGCTGCACAGGAGAGGGAACGGGCTCTCAGCCAGCATTTCCAGGCGGTCCAGAGCGCCTTCGAAGAGCAATGCCGCGCTGGTCAAGAAAAGGCGGTTGCCGACGCCATGTCCCAGGCGAAGGCATCTGCCACCATGGCATTCCAGGCGGAGCGGGAGGAGCTCCGTCGGCAACTCAAGAAGGCGCTCTTGGATGCGCAGACGGGCCAGCAACAGGCCCAGAATCTGAAAGAGGAGGTCGAAAACCTCCAGCTTGATCTGGCTCGTTTCGGGGTCTCCTTCGGGAGCAGCCAATCCATCCCCGAACGCAAGGCAGCCAATCCGTCCTCGACCCTAGTCCGAGGCAGCATCAAAACTGCCCTCGAAGACCGGGACGTCAAAATCCAAGCCCTCGAGCACGAAGTCGAGGAGCTTCGGAAGAAGTCCCGCGAGGGACTGACGGATACGCGGCTGAAGGCTGTGGCCGACAAGCTGGGGAAGGACCTGAAGGAGGAGAAGGCCGCTCGAACCAACGACCAACTCCGCTGGCACAAGCAGCTCCAGGAGCTACAAGAAGAGAACCGGAAGCTCCGGATTTCTCTTTCCAATGCGGAGTCGGCTCTTGGTCGTCGACGGACCTCTAAATGAGGCCGGGCAAGACGAGCTGGCTTATGATTCTCGTGGGGTCGATCCTATTCCTACGCGCAAATCTAGGTGAATTCCTAGATCGCCGTGGTCGATTCGGACAGGGCCCCGGATCATAACCTCCGGATGGAAGATCTCAGGGTGGGGAGGAATACTGGAATCAAAACCTTGGAGGCAGGGCGTTGGGCCTTGTCGGTGTTGCTTTATTCTTGTATCGATGTGGACCAACTCGCGAGTTCAAGGGCCCATCGATTGGCTTTCTTTGTACAGACACCGGGAGGGGGTAAAGATGCACTCGGTATCTTTTTTCTTTTTTTCTTTTTTTTTTGTATTGGCGTTGGCCCGAAACTCGCTGGTAGAGCAGACGGTGCCCGTCAAATTTTCTTTTGTACAAGATCAAGTCTGATGACATGACTGACGACCGTCATGACCAATGAAAGGCACTTTCTTTTCTTTCCGCGCCATAAATTCATGCATCGTATAGGGAAATCAATCAATCCGGTCAATCTGTTTGAGAAATTGATAATAGGTAATGTGAGGAAGAGAACATTTAGTTCATGAGAATAACTTATTGTAACAATCAGAACAGTGGATGCGTTGGGGACGCTAGTCATTTAGCTGTACTCTAGAACACTTTGTGTGCAGTATCCATTATCGGGTAATTCTTCTTGTAATTCCCTGTGGACAGTTTATCTGTGCGGGTCGGCGTTCTTCCTGGAGCAGTCGAGTCGCACGGTGAGTACTAGGACGCTGTATATCTAGGTAGTCGTTGATGAGGTTGAAAAACAGTCCATTAGAAGGAGAAGATGTGAAACGGCTTGGTCGTGCAGTGCAGTTTCAGTGACAGGTCACCCTCCCATCCTCTTCTCTTGATGGCGCGACCATCGAGCAGTGGGCGTGACTAGTCCGTGATACTACCGGTAGTATCAGATAAGCCGCCGTCGATCGAGAGCCAGTCGTGTTGTTGATCGAAGTCCAAGCTGGGACCACGCCGTTGATGGTGCTTTATCTTTCTAGACCGATCGCTCGCCCCTTTCAGTGACTCCAAGAGTCCAAGCAAGGGCCCTGAAGAGGAGCGTTCCTGGCTTAGCCGCTTCGGTTTGGGCTGGTTTCAGCCTCGCGGGCAACACCATCCATTATTCCCTCTCGTCCGCGTCTCTTCTTCGTTCTTCTTCGCTCTGTATCTTCTCCTGCCCTGTTCGTCGGCATTCCTGCGTGTTTGATTGCTCTGCGGATGCTTTGCATCGTGCCACTCCCTCGAATGCTCGATTCGTCGTTTACCAGCATTCTTTACACGCTCTTATCCCACCCCCGCAGTTGAACCAGTTCACTGACCCATCGGACCCTCCTCCAACCCCTATTTCTTGGCATTCCCGAGCGCCAACCACTCGAGCTATAATAGCATAGCAGCAGCACGGCTCACTCAACCCTACTCTAGAGCATTCGGGCTGGTCCGTCGAATTGTTCTTCTATATCCTCTTGTGTCCGTGTGTTCCTTTGTACAGGAGACCAAAAACAGCTCGAGGGGAGAAGAAAAAAAGGGCCTTGGGTGGGAGTGTACCGCACATCTGAGATATAACAGCTTACGGGCGACCGAGATGGGTGATTGGACCAGGATGACTGTCTGATATTACAACACCAAACCGAACAAAGCACGCTCTTTCAGGACTATCGTCATTGTCCGTCTCTCATTTGAAAAAGCTCGACTTCTCACCGGCTGGTCCGAAGAAGTCGGATACGCTACTTTGGAGAGCCCACCGCTCTCGATTCGATCATTGAATATATTCTGGTTATCTGTTCCTGGCCGGTCCAGGCGTCACCAAGATGGGTTGTTGTGGAGATAGAGAGAAGCAGAATCAGATTCGCGCTGAGCAGAAGTGGGATTACATCGTAAGTTGACTCCCGCTGGACTTACAACGAAGCTGGATGCACTGACGACTACCCCAAAGACTCTGGACGACTTCAAGTCCAGTTCCTGCCTCACCCCTTTCTCGTATTTCTTCCTCTATGTATTTCTGCTGGTTTCGATTGCAGTGTACTCGGTTGATACCTTTACGGCTATCCAATTGATCGCCTTCGCTCACTGGGCCGGTCAGATCAAGCCAAGCATCCCCTTCACCGTATCGCGCTGGATCTTCGCTATCTGTATCTGCATCTCGTTTCTGTTACTCATCTATCGATGGATACGAGCAATTCGCGCGATGCGAACAGGCGGCGTCGCGGAAAGCTATCTGGATCCTCTCGCCGTCCGCATCCAAAGTATCCGAACGGGAAAGCGAGGCCGTGGCTGGAAGCGATTCTTGGTATTCGCCGAGCTGACCAAAAGTAAGAAAGGCGCCGAGTACATTGCTCTCTTCGCATACTTCTCCTTTGAATGTGAGTCCGTCATCCTCCATCTACCCCCAACTGTATCAACTGACGGTGAACAAGCATGGCTCCGTGTGGTCTTTGCCGAAGGCCCTCGCCAGGTGGTCAATGCGATAACGCTGTACTCTGTCATGCAATTGAACTTGATTCCGGAAGGACAACATGCGGCCCCTAAAGGTACCCCACCGATTGAGCAGTTCTTCATCAACGTCAAGGCATTGGCAGAGAAGAATGATCGGCAGGCAGTGGTGCTCTTCGGTATGCTCTTCACCTTGATCATCTGGGTCATCTCGGTTCTCAGTCTGGCCGTTTCGGTCATTCTATACCTGATTTTCCTGTGGCACCATATTCCGACCGAGGACGGCTCCCTCAGGGCCTATTGCCGTCGCAAGATCAATACCCGTCTCGAGCGCATTGTGAAGCAGAAGGTCAACAAAGCCCTGGCTAAGGGTGTTGTCCTACAGGACCGGAAGCCAACTCAGCCCAATGTTGGAGCCGGAGCCGACATGAAACCGTCTCTTCCGACACTACCCTCCGTGGCAGGTCCGGACTACAGCAGGCTGCCACTGTCTCGGACAACCACTCAGACCACACTTCCACCGTACACGTCGCGACCTGGTACTGCCGCGCCAGACGAAAAGCCAGGTTCCCTGCGACAGCCGACGTTGCCTGATTTAGGCCTAGACAACAAGTCTCGTTTGACCAGAACCACGACGCAGGGTTCCAGTATCGATGAGAGCTCTTTTATGGAGAATTCAAGGGTTGTGGGATATAGCCCCTTGGACCGCTATCAGCCCTCTCCAGCTCCTTCTGTCCCGACACTACCAGATATTCCTCCCGTGCCTCGATCCTATACTCCAGTATCAGGACCGCCTATGGCTCAAGGCCGACCAGCGCCGGGGCCCTCACACATGAATGGACCAAATCGTGGACCTGCGAATGGAGGATATCCTGGCCCTGGACAAGGCTATGGCTACCCTCCACGCGGACCTCCGCCAGCCATGGGTCGTCCTGGGTTAAATCCTCCAGACCGCGTCAACAGCCCTGCTGGCACGGCACCTCCTCGTTCATTCACCCCTATGGGCAACCCTCCGGGTCGTCCCTTCAGTCCTGCAGTCAACGCACCCGAGCGTCCCTACAGCCCTAGCGCTAGCAGCGTTAATTCAACCCGACATTTCACTCCCGCTAATGGCAATACGACAGCCCCCCCACGAAATGATCAAAGCTATGTCCCGTTCAATCCTGGTATGGGTCCTAGGGCGGCCGAAACTCGCAATCTGACACCAGCCTCCCCTTCATATGCCAATGCCAGCTTCGCCAGACCGAGCCCCAGTCCGTCTGTTCCGAATGGCAGCCGTCCGCCGCCTCAACGGAGCTACAGCCCTGCCCGTTACAACGGCTACTAGTACCATGGTCTCTGCTGCCTCCTTTTTCAGTGTCTATCTCGCATCACCATGCAGCGCAGGGCGCTCTAGCCTCTCGTTTTGCGATAACCATCCAGGATCTGGTGCCTAATATCCGCTCGCTACCGCCAGCATCTATCATAATGGCGTTCGTTGCGAGATCTCGGGACATACAAGGGAAACGCTAGTAGGAACCTTGGGAGCGTCAAAGCCCTAATCATGTTACATGGAAGAGCTGGATCTAACTTCTGTGATTTTTACGACCTGGACATGAGCGAGCAAGATACCTTGTCATTTCTTACAATACTTGATTCCGCAGTTAATACCCACCTTCGTTTCCGTTTCACATACCGTCGATTTGTTCTTTAGCTCCGGCTGCGTTGACACGATGTCGCGCAGGTTTTTGTTCCATGTATTTATTAGTACGGTGGGGCTGTTCTGAGAAAGAGGCCTCTTCCCTTTACTTTGGGCGTCAGGCTAGATTAACTTTTTGTCCTTGATAGGGAGAGAAAAAAATAATACGTGATCTTGAATTGTTTAAGTTTGGTGGTAGCCGAATTGGAAGCTCTTGCACATGTCACGGTTGATAACTTTCATCAGATTAGATCCTGGGATTCTGGTGCGCAGTCAGCCCTAGCTAAGTAGTCAGTATCCTTGAGTGTAGCGTAGCCCCCGTGTGCGTCGCTGTATTGCAGTGTAACTTTGAATACGAGATGCATCCCACAACGCGATTGTTTTGGAGAGCCGCGATTATGGTTCGCTGTTGGCTTTTGATGGCGGTCGAGATTTCTATTCAAGAGGATCGCCCGCGTACATCTCTGGTTTCTCATTTACCCCAATGGACAAAAATATATATATACGATACCACGCTCTACCTTTAGACATCGATTGTACAGGCCGGGACGCATGGTACTTCGACGTCTCCCTACTGTTTGTGTAGACATCATCGCTATTAATAATAATATTGCAATCGCCCAAGTTTAAGAGATAAGATAATTACTGTATAGTAGTGTATACTATATAGAGCGATCCATAGTCGTGTTTTCGTGATAGATATGCCCTCGAGGCGGTGAAGTCGCGGGCGGGGCAGCGCCAAGTACGAACTGCCGCCGATCGACGTCAAGGTCATTATTGGCAGCCAGAAGACGAGGCAGAAGCTCCATCACCACGGTTTCTACTAGAGTTCGTGGATCTATCTAGAGAGAGCCAGTGAACTCGTGAGTACTAGTGTCCCAGATCCCAGCTTACGTTTCTTACCCGCCTGGAACTTCATCAGGACTGACATTCGGGTCTCTTCCCAGTACGACCTCACTACCTACTAGCTACCCTGATAGTGGTCGTTCACCCTACAGCAGCGAACGACAACCGTCCCATTTTCGCATCCCCTGACCGGCCATTGCCACCATGTGTTATCGTATCACGAGGAGTTATACCTTGAGAACGTTTTGAGCTCTACCAAAATGGTGGACGCGAACGCGTCGATATCATCCCCCGCCTTTCGCAACTCATCGGCGCTTCCGTTGCAGAGCCAGTTGAGTGAACAGTTATGGCAACGGAAAGAACAAGGAGATGCGGCCACCCAGCCTGGCCAGAATGAAGAAAGCAGCAGTCATCTTGAACCTGCCCTGCGTCCTTCGACTATGTCTCGTTCCTTGTCAGATGCGGCCCAGAACACTGTCTCTGCTCAATCTGGACCCGCGGAGGTCTTTCGCACGACCAAGGACGATACCGCAGTACCGTCAAGCCCAGCGACACCACAAAAAGTGCATCCTTCCCGCCATGGACTCTCCCTCAATCTGCCTCCAAGGGCCTTTGCGAGTCCCGGGTCTGGTCCTGCAGTGAATCGCGGTCCGCTGTCACCGAAGCTGGACTCATCGCAAATATACGGCTCTCCCGCCTCGGTCTTACCCAGGCGGTCCAGAGGTCTCGACTTCTCGCGTGCCTGTACCAATCTTCACCACTCAACCCTCGCCGAGGCTTCTCCAGATTCATCCCCGACGATTGGTGGCCGAGGGATGACGATCCCGCAACGTCGTGGGACAGCGACATCAAGCGGCATGGGTGAGTTCTCGACGTCCGGTCCTGCAGATCGGACCGCCATCTCGAGTTCGGTCTCCAGTGTGAACATGCTCGACTCAGACACCACGAGTAGTGATGACGATGATGAAGAGCTGATGAATGGAGATCGAGATGAGATGATGATCACGGCGACCCCGCAGGCCAGCAAGACCGGCGGCGGTATTAATCCATTTGCGCCGAGTGCGATCCAGAGCCCTGGAAATGATTGGATGGGCGGTCCCCCAGCAACAGGAAGTGTCCTGAGTTTTCAGCGCGCCCGGCTGCGCAGCAGGAAGAGCAGACACAGTTCCAGTAGTGCTAGTGGAAACAGTTCCAAGCCCAGCCCTGGGCCGCTGTCGCCGCCTGTTATCAAGAGCATTGAGATGCCTAGCGGGGGATATTTCAGTCGGGATAGGTCTAAAAGTACCCTGCAGTCTAGGCGGGAGAGCCTGAGCCTTGGTACCCGCGATCTCTATCTCTCTGACCTCAGTGACGACGGGGAGGCTCGTACCACCAGGGGCAGTAGCCCAGCTGCGGCATCCAACGCCGAAGGCGGACCTCTGGGCGTCATTCGTCGAGCTGTGACTCGACGGGGAAATCTATTGGTAGGTGCTTACCATGTGTCTAATGCCCAGTTCAAAGCGAAGGAAATCAGTCTAACAGCAGATCGTATAGCCTAAAACAAAGACTTTCGCTAGGATCCGCGCTGCCCTCATGGAAGAAGGTGCCCCTATAGATAGTGAGGCGAAACGGGAGGCAGAGGTTATCCGTCAAGTACGCGAGAGTGATCCAGCCATATCAGAGACCTCTCCGGTCTTCCCGTCACTCGATTCTGCAGCGTTAGCCTTGGAAGCTGACGATGGACCGAATGCGTCTACGGATGGTGCTCAAGCAAGCAACAGCTTCAGCAACCACGCCCTGAAGAATTCAGGTGGTACAGAATTCTGGAATTCTTTTGACGAACGATATCGCACTCCGCCTCCACCCCTTCGCGCGCCAGGTCTCTCTGGGGAGGACATGACGATGGAGACACCGCCGTCCACGATTTTCGGATCAGCCTCAACGGACATCCCGAGGCTTCCCGAACGGCCACAATCAGGGTCTTCCAACGCCCAAGCTTCCCAGGCCTCTTTTGCTGAGCTTCCCCGCAAACGCAGGAGGGACGATGACTTAGATCCGAACTCGTTCAAACGGAGGGCAGTTTCTCCCGGGATGAGTGTTCAGAGCAGCCCGATCCTTCCCCAGTCACCGATGATCAAGGAGACCACGTTCTGGGGTCCGCCGCCAAAGTCATTACCTGGTGCTTTGGGAAGCGAAAATGGTAGCAACAGTAGCGGCCACAGTGGCCCTGTGAAGCGTGTTGGCCTGCAGGGAATGAACGAAACCAACGACGGGCTCATGAATATGAGCATCGAATGATGCCTGTTCTCTTCTATCAACCACTTTTTTCCACCTAATATTACCCTCGACGGTGTCCTCAATCGATGGCAACTACTAACAATACGCTTCTTGACCCAAGGTTTACAGTACATAGATACTTATTGTTCTGTCCTTCACTCGTTTGGATATTACAGCATGGCGGGGAGTTGGAGGAGTTCACATTATTTCTAGCAATCATTAATACTAGCGAACCTCATATCCTCATTTGCAGTCCGTATTGTTGTTAAGTCGAGTAGGCGTGCTCTTTGGACTGGCTGGCATATTAGGTATATAATAGACCCTTAAGCTTCCACGTTGCGTCGGTCGCGCTAGGTAACTTCAGTAGAGCTCCGCTTTCCGCTGTTGACACCGGCCAAGTGCTGCACCTACACCGTATCCTGAATCTCCCCGCAGCCCAAGCCTGCCGCGCTCTTTTCCTTGGTATCTGCTGGACAGGTCTTGATATTCTGCGATTTCCCACATCATCCCTCTCATTGACGACTATAGTGCGACTGTTGCGCCGTCATGTCCTCAGCTGTCGACATCGCATCGTCGTTCATTGAGGGCGCCCCGCCGGGCGAGGTGCGTCTATATGAGCTCCCCCGCTATTCTGTTACAGAATCTATCTTTTCCCAATATACTGACGTACTCTCAAGCTCTCTGATGTTGTTGCCGGTAGGACATCCCGCCCCTCAGAGCATTGTCCCGCTCTGCGAACTCTTCCTCCGACCACATACCAGACCCATCCCCGCAGAAGAGCACTAGCTGATGCGTCACCGTTTGAACAGATATCAGGGCCCTCACATCGGATGGACCAGACGTTATTCCCTCTCTGGCCCCAGCATTTGAGAGGTACAATGAGGCACAGCTGGCGACAGTGAAGCTGCCGGGGTCAAGCCAGGAGGTGCGTTGCGGATAGGTGGACATATGCCGGCCAGGAATGCTGATGAATTAATTGCGAGACAGGTCATCGTCAGTGAATTTAACAAATTGGATGGAAACCGTTACTACGACGTGGAGAGCTCGACATCGTTTGAATTCGACCATGTCACACAGGTATGTCCGGGCCCGGCTGCAAGGGAGTCTGAGAGATTGCAGCGCTCGACTACGGCTAATAACCATATTTCTGAAAACAGACCGCATCCAACACCCAATCCACGCCTTTAGAGTCGCAAAATGAGGACCTAATGTGAGAATCTTTCGGGGGCCTCGATACCACTCGGGAGGCAGGACAACCGCTGACATCGTTTGCTACAGTAAATCCCTTATCAAGTCTCTGGGTACCCATGCCCGCGAACACTACCCTAGCTGTTCATACGGTGTATACCCGATTGAGAATGACACCGCCGTTGCCATCGTGCTGGTCGCCAACAAATACTCCCCCAACAATTTCTGGTGCGTTTTTATATCTCCCATGGGGTGCATGCAACTCGAGGTGCGCAATTTGTCAATGATCCTAATCATTCTATGTAGGAACGGACGCTTCCGCGCCATCTACCAGCTTCCCGTGTCCTCATCCTCGACCGTGAGTGGAAAGATTCACGTCGATGTCCACTACTACGAGGATGGTAACGTCTCTCTGAGCACCACCAAGCCCATTTCAATAGCTATTCCATCTGTCTCCGCGGAGACAATCATCTCGCGCATTGCGACCGCTGAACGTGACTACCAGGAGGAATTGAACCGGGCGTTCAGCCGTATGGCCGAGGGGGCCTTCAAGGGACTTCGGCGGCAGTTGCCCATCACCCGACAGAAGGTGGAGTGGGAGAAAGTTGGAGGATACCGATTGGGACAGGATATCTCCGGTGGAAAGGGACGATAGGCACGGCATTGTTAACACAACCTGCCATTTTAGATTCCATGGTGTTTTGCCTTTGTGTGTGTTGACCTATAAGCGATGCCGCTGCCCGCCGTACACTGAGAGAGATGACTATTCCAGGGCAGTCATGAGCCGTTCTTTGTACTGTACATGATTCTCGCCCGGCAATAGCCCTCTCGTGGAAATAAATTAGCGAGTTTATTGACTTCTGAAAGCGAAATGCATCATCAGAGGAGACAAAATGTCCGTAAGTAGTCTGATGTGCTATTTCATGCCATTGTCTGGTAGGTGACATTATCCCTTGGCACCACCGCGATAGTATAGTAATTGAATTTCCATTGACCCTCGACCCGGTACTTGCGCAGGAGTATCTTAAGAACACAACAATGAAATAATCATGGCGTGCAGGTCAGTCAAGAGGACGGGCGGGACATTTGTTAACTAGGTAACTAGTTACTGTAACTAACCAGTTAGTGAGGATCTGAGATCGCTACCTAAGGTACCTGAGACTAGACACCGAGGACTTCCGTACGATCAATGTAATACTGCATATAGATTCCCCTCGTCGCTTCCGCTTCGATACAGATCCATTCATGACCTTCCCCTAGCTATTTTTCAAGACCGTTGCTTGTATTTGAATCTCTTTTCTTGGAGTGATGGCCGCATCTACCAATATCGTTTCCGAGAAGAGTAAGCAGACTCACAGTCAGAGCCAGCATGAGAAGACAACGACCACCAATCAACCGGCGCCATCCTCTTCTCCGGGGAGGACCGTAAAACAGTTCGCCAATTTCACGAACCACGGGATTGGGTTGGAAAAGACGCTCCGACTGGTACAGGCTCTCGCGCAAGTGGGTGCGGAGGTGCTGGTTGATACAGACGAGGAGTTGGCGAAACGGTGTGCCATAGCCAAGGGGCAGCTTGCTCTGTGTGAGTAGTATATTCTGTCTAGGACTTGTTTCCTGCGTCACATACTGGGTAGTATGTCGACGATACATTATCGATCGTTTGCTGACATCTGCAGCACGACGATATTTCCGATTCTTCAAGTTTTTCGAGTGCTTCGAGCGAGTGACCGCCCTGCTTTCAACGACGGGCCAGAATGATTCGATTCACACGACGTTGGAGTTGGGCAAATGGAGCTGCTTGGGAATCTATCTGGTGATGGAGGATTTGACCATTGTAAGATCTCTTTTTTATTGTTTTACTTTCTGCCGCATTTCCGCGCGATCTGTAGGCTGTTTGCCTGCGGGGATGGATACGGATATGGCCCAGATGTGTAGTTATCTATGTTTGCTTACAGAATCTGTGGTCAGCTGGATGCGATGGGTGTGTATTCGACCAGCTGGAGCGACTGGGTGCTGCTGGAGGCGCACAAATTCTGGTTCTGCGCGCTGTCCCTGTCGCTATTAGGCTCGCTCTGGATGCTGCTTGTTGCAGACAAGAAGGCCTCGGCGTCCAAGTCTTCTCCCTGGTTGAAGCGGATAATTATTGATGGATGTGATCTGCTAATCCCAGGGTCAATGGTGGGCTGGATTGCGGTGAGTCCGCTGGTTGTGGCGATGAGTATGGTGGCGAGTACATTGCTAGCGGCGCAGGATATCTGGACGCAGGCGCAGGTTGGGGTGCGGCAGTGAGTGTTGTGAAACCGTTGTCCCCAACTTTTTTGTCTGCCGTATTTCATTGCGCTTTAGATCTTTAGCTGTTCCATCCGGGTTTGCCTGGATAACGATATAAGAACCAATATTCCTCGTGGTCGGCATTTCCTGCCGAAGTAGAGACAATGTCTTTCACAAAGGCCAGCATCCCATTGGGGAGAAGGCATTCTGAGTGTCCGCTAACTAGTTAGTGGATTTCCTTAGTGGATGGCTTCAATCTTGTCTTGTCTTCTCTGACAGGTTGTTGATCATCCGTCGGCCACGGTTTCCGATTCCCCCATGTTAGATACCTAGCAGGTGGAATAAGTAATACCATGAAGGCCCCCGGCGGATGCTTCGGTTCTTCAGCATTATTTATCATTACTCCATGGATAGTCAATATTGATTTCGTACAGATCTCCCCGTGAGGGTGCCGTGACCCTCAAACAGGCTATTTTTGTCATCTTCAGACCGGTCGTTTCTCGGAACTAGGCTGACAGGAGAAGATATCCGTCACGGCTAAATGCAGCCATAATGATTGCCGGAGCCAAGCGTAGAGTATGCTTTAGAGTGCAGCCTGGGCATCCGCCGTTCCTGGTATTCAAAAGAAGGGTAAATAGAAGATCCGATCGCGGAGGTTGCATATATATAAGATATCTTAGGTAGGGATCAAGGAGTTCTCTCATCCAGCTCCGAGCAACGAAAGATAGGCCATCTGGAGAGGAATCGTGGAAAGATATGCTCTCTGTCTCTCTGCTCTTGTCTTCGTTCGTCTGTAAAACGGATATTCCTCTGCTGAGAAAAGGTCCGTCGCGATTAATTGCTTCGTAAAAACCCCGCAGTCGTGGAGGGGGAGAATCCAGACCCTCAGGTGGTTCCGAAGTCGTTTCTCACCGGCTTCAACGTCTTCGAAGCCAAGCGACTCTGCGGGCGTGTTTGGCTAACTCTAGACCCCTGATGGGCCGTACCCAGCACGTCGGTGGCGTTTGCCGACCGAATTGATGTGGGCAAAGCAGGATTTCTTATCGAAGAAGGATAATAATAATGGAGCTCAGTGGGAAAAAAAGTTAGACGTTTCGGGTTCGACGATGTATAGTTGGTAGTTACATAGTGACCTGGGGCAACTGGCTGGACAGCATTCTAGACCTTCCTCTCAGCCATCACAGCCATCAGTCCTCACCTCTGCCTTTTGCCATTCCTTACTGCTGCTTCTCCTCCTATCAGACGATTATCTAGACCTCTACAAACCGTATGCTGTAGTCGGTGCCGTACGGCGGATGGCGATGACCTCTCTACCGCTGCGATCCAAGGCGGACGAGGAGGCGCGCCTCCGCAATCAACCTACCACGAGCAACACCGCTGCTGCTCCTCATTTGAATCTCCCTCTCGTGTTGACCCCGGAGTCAGAAGAGGGAAGAGAACTCCATACCGATGATGATGAGCAACAACAAAAATCAGAAAAAAAGGCACACGCATCCGCAAAGGCCACGGACGAGACGACATCCACAGAAGACGATGGACCCTGGGCGCGCATCTTCGTCCGCACGCCAATCCCAACACTCGTTCTCGACGCAGACCTGGACATCATCCAGGTATCCGACAGCTTCCTGGCGCTGTCAGGACATACTCGGGAAGAATGTCGGGGACGGAGCGTATTCGAGCTGACCAGCATCGGCATCCCCGCGGTCGGTCCCGCTGCCTACCGCAACACCATCTCGACAGCTATCGCCATCCGCGCTCCCCAGGTGATTGTGGACGTCGAATGGGCCGGTCACAGCCTCAGCAATCTACGGGTGACCCCCGTCCATGAGGGGGACAGGCTCTGCAACATCCTGATCGAGGTCCTCGACATCACAGAGATGGTGCCGCGACGGAGGCCTGGCCGGGAACAGCTCTACGTGAACGAGACCTACCGCATTCTTATCGATACCGTCAAGGACTATGCTATCTTCATGCTCGACACTGAGGGCTACGTGCTGACCTGGAACGCGGGCACCTCCATCCTCAAGGGATACAGCGCAGAAGACATCATCGGCCAGCACTTCTCCGTCTTCTACGGCCAGGAAGACCGAATCGCCGAGAAACCCAGGAAGGAGCTGGAGATCTGCAAGCGGGATGGCAAGGTCGAGGATGAAGGCTGGCGATACCGTAAAGATGGAACCCGTTTTTGGGCCAATGTCATGATCTTCCCCGTTCACCAGTGTGGCCGCCATGTCGGTTTCGCCAAAGTCACCCGCGACTTGACCCCCCGGAAGGCAGCAGAGGCACGCCTGATCACCGCCTACGAAGAGTCGTCTAATATGAAGACAGAATTTCTAGCCAACATGAGCCATGAGATCCGGACGCCGATGCATGGCATGCTGCTCGCCCTCACCCTCCTCTCCGGCACCGAGCTCTCCGAAAATCAGAGAGAGTACGTCTCCATCATTGAAGAATCGGGCTCTATCCTGCTGCAGGTCATCAACGATGTGCTCGATTATTCAAAGCTGTCATCGGGCTCCTTCTCGATCAACGCAGATGTCCTCAGTGTCGAGGATGTGGTGGGATCGGTTGTGCGCAACTGCAGGTCCGCCCTGAAGCCGGGCGTTCAGCTAGAAACTATCATTCAACCTAATCTCCCGAAACATCTCCGCGGTGATCCCCTGCGTTTCCGCCAGATCGTCCAGAACCTTGTTGCCAATGCTGTCAAGTTCACTGAGCAGGGATATGTCCGCGTTCATGTCAGTTTCACCGAGGAATCGAAGGGTGACGGCTACATCGTCCGCTGCGAGGTAGTAGACAGCGGTATCGGTGTTCCTGAAGATGCCGTGAGCACCCTGTTTACCCCCTTTATGCGCTTTGCAAATACGACCCAGCAGCGCTATCAGGGCACCGGGCTAGGTCTCTCCATCTGCAAGAGTCTGGCGGAACTCATGGATGGCTCTGTGGGCTTTGTTTCGAACCCGGAGGGTCAGGGAAGTGTCTTCTGGCTGTCACTGCGACTAGAAACGCTGGAGACCAGCCAGTCGGACAAGCCGCAGCGCATGAATACCCCATCTCCAGACCCAAGCAGTGCCATCCGGGACGTAGCCCCCCGCAAGCAGCTGCTGCTAGTGGAGGACAACACTGTCAACCAGACCATCATGCTGAAGCTGTTGAAGACTCTAGGATTCGAGCGGGTTGATGCGGCGTGGGATGGCGCAGAGGCTGTCTCACTGGTCCGGCAGAAACCCCTGTCCTATCACGCCATCCTTATGGACATCAATATGCCGGTCATGGATGGCATGCAAGCCACGCAGGAGATTCGAAAGATGAAGTCGGACATTCCAATAATTGCCATGACCGGGAACGCACTCAAAGGCGACGAGGAGACATATCTGGCTAAGGGGATGAACGATTACATCGCTAAACCCGTTAATCGGCAACATTTGATCAGAATTCTTTTAAGGTGGCTGGAATGACGGGTTGCTTTCAGGTAGCTTCAGTGTCTTCTCGACACTCTTCTTGCAGCATTTCTTTTTTCCCCCAGATTATGCAAGCGTGTCCGCAGTGGACCGCCGATTATGTTATATGCCAATTTCCCGGTCATCAGCTATTTAGCTGTTCTTTTGTCAACGCCACTGTTGACCTGATGACGGAGCGGTATGTCGCTTCGTTTCAAGCGTCATGGCGGAGGTCTCTTTTCTACCTGGCTCCCTTTTCCTTCGTCTGCTGCATTGACTCGTGGAGACACCCATACAGTGGTTTGTCATCCCATTCTGCACGAATACAATTAGGACATAGGTTTTATTCGGAGTTTGTTGGTTGCATCTGACGGGCGCTTTTTCGTAATGTCTGACGTGACGCTCCCGGTGGTTTCATGAAGTCATGTGTTATGTACAGTACTGGTTTTCTCAAGTGTTGATATCACCTACGTTGGCCTCTTGAACTGGACCAATGCCATATCCGGATTATTTTCATCTTTATACTTTCCATACGAGGTTTATCTCTTTCAAAACTGCTATATATTGTACATCTGGTCCTTATCAATATGGATATCTGTTCATAACGTATAAGGTATAGATTCCTTAGTATATAAAGTAACTCCTAGCTCAAGAGACACAGACGTATGACGAAGAAGAAATGAAACTTCCTACTTGCTGTACTTGGTGACAAAAGAGATCAATGCATTGTCGACTTCCTTAGGGTGGGATGCACTCAGGAAGTGAGCGCCGCCTTCGATGGTCACCAGCTGTGCGTCGGGGGAGTTCTTGAACAACTTGATCTCGTGCTGGGCGTTGGCTACGGAATACACAGCATCCTTGGTACCCTGCGGTTATCTTAGCGTCAGCACTCTTATCGCTGGACTAAGCAGGGATTGCAGCAGCAACAACCCCCAATAAGGCCAATACTCACATGCAGCCACATCACCGGGCATCGCACATCCCACACACGAGAATGCAGCCCATCGCGCTCCGAAAGGTTGATTGCAGCCATGCGGATTCTTCTGCGGCCGTCGTCGCCACGGTAGTTCTCTCGAATCCTGTTGCGCCAGTACTCGCGTGTCTCCTTGGGACAGTCCTTGTTGAAACCAATGTCGACCAGGAAGTCGCAGTATTCAAGGTGCGGCTCGAAATCCGGGGTCGACTCGTTGGTCGTCCAACGCTCGATGTTTGGACGGAGATCACCGGGGCCGTCCCAGCACTTGAGCTGGCGGGTGCGTTCGGATTCATAATCCAGAGAGGTTCCCAGGGGGATGATACCGGCGATCTGTACATTCGTCTCAGCAAGGGCTGTTCTAGAATAATGCGAATAAACTGTATACCTTCTCCGGCCTTAGCAGTGCCATCCGCACCGTGATCCAGCCACCCTGACTCGTGCCCAGCACGAAAGCCTTGTCGATACCAAGGGCGTCCAGCACCTGCAAGTTCATCTCGGCCGTGTCCCAATAAGTCCAGTTCTCACGCTTGGTGCGAGTCTGGCCGTGGCCTAGCAGCTCAATAGCCAACAGGTTCATGGTGTCGGTCAATTCCTTGTTGCCATACTGTTCGCGGTAGAGCTCTGAGTCAGTCGTGAACGAATTCACCAGCACCAGAGTTGGCTTCTTTGGGTCATATGGGTAGGGCATCTGGTAGGAGGCATCGATGCCCCCAAGATGGGGGACGTGGACGATCTTGGTGTTCGGCATGGTCAATTACGACAACGAATTGGGGTATATAGGGTAGTCTTCGAGAGGATTAATATGTCCGGTTACTCAAGTAAGACTGGCAAACAGGCCCGTCCGTGGTCATTATATAGCTCCCACTTGGGGGCCCTCCTGGGATCGGGTGGGAGGACCGAGGACTTCTGAACGAGTATTATTAACTCGCATTGCTGTCCGGTGTCCGCACACCCAAGTAACGAGCTTCCATTGGGAGGATCATCTACCTACCCCGCTCGTTCTGGGTCATGCCCCTCGTGCTGTGGATATATGTACATGATGTAACTGGGTTCCGCCGGTACCGGGGATGAAGATGATAAATTCTCCAAATTCTCCAGAGAAAATCTTCAAGATTACTGACTAATCAACCAGCAACCCCGGAGATTATTCCCGAAAGTCTGGGGAGCGTAAGACCTATCTGGATCCATATCGAGGACGACGAGATGACGAACGGTCGGGTTTCCGAGCTTTCAACAAGGATTCTGGACGGATCCGACACCAGGGAGTGCCAGGTTCGGATCGAGATGACAGAGTGCGGGGTAGCTAGGTAGCTGGGTTGGTTATGTTAGTTTTTTCTCCTCATTCTTGATAAGCTTAATTGTTGATGTTTGACCCTTTCATTCGCAGATGTGCCGTTTCCAGCGCAGTGGTTACCTCGGGAAATAGTTTTATTATTGTCGGCGACTCGATCCGCCGGCCCGGATGCCGATATTGGGAGCATCTATTATTAATCCTTCTTGATCGTCCTCATTTTCGTTATTATTATTGCTGTTGTTTTTTCAGCGGACTGCTGCTGTTTATCTCACTGAAGGTCCTCAATAACGGCGGTCCATATATTAACCCACCCTAGATAATTCTCTTCCGACCGATGAGACGGACCTCTTGATCTCCAGCAGCCTGCTTCTCCTGTATGTTCTGATCCTAGTAGACAGGGGGGTAAAGGAGGGAAGTTCTTGTGGGGTCAAAGAGGAGAAAGGAGCGTATCGCAAACGGCTGAAACTTGACAACAACCATGCAGGATCATGCAAGGCAGACCAGACCATACATCAAGAATGTTTGAACATGACAGGGTGCAGTAATAATCAGTTGCAATTAAAGCAGGGAAATGATGGATTATGGTTTTAACATTATTACTATGGAAAAAGGATGCTACAGTGGGAGAGTCGAGCTTCACGCACAACTAGTGTTTACACGTCATCTAAGCCCTTCGAGCGCGATTGTTCGACTATTCTGTAAATAATTGTTCGATAGAACGCTATATGGTTTGCTGTGGCTGTCTGAGTGTAGAACTGTCTGCACACAGCTTATTGCTCTGCCCCGTCATCATGGTCCCTTCCGAATAGATCGACTAACTACATGATAGATCCTTGACCGCATCGTATATGGCGCCGCTGTCAACCACCATCAACTATATTTACATAATGCCAAGAGCAGCACGAAGCATACTCATAGACAACAGTATTATTTTGTTGCCGGCTTTCGTATCTGTGATTAAAACGAGGTTAGCTGTTTCGGCTCTACTTGTGGGGTTCTGCGCTGCCCCCTTGCGTCGTCACTTTTGTTAGAATACGTTCAATATGCCCCCTATCATTTTTCGTGCCTGATGCACATGCATATGCATCTATATATATGTCTATATATAGAACGTATTCAGAGTCACAAATTATATTTTATGCCGACAATAACAGTCATACATAAGTTGTCAGGTTGCATCTGAAGACTGATATCGCGTCCTCTTATCGATCGCTACTTTATCTACTGAGGAATTGTATTTCGGTGCCCCTAGGGGCTCCAGTAGTGGTCGCCCGCGCCAGCAGCCAGCTTAGTCAGCAGAGTAGTGGCCAGATAGTTCAGCTCGATTGAGCTCCTAGATAGTTGCACAATCAAGCATCTTCATCTCCTAGCTTCGCGTGCCCGAGATTGTACGCCCCATATTGTGGAGTCCTGTGCTAAATGCATGACAGGAGACCTAGATAACGGGTCTACTTATGATGATCAACATAAGTACCACTGGTCCAGGCCAAATGGGGCTCTGTGATTTCCACTTGTCAGTGTTATCTCAGTTTATAGAACGAGTACCCCCTAGTTATCAAGATGTTACATGCTAGACGATACTGAGTGACATTGAAATTTTTGAATAGACATCTTGTATTAAGACACAAAAACTATGTTTCCATTTCAGGTCCTCCGGATACAAATGTACGACATAGCTTCGAAGTTATTATATCCAGAAAATACCAAAATACAAACGGACCCGAAGTAAATATCCGCCATAGTCCCAACACTATTTAACCCAGAATGAATATCGTTCCCACTTCCATGACGCTAAATCACGGGCATCGCTTAGAACTGGAAGACAGCAGCCAGGAGGACACCGAAAGCCATGGTGACGGCGGGCAGCTGGAGGCTCTGGCCAGCACCAGTGAACGCGGGAGCGGCGGGAGAAGGAGAAGGAGAGGATGAAGAAGCAGGAGAAGCAAAGGGGGATGGCTTGATGTAGCTACCAGTGGCAGCGGGAGCCTTGGGGCCACCGGGGATGATAGCACTGCCCATGGGGTAGGGGGCGGTAGCGAAGGTCGAGGGACCGGCGACAGACGAAACACCGACGGACGAAGGACCGGCAGGCGAGGCAGTGACAGACGAAGCACCGGCAGGCGAAGCAGGGACAGACGGTGCAGGAGTGAACGAGGCACCGGCAGCAGTAGAAGAACCGCTCAATGGGCAGTCGTAAATGGTGTTCTTGAGAGTGTCGGTGACAGATCCGCCAGCGACGGTCTGCGCAGGGGCAGAGGGTGCTGAAGTAGTGCTGGAGCCAGAGGACTGCTTGCACTTAGCCTCACCCAGAGCAGCAATGCAGGCATTGAGAGGGACATCGACCAGACCGCCGTTGCCGCTAGCCTTCTGCTGGCACTCGGCCTCACCCAGGACAGCAGCGCAGACGTTGACAGGAAGGCTGATCAAGCTGCCGGAGCCAGAGCCGCCGGCGCTGGCGGTCTGCTTGCACTTGGCCTCACCCAGAGCAGCAACGCAGGCGTTCAGAGGGACATCAACCAAGCCGCCACTGGTAGTAGCCTTCTGCTTACATTCGGCCTCACCGAGGATGCCTGCGCAGGCGTTGACGGGAACGCTGACCAGGCTGCCGGAGCTGCCCGAGCTTGAAGAAGTAGTCTTCTGCTGGCACTTGGCCTCTCCCAGAACGCCCAGGCAGGCGTTGAGAGGGATGTCGATCAGACCGCCGTTGTCAGTGGTCCTCTGCTTGCACTCGACGTCACCGAGAACAGCAAGGCAGACGTTGAGGGGAACACTGATCAAGCTGCCAGAGCCTCCAGAGGTGGATGACTGCTTGCACTTGGTCTCACCCAGAGCAGCAACACAGGTGTTGAGGGGAACGGAGATGAGGCCGTTGGAAGCAGTCTTTTGCTGGCAAGCGGCGTCACCCAGGATACCGGCGCAGAGGTCGACAGGGACCGAGATCAGACTGTCGGTAGTGGGGAGCAGCTAGATTATGGATATCAGCTTCTGATCCATTACAATCGAAGTCATATGGTTCTGTTCATACCGAAGCGGTGGCAGATCCAGCAACTGCCAAGCCGGCTGCAACAATAGAAGTAGAGGTTCTCATTGTGGAATGAAGGAGATAAGAAGGATCGGGTGAAGATCGAAGAATAGTGGTCTGAAAGCAATATTCGACAAACGAATGGCAGCTAAGATTACTTAGCGAAAAGAGTGACTGCTGAAATCAGCGAAAGAAAGCGACCCGAAGGAAAGGCTGGAGTTTCTGGATGAGAACGAGATGGAAAAACAGACCGAAGACGGGGAGATCTCGACCAATTTGTATGAGCCGTTGGGCTATCTCAAGGATACAGGGAGATCGGATGTCCAGCCCATGGTGCCGATCCATGAAGTCCAGAACACTCTTCCCCTTCCTCCTACGGCTGCATGGGTCCTTGGGGATATGCAGGTACAACCGCCATCAGAACCGCCGGCGCCCGGATAAGGATGGTCTGATGCTGAGCCTCCTTTCATTATTCTTCCCCCTGCCAGGTTAGCGGTTGCACAAAGAGCAGACGGCCCCTGTCATTACGCCCTTGTACATACAGAAGTGCCGAGAACCATATGCTGGAGAGCAGCGAAGATGGCTTTTCACCACCATTACTGACCATACATGGTTTGTAGGTGAGACGCCTCTAACAGCAAGGAGCTGAGATCGATCAATGTAATAACCAACCAGTGTCTTTCTATAAAGCCTTATCTCAGCCACCGCGCATGGCACTGATGTGTGTTTTTCTCCGTATCCATCTTTCCACAAGGGCGATCCTGCAATTAATTACTTGCGTAGCTCTCCTTGGGCAATATTCTGGACGTGCAAGAACAGTTCAATAGCGTCCGTCGCTACGAGAAGTGCCCCGCATGGGCTGTAGTGCTAACCACTAACGGGATGATCATCGCTAGGCTGGAAGAATTAACCAGTTGTTTAAGCATATTGACGCGCGAACGCGACAAGGACTCAACTCACTAGGCGAAGTCAATTCTCCGCTTCGAAAGGGGGACGTGGAGAGGCTCTATCAAGTTCGCCTCAAAGATGGGGCCGACTCTGTCCTGCAGTCCTGGCTTACTTTCGCACAGAGTTGGAGAGTATCACTGCGCAGGAACTATAATCTCACACATTATTAGCACGTATAGCCCGCAGAGTCGACATAAGATCCTTGAAGATAGCGAGCGTGAAGGGGAAATTGAAAACTAGACTGACCACCCTTGCTGGTTTACCGCATCCATTTGGCCCAGGAGAATGACCGCTGAGAAAGGCCTGGAAAAAGGCTTTATTTCGGGTTAACGGTATCTAGATACTCCGTAGGCAGAGAGCAAACAGTCAACCTGTGCCGTCTGCTGACCGCAATTGAGCGATGTTGAGATCGGCGTCTTAGGGTCTCCCAAGGCCTTGTCATATCAAGGATTGCGGTCCGTCCGTCAGCATCAACCGCTAGAAGTGGATTAGACTAGTCTGGTTTGATAACGGACCTGTCTCCTGTCGAGCCCTGATCTCGGGCTGGACCATGCGCGAAAGTCGGTCGCTCCTGATGCTGTCTAAGGATGGCGCTCAAATTATCGAACTTGGCAGTTCAAGAGAATACGAAGGCGAATCCAGGTTACAGAGCGGTGCCCAGGGGAGGTGCGAGTCAGTTAGTCTAACTGATTCAAGTATAGATACCCCAGAGAAGCAAAGGGGTTGCGTACAGTACCTGACCTTCCCCACCGATCCCTTGCTCCCAATATCAGTAGATAATAATGTCTATCATTTAATTATGGTAGTCTCCCCCGGCTTGGCGTCATCGTGGCCGGATGCTTTAATTAATTTATCCTCACCGCCTGCTTGGGGAAACAGATTTCTCAGCGCACTAACTACTCCGTAGGTAGCTATTATTATTACTACTACAAAAGCATGGGATAGAATAGTTAGTAGGAGCGAGGGAGGCGCTCGAGAAATCAGGTCGCCGGAAGACTCCCTGAAGGACTATAGACTATCTATGCTGTGTTATCACTGCAGTGCCACTAGATAGATTTAATACCTTCTCTAAGCAGTCTCAATTTCAATGTTGAGGTCCGGAAGCTATTCTACGAATATGTGTAAGTTTCACGCGCATCAGCTTTTGCTAATTAGGCCTTTTCCATAGGCTGGCCCGGTAATGTTTCACTGTCACACAGTTAGCTACTCCGTAGTCCGTAATAATGTTGGGAAGTTGGAGATTTAGTTGACTCAATGCCATAATGTAAGAATGCCTGCATCTTCACTCCAAGCGAAAACAATGAAGATGTAGTGAAGTAGCTACCTCACACTTCCTAGCGAAGTCGCGCATGTTTCTGTATGTTCCCATGATGTACCTAGTCCTGTTCCTGATTGAACGGCGAACTACCGGAAAAACCCGGCTAAGTCTGCATGCGCCACCAAGTCTTTTGGTTCTTTGTTTATTTCCAAATGCAGCTTCGGATCGCAACCACCACTGCACCTACATGCACAAGGCAGGGAACCATTTGGGATTTATTACTGGTCCCTTCTTCAAGTCACAGACAGGCAACTCTTTACGAGGGCCATCTTTTAAGAACATTTTCCGATATCCGGCTTACGGGGCTGCATCATGGGCAGGAAGCCCGAACTTTGTTCTCAACAACCAAGAAACTCAATGGAAGTAGTAGTCCAGGTTTTGTCTCGGCTGGACTGCCCCGCAGCCGAAGTAGGTCCTAGACACTCAGCTCTTTCGGCTACAGCGTGTGCTACCAGATCCTCTAACAGTAGGATTTGGTATTTCGGAACTTCTGACATATGTTAGAGTGCAGCGAGAAAATGTTAACTCAGTAAAAATCTCAGGCCTTCTATGCAGAGCGAAATGATATCTACACAAATTGGAAAATTCCTGTGAGGTGTTGACAATACAACTAACGTGCCCAATCAGAAGTTGAGCTTAGACCCAGAGAGAAGTACATCATCCTACATTCATCCTACATTCAAAGTGGCAGAACTAAGCACAGTCCCCTCGTCAGATTTTGTGCTAATTTCTATATCAGTCTCTGGTCGTGATGCTCATCATCAACGATAGGTTCTTATAAACAATATACCTGAGACGATGAGACTGCTGAAGCCGGAACGATCTCCCTACGTTGCCCATAGGTCTTCGAAAGACATCAACAAACGGAGTCTATGCTATACTGTTCCTGTTTGCGTAGGTTCAGCGGTATATCCGTCTACGTTTCGCTGCGCTATTCGATTTGGAAAAGCACTACTTAGATAAACCGACTCAACCCCGCGTATTTACGCTCCCCTTATGCTCGGAGCATACTACCTGATTCTGCAGTAAAACGTGGCACAGAGCCTTGTAGAAACAGAGCCTTGTAGCTTCCAGAAGTATCGACACGTCCCGCGACCTAGACTTATTTTCACTGCAGGTATTCGCACTCAATGGCTGTGATCATCTTGGACTTCGCAACGCCTCTTAAAGGTCTTCGTCTGTGACCTGGGCTTCATCGGCTGATTGAGAGAACGGCTGGCTACGGGAAAGAGACCTAACGTCGGTTGCGAATAATATTTGGAAGCAGAGTTCACAATACTTGAACCTCTTGGGAATTGAAGATATGCTTCCCTTTATTTTCGTTCAGCCAAGAGCCAGCCAAATGCGAGATGTATCGAGGATTGGATGCAGCAAGACTTTATGAATAAGCTAGATATCGTGTTACAACAGCGAGTCATGGAAGCAAAAAGTCATCTCGACAGGCTGAAGCTGCCCGCTGTTTGGATTTATTCACAGGATCGGGCTATTTATCTCTGAACGCAGCTTTCTGAGGCAAAGACGAGGGCGAACATCTCCTGCAGGAGCTCCATTGCTAGTTAGGGAGTCTCTGAGAGATCATGCCGAACTACCCAGAAAGGGCAGTTAGTCGCTTTCTCCTATGTAGAATCCAGGGAAGACCCGACCTTATACTTCTGACTAGAAGTACTAGATCCTTATGGTGTCAGCTATAAACGTCGATTGGACTAGTCGCCTGAACAGTAATTCATAAGTGCTGATAGCCTTTCTCTCTATAGGGGTCTAACAGTAGTTCCACAATTTAGTGGGTACCACGTGGTGACAATATGTTGTGAGATACTGAATCAGGATATTTCTAGGAACGCTTGTTCTCAATAGATACGTCCTGCTATATTGTGACTATAGAACTCATACTATCTATAATTAAAGAGGTTGTGTTTACAGTTCTTATGGAATACTCTACAGAGACTACGTAAACATTACAGCGACATAGAGCTAGTTAATATAAATGTCTCCACTTTTTAGAAATGCCGTAAATTATATATACATATCTGGACTCCCAAGAATCATTGAAGTTGGACGTCAGCCCTCGGAGACAGGGTATCTATATTAGCTACCGCAATACTTGAAAGCCTTTCAGAAGAGAAGGAGGACATATACTACTTACGCTCCAGGAAAACAGACTAGCTGGCTTCACTTCTGACTTTTCCAGGGATAAGGAATCTAGAAAATCAACCCCAAATAGCTCTCAAAGGGCACAGTCTGGGATTCTCCCAATCCCTAGCATAGTTACACATTGATAAATGAAACGAACTATCTCCTAGTTATTGGGTGAGGCAGCACATTAAAGTGTCCGCCGTGAACAACGATATGGGTTTAACAATAATTAAACTTCATGCAGCCCCAGAGTAGATGCCAAGGTTTCCCTAAAATTAAAAAAATCCCAATGGCAAGGGAGCAATGATATATTTTGAGCTTCTAACAAATAACGATTAGTTGCTTGCTTGTTTTATTCGGGTAGGCCTGGGGGACGTTGGTCCCTATTTACCTCGTGATTACATAGAGAGTGTAGATGCGAAGGATCTAGAAAATTAGATCGAGTCCTAAAGGACAGGGAAGCAACGACCTGACTTGAGTCTCCTAGCTAGGCAGCTAGGTTGCTTGACTTGCTTCGTTTTAGATACAGGGAGGAGACTAATTCTGCATTTATCTCCTATAGCATATAAAGAATCTAGATCCTAGTTATCAAGTAGGTTCTATACCAAAGAACCTGCTGCAAATGGATGATATGACAGATTACCTGCACACTCTTGTGTGCGCCGACAAATTATAATATAGGAATAGTTAAATGCAGACGGAGGGTATAACAGGTCCCTATGCATGCAGGCGAAGTCTGGAAAGCTCGACATCCAAGAGGTGCCAGAGGACGCCGGAGGGAAAATTGAATGTCGTGCTATCAGTTCGCGCCTAATAGAAACAGCAGACAGATGGTATCGCATGTATGGATCTCAGCCAGAATGATCATAGAGTACGTATAGGAAAAGAGTAGCTCTGCCGTATAAGCATTTTCAGGATTTAATCTCACGACGATTAATTCACCTCTCGTCTTTAAGACATCTTTATGATACCTATAAAATTTGGCTTCGGATCACATATCTAGAAAGCAATATTACTGGAGATTTGCGAATGTGTATAGTTTCATGGCGAGGGTTCTGCTACGCAAGTTGTCAGGGCCTTTGAAACAATGCATTGAATCTCCGTGCATCATCTTGACAGGATGACCGAGTGGTTAAGGTGCAGGCCTGCGTAAGTAGCCTTGATAACACACCATAACTCGATTTCCAACTAACAACCCCAATAGTAAGCCTGTGGGTTCGCCCGCCTGGGTTCGAATCCCAGTTCTGTCGACATCTTTTTTTCTTTTTTTGCCGGTAGTCCATACCTAGCAGGGACAGAAACTAGCCGTGATTCTGCGTCCAAATTATTATTATTTTTATTGAGCCATGTGGCGGAGTTCACACAACTTCAGAGACCAACCAAAGCTCACAGGTTGACAGTGTATCCCGCCACGTGCTATAAGCCAAACCGAATGACTTCGATTATTGGACCGTCTGAGTAGCCGAAGGCTATACGATATTAACCTAGAGAAAAAGGGAAAGAAAGACAATAAAGAGAAACTCGAATTCACTACTAAAGTCGGTTCACCCGTCGTCATCACCCTGATGTCAGGCGGCAAACTCCCAATGTCAAAGCGCTACAGCTTTCGATTAATAGAACAGGACCATAACTCATCTAAGAATAATTTCGCTCACACAGCCAAAAGAAAATTCGTCTAGTCCAGCTTACAGCCAAAATGTCGTCCGATACACATCCCGAGTCTAACGTCAACCATCATAGCACTGGCTTCCTAGATCTGGAATGTGCGACCAAAATATATCCATACCAGGGAATACGACAATTCTGGAATATTAGGGAAATGGAGTGGCGCAAGCTAGAGGAGAATATATAAGATAGCGAATGGGTGTTATTTACTGATGTGGACAAGGAGACATTCACCCGTGACTTCCTTAACTCTTCCGACAACATCATCCTCCGCAGCTGGAATTCATACGACAAAGCTAAACACTTCTTACTGATCAAGATGCCTACCTCATTGGCTCATGAAGCTGCAGCGTCCGAATTTGCAGAAATCTTTCTCGAAGTCCTCCGGCCAATGGGCCTTTACGATAAGCTCTATAAATGGGGAAGCGCAACTCGCTACAACGACAAAGGTGGCAAATGACCTGAGCTGCAGTTCGTACCTAAAAGACCACCACCAGATTACCCTCGATACTGGCCCACGGTGGTGCTGGAAGTGGCATTGACTGAGCCACCATCCAAGCTCATGTCAGACATTCGATACTGGCTTGGCCAGTCCTCCCGCAGTGTTGAAGTGGTAGTAACGCTCCAAATCAATCGAAACATGCGCGAAATTATCCTACAGAACTGGCAGTCTGCCAACAGCCGTCCACACAGAATACAACAAGTGACTGTTTACAAAGGCTCTAACGATACAATAAAAGTCGACGATGGCCCCCTTGTCATTGACTTCGAAAAGCTGTTCCTCCATCCGCCAGGCACACCACAAGAAAAAAAAAACATTGGACTGGGAGATGGCGAGCTGCAATATCTTGCGACTTCAATATGGACAGCACAGAACCTCGATCAGGAAGATGATGAATGAACAGTTACCACTATGCACCAATATCAGCTACGAAAGAGCACAATCCTTGACGGCTCAAACTATGCAGGGATACGACAGCAGCCTGAGCGCGTTTCCAGTACTAATACGAAACGGTCTAAGCATACCACACGGAGTACTCCGTAGAGCCCCGGGAACAACCTGAACCCCCGCAAATACAGTATGGAGTGCTCTGGTCCGTAATAATCGATGCATCTAGTGGCGATACACGGCCTATTATTCCCTGAGAATGAAAACCGACACGTGCCTGGGTTCTAAAACCGCATTCAAATGCTCGATGGCTTAAAGATTGGATCGGTACAGCTGCGCTGTGTCAAGCCAGACATGGACGTCTGGAATACGGTTAGGCCTCATGCCCTTGCCAACTGGGAGCGTACTGCGTTGATACTTTCTTATAGGATTCGCCATGCGTTATTCGCAGAGAGGTCGACATGATAGGAGGCAATTGACGCTAGGTGATCAATTCTGACAGGTTTGCGTCAAGGAACTCAACTGTCATAACGTTAATCATTCAAAAATAACATAATCTTTCCAAAGGAATTTTAAAGGGGCCATATGTTCAAAGAAACTGATTGCGAGCAGGTAACGGGATACAAACGCGTGTCTCTAGTCTTTCGGAAAGTACTGTACTTAGGTATAGAATGATTGCAGAGTCGGTTACAAAGAGTTCCTATCTTATTCTGCTCCCTGAGAATTCCTGATGTCAAGGCTCTAGTCAACCTCTACTCACGACCATTGGTTGCTCTCTTAAACCTCCTATCCCACGATGCAACTCTCTGATCTGCAGGGCCCCTCAACCTTCGATTCTGTTTTCGCACTTGATTGACCAGCTCCGTAGACGCCGTTGATTTTTAGCGCCTGACCAGTTCCCATTTGAGTCCCGAGAGCTGCCGCGGGATTGGGAGTCGGCCGCAAATATTATTGCGGAGTACGGAGTATTAAGGAGTATTACTTCCTTTGAACCTTCAGAGAATATCAACTAACTACGGAGTAGTTGGCCATATAGTTATTTCGCCGGCGATAATCTGTTCGAAGTCCGTCGTGTTATGGTAAAAGTCCACGATTAAGTGCCGCGCTCATCGCTGCCTGTTTTGGAAGGCTTCACAGCCACGAGATCTTCAGCCACCGGCCCAGCACCAAGTAGTACCTACGGACTCTGCGGACTCCGGAGTAAGTTTATCTTATCTCATAGATGGGATTGGAAGGTTCAAGGTTTGTCTTCCCGTCCTAAGATCCCGCTGTTGCTAGGAAGATCCCAATCTCTACTCCGTACCCCGGGCCTACTCTTCTGCAGGAAGTTGAACATCACTCCGTACTCGGTAGTGCTGTATCCGTGTAAGTACTAAGTATCGTCTCGTTGGCGGGGACACAGCTTCAATTAGTGGAGAACGTCCTCCCCTGGAGATCGATGTGGGTTTGACCGTGGTTCTGTGGGTAACGCCAGAGCGTGCACAAAAACTGGAAATTTGCAGAGAAGACAGTTTCCCGCCGAGGCAACTGAGGCCTGAGCTTCGTGACCGACCTGGATAGCTTACAGGAGGCGCTGGGTTGTAGGAAAGTCTGTTGAACTCGACTCGGCTGGTTTCTGTGCAAGGATGACCACGAGGAGAGCCGTCGCTTTAGATAAGCCTCACTAAGACTTGGAGCTTGGAGGATGCTTATCACCTGCCAAAAATGGAACGAGCGAACAAGTTTCAACCCCACTGCCTAGACGCTTATCGGCGTTCTGAAAGTCGGGGGAGCTTAGTTTTGGAGTCGTCGATGTTGACCTAAAGATCGAGCTAAATGCCGCAAGATGGGTCGAACCCAGCGTTCCCGGTTGCTTGAAGAACGAGTGCTCCATAGATATATGGTCCTCTGGATCCCCTCTTCTAGAGACTGGTGAGCGCTGTCTTCCTGCTCCCTGTCACCCAATCAGCCATTTACGCCATGAGAGCCTCTGTCTTGCTCCTTGGAGCCCTGGCAGCAGCAGCTGCCGCAATCCCTGCTCCTCACAATTATGTCCTTCATGAAAGACGGGATGTGTTACCTACCTCATGGAGTGAAGGCGAGCGTATCTATAGGAAGACCTCGCTGCCTATGAGAATTGGCTTGACCCAGTCTAACCTGGATCGAGGTCATGACCTTCTGATGGAAGTGTATGTTTGGACCCCCATGCTCGTTCTTAGCGGTGGTTGACAGTTCTAGGTCCGATCATACTTCACCAAAGTATGGTCAGCATTACACTATAGAAGAGATTCACGACTTATTTGCTCCCTCAGAAGAGAGCGTCCAGAGTGTCCGTGATTGGCTCGAATCAGCTGGAGTACACGGCGATAGGATCACCTTGTCAGCCAATAAGCAATGGCTGCAATTTGACGCTGATGCCGAGGAGGTTGAAAGACTGCTGCGTACTGAATACTACGTACACACAGATTCCGTGACTGGGAAGTCTCACGTCGCATGCCACGAGTTAGTAACCTTCCGCTATTGGCAGTGACCAGTGTTCAAGCTTTACTGATACATGTTTTCAGATATTATATTCCGGAGCACGTGCAAGAGCACGTTGACTACGTAACCCCAGGCGTCAAGCACCTTGGTGTTAAGGGTGGAACTTCATCTTCTCTCGCTAAGCGTACCAAGAACTTGCGGAACCCCGGCCTGCCGCCTCTAACGAAACCTCTGGATATTGCTCTTGGGATTCTGAAAGAGGCACTTCTGGAAACATGCGACCTTGCCATCACTCCCGAATGCATTCAGGGTAAAGCTCCCGTGGATAAATCTTCAGTTGAAATGGATGCTGACAGCAAGCAGCCATGTATAACATCACAGTCGGAGACAAGGCAACCCCCGGAAACGAGCTTGGAATTTTTGAAGATTTAGGGGATGTCTACAGCCAGACAGACTTGAATCTGTTTTTCACGACTCTATACCCGTACGTTGGAGATATTCTGCTCGCTGATTATATCGCTGACAAGACATCAGCAAAATCCCGTACGGAACGCACCCGACGTTAAATGCTATCGACGGTGCCCAAGCTCCGGAATCTGTGACGAGTGCAGGCCCTGAGTCTGATCTGGATTTCCAGATCTCTTATCCTATCATTTGGCCGCAGAATTCGATCCTTTTCCAGACGGATGATCCAGTCTACGAGAGCAATTATACGTTCACTGGCTTCCTCAATAACTTCCTCGATGCGATTGATGGCTCGTACTGTACCTACAGTGCCTATGGAGAGACCGGAAACTCGGATCTCGATCCTCCCTACCCAGACCCCGCGCCTGGCGGATACAAGGGCCAGTTGCAATGCGGCGTTTACAAGCCGACCAATGTCATCTCTATCTCTTACGGAGGTGCCGAAGCCGATCTACCTATTTCCTACCAGCGGCGGCAGTGCAATGAGTTCATGAAACTTGGCCTACAAGGAGTCTCGGTCGTCGTGGCTTCTGGTGATTCTGGCGTCGCTGGCCGAGGTGGAGACCCGACCCCCAGTAACTGTCTAGGTGAAGATGGAACAGTCTTTGCGCCCGACTTCCCAGCTACTTGCCCCTACGTCACTGCAGTTGGTGCGACTTATCTTCCCTTGGGCGGTAGTGCCGAAAAGGACGAAGAAGTAGCTGTAACTCGTTTCCCCTCAGGCGGCGGTTTCAGCAACATCTACAAGGCTCCGGACTACCAAACAAGTGCCGTTGCCGCCTACTTCAAGGAGAAGAACCCTCCTTACAAATACTACGAGAGTGTTGACAACAGCAGTTTCGCTGCAAATGGCGGCATCTACAACCGCATCGGCCGTGCCTACCCCGATGTTGCGGCCATAGGTGACAATGTCGCCATCTATAACGCCGGAGCGCCCACCTTGATCGGTGGTACATCGGCTGCGTCACCTGTGTTTGGAGCAATTCTTACCCGTATCAACGAGGAACTAATCGCGAAGAACAAGTCAACCGTGGGTTTTGTCAACCCTATTCTCTACGCTCATCCAGAAGTGTTCAATGACATTACGGTCGGAAACAACTCTGGCTGTGGTACTCCTGGTTTCTATGCTGCTGAGGGATGGGATCCTGTTACTGGGTTGGGAACTCCAAACTACCCAGCGCTACTTGACCTCTTCCTAAAGCAGTAATTTGTTTCGATTCGAGTGTTGCGCCTGCTGGATCAGTGCTATGAGTGTCTAAAATGCACATGAGGCCGCACAATGTTTATATGTTCAGTCTGTACGGGTACATAGTTAATGACAGATCAGTCACGCTTCAAGAGACAAACTGATACGCTTGATATTCTTGGTTTAGCACACATCTCATTGCCAGTATACTCATTCAGACTATCCTCAACAGAAGGCTCGTAGATTGTTCGAGCGGCATAGCATTTGGTCGTGGACATCCTCCCAATTGAGTATGCGGGAAACCCCGCTTCGGAGTCTGTTTAAAGATGGCCAGAGATCGCCAAAAACAGCTCGTAAATGAAATCTGTATAGGGCAACTTTATGTCGATGCAGTACGTTTGAAAGCCAGGAGACCCACTCGTTCATGTCAGTTCTAGCCATATTAAGATGATAGGCCGAAGGGCCTATATGTGCTAGCTCGTCGGCGATTATTACGGCGACACATCTGTAGTTCGTAACTGGAGCGAAAGTAGCAGAGATCTGCCGTGGCATGTCAGTACTAGATGAATTATTAATGTCTAGCCTTTCGGGTTTCAGATAACAACCTGTGCTGAACCGTTGTAGCGCGCTCGTTCGTCATACTCCAGAATTTGAGACGGCTACTCAGTGGAAAGTTGGTAGAGGTCCCGATATAAAGGAGCTTCTGTTACCTTCATTGCTAGATTATTTCGGTAGAAAGAGACCTCTCAGAGTATTTCAACTACTTTGACTTGCAAGTGGGGAGGTTATCGTATTTGACAGGGGTCTGCGGAACGTCGCTTCAAATTTCGAGATGGAGCTGCCCGATAGCATTGACCCTGACCAACCCTGGTAAAGAATGATGGCCTTAATGGCCACACTAGATGAGATCCAACGCATACGCCATGGGCGCTAGGACTAACTAATAGCGAGGTTGTACGCTTACGCACGCCTAATCGCACACCTCAGAAGAGCCATACGCAAGGCTAATCGAGGAGTATAGTCACCTGTCGATATTTACAAATAGAATTTTAACGTGGCAAATGAGAATGTTAATATTGTGACAATATGTGATTTTCTGGAGACAGATCTCCAGGAACTCCCCGCGATGTACAAGCTGGTAATCAACTAGAAGCCACCACATTCTCAAACTCTGCCTTTTCCACCATCTTCAGCAGAGCATCTGCGATTCCGTACGAAAAGGCATATCCGCCACCACCGAATCCGTACGCAGAAAGGAGTGTCCGCTCCCCGACACGTTCAGAATCTAGGCGAAAGCCGCCCTGGCGTGAAGGACGAATTCCCACAATATAACTCAGGTCGGATTCCGGCGGATTGGCGGGAACAATTTCCGGTGCAAGGCGATGGGCTCTTGCAATCTCATCGCGCGCGATTTCCAGGTCGACCTCTGGCGAACTGTTCCCAGTTAGTAGTGATGATTTGAAGACGGGACACTGCTAACTCACGTAACGTTGGGCTGTTTGATACCCCCCAGGACTACTCCTTCTGAAAGAGGCCGAGGAATGACATACGTGTATTCCTTTCCGTTGCGGAAATACATCGTTCTGCAGTTGGAGGTCTTCAAAAAGACGTTCTGGCCACGATCAGGATAACATTTGTCATCTCTAACATCATTCAAGAGCTTGCTGCCCCAGCCACTGGCATTGATGAAAATCCGGGAATCTGGAAACATTGAGTACAACTCCTCGAGAGAGGAGACCTTTTGTCGGATAAATTTGCCACCAAGAGATTCAACCTGCTTCCTAAGATAGGGCATATGTTTAGTGGGATCTGTCACCAGACAGTCGTAGGACCATGCACAGTTGAAGTTGGGTGGGAATTCGCCCGGGGCGAGCTCTTGGAACTATACATGCGTTAGAACGGTCATGGCATATACAGAATTAGACAACTTACGTTTGATACGACTGTCCTTCCCCAGATAGCTGAATTCTTTGCAGGTGCCTCCTCCAGATATTCTCTAGCATTGACCATGCAGACACCGGATTCCGGTTCTTGTGCCATCTTCAATAGGTGTCGATGTGTCACCACCTGGAGGTATCGGTGTTCCTCTGACAGGCCGCCCGCGGCATGCCATGCAGCTCCTGCCCATGCTGAAGCGTAGAAGATATTCTGATCTCCTGGAAGATATTCTCCTACAAGCACGACTTGGAATCCATTCTGAAGAAGCTGGCGTGCGGCTGCGCAGCCGATGATGCCGGCACCTAGGATGACGATCGGTCGTCTCGGGTAGGGTAGACTGTTGATGCCGTTTGGAGTAGCTGAGTTGCCCGTCATGGTAGTATTTCAGGATGCTATATCGAACGAGCAGAGCTGTAAAGAAGTAGAAAGAGGATATAAAAAATTTCGCTCAGAGCGCTCAAGAAGACAGACAGAACGGGTGGCGGACATTGCTGCGAAGACTCAACTCCCAACTCCTTTATATTCATCCTCCCGTCTCCGGCTGAAGACCCATTATACCACGGAGTTGTTACTCTTTTGCTGGAAGTGTAGAGCTCCGTCGGGTCGACCCGCCCGTCAAGATGTGCAAGTCCAGAGAAATATTCCTATCGGCTTCTCGATAACGCGTAGTACCGTATCAGAAAATCCCGACAACGGAAATTCTCTGGCGGCACAGCCCGCGCACGAGGCGATGAAGTCTGGACGAATCGGCCATACCCCACGAAATCGAAGCCTTTTGACCCACTGGAAGGCCCGTGGAAGCATCAGAAACATTAGATTGGTTTCCCGTGGCCTCGAGAAACGAAGATCTGGGTCTTCCCGTCCGCCCACCCGTTCTCATTCTCCTGCCCGTCCCCTTTAAGTCCCTCTCATCCCCACTGGTATCCCCAATCGAGCACAGGATGGAGACGGAGAAGATGGCCTCGCGCCCGCCTGGCACAATCATGGCCGAGGTCGAGACCGATGGTAAAGTCGCTGAGCCCAAGATCCTTCCCAATGACAACAGGTCTGCCACCCTGAGCAGTTCAAGTGGTGAATGAGGATGCTGATAGCGCACAAGTGCCAGCAGCGAGCTTGGTTTCATCGATGATGGCGAGGCAAAAGAGATTCTCCCATTCGAGGCCGATGACTCTCCCTTTCCAGAGGTTCGCGCGGTCGTCCCCGCCGCCGACGATCCAACTCTGCCCGTCAACACGGTGCGGATGTGGTTCATCGGAATCATCTTCACGATCGTAAGTTATCGACGCATACCGAAGCAAACGTCCCGCGAGATGGCCACAATGTTGATTTTACCAAATCCCAGATCGGCAGCGGTCTGAACCAGTTTTTCAATCTTCGCCAGCCCAGTGTTACGATCAGTGCCCTGGTGGCCCAGCTGCTCGCCTACCCCGTTGGTTGTGCCTGGGCCAAGTTCATGCCACTGGGAATTTTGAACCCGAACCGAAACTTCAATATCAAGGAGCATGCCTTGGTCACAATCATGGCCAACGTCTCCTTCGGCTCTGCAGCAGCAACCCAGGTCATCGAAGCGATGGTGAAGTTCTACGGTTTGCCGTCGCAGGGTGGCTTCGAGATTCTTTTCGTCATTACCACCCAGCTATTCGGATTCGGTTTGGCTGGTGTTTCCTATCGTTGGCTGGTGTTTCCCGCTACGATGGTCTGGCCGCAGGTTCTCTCCAATGCGGCCCTGTTGACTACTCTGCATTCCAGATCCAATGCTGTCGCGGACGGCTGGAAGATCTCTCGTCTGCGTTTCTTCCTCTACGTCTTCATCGGAGGTTCGATCTGGTATTTCGTCCCCGGTTTTCTATTCAAGGGACTCAGTACCTTCAGCTTTATCTGCTGGATCGTTCCCAATAATGTTGTGGTCAATCAACTTTTTGGCCAGACGACTGGTCTGGGGATGTCGCTCCTGACATTTGACTGGGCGCAGGTCGTCTATGCCAACCAGAGTCCGCTGCTGGTTCCGTTCTGGGCGGGTATGAATGTGATGGGAGGGTTCGCGCTCTTCTTCTGGCTGATCTGTCCGATCTTATACTACACCAATACGTGGTATTCGGCGTACCTACCACTCATGAATTCCGCGACCTTTGACAACACCGGGAGTACGTACAATACGAGTCGGATAATGAACGCCGACGGCACAGTTAACCAACAAGCTTACCGGGAGTATTCGCCTATGTTCCTTCCGGCCGCGTATGCTCTGACTTATGGCCTGGCTTTTGCTAATCTTACCGGAATCTTCGTGTACATCGGTCTATATCACGGCAAGGGCATTCTGAGCAACTGGAAAGGCACGGAAAAGAAGGATATCCACGCCCGCCTGATCGAGGCCTATAAAAAAGTTCCCTGGTGGTGGTTTGCGGCCATCACTGTTCTGATGTTCGTTTTGAGCATCGTGACCAACGAAGTGTGGCATACAGGACTACCTGTCTGGGCTGTCTTTGTGTCTTTCGTTCTTCCAGTCATCTACTTCATCCCTGTGGGGATCATCAAGGGCGTAACCAACATCAGCACCAACCAACTGAATCTTATTACCGAGTTTATCGGTGGCTACGCGTTACTCGGGAAGCCAGTGGCGAACATGGCTTTCAAGTTCTATGGCTATGTCGCAGTGTCGCAAGGACTCGAGTAAGTATTGGGAGCGTCTGAGGATAAAGCACAAGTGATTAACGTCGTCTCACAGATTCGTTGCTGACATGAAACTGGCACATTATCTCCATATCGCACCCCGGGCCGTCTTCCTCGCCCAAGGTATCGCCACCCTCGTAGGTGCGATTGTGCAGACAGGTGTGACAGTCTTTATGATCACTCGCATCAAAGGGATATGTGCCTCAAAGGACAATAACGGTTACTCGTGTCCACATGGCGAAGTCACCTATTCGTCCTCATTGATCTGGGGTAAGCTCCAAAGGAATTCCTTTCCCTGCGTATGCTAACGTTGTCCCCAAGGTGCATTGGGCCCCGGTCGCAACTTTTCGCCAGGTCAATTATACGGCAAACTACTCTGGTTTTTCTTGGTCGGACCACTTGCGGTTCTGGCAACGTGGCTGCTGTCGCGGAGATGGAAGTTTTTCAACTACGTGTCTTGGCCAGTCATTTTCGGCGCCATGGGTCTGGTGCCTCCTGCTACGGGTGTGAACTTCTCGTCCTGGTGGGTGGTGAACGTGCTCTTCAATGGTCTTCTTAAGAGGCGCAAACCGGCGTGGTGGACCAAGTACAGTAAGTTTAGTCCCGTTTACTTGGCAGCATGGGCCAAGCTTGTGTGGGCATTGTAGATTGGCTGACTCCTTTTTCCTTTTGAACCAGACTACGTGTTGTCCGCAGCCCTCGACTCGGGTGTGGCGGTCTCGACCATTATCATCTTCTTTTGTATCATCCTGCCCGGGGGTACACTCACCTGGTGGGGGAACACCGTCTACTCGCAAACGGCGGACGGTCAGGGTACACCCTGGAAGAGCCTGCCTGCGAGGGGATATTTTGGGCCCGCGAAGGGAACTTGGGAGTGACACCGCTGAGATGCATTATTGCGCAATGGTTGATGGATATCGGCGATTGAGCGAATTCTGTATGGGTGCGTTTTCGGATACTGATTTGTTTAATACACAGAGTAATAATACAATATACCCTCTCATTTAGAGACTCGTTCTTCATTATGAACTATTTACTGTTTCATCATTATCATGATTATTGACTATTGATCACCACAGGCTGTCATGAAGTCTATTTAGCGTGTAAATTAGCAACAGGAACACACGCCTTGCCGCGTAAATCAAGGATCCAGTGCTCTAGAGTACATGCTTGCATGCACTAGTTATATATATATAGTCTCTATCACATTGATGTTGCTATGAGTTCTTTGTCTATCTGATTAGCGAAATAATATTCTTGACAGGTCATAGACATGAACCCAGCACCGGTTGCAGAAATACATTTATTGTACGACACAAAAGAGAAATGATGAATAATAGATCCCTAAGCCTTCGGGTGCATCTTTCTCGTACAGTACAAAATATACACTACAAAGTATCCCACATGTTTAGTTATTAATTTCCTTCTTTAGTCTGCGAACTAACCGTAAACCTGACAAGAGATAGTTATATATAGCCCAGTTTCATATATTCCCGTCATGTTTCCTCCATATCTCTTGATGAGCTCTTGCGCCTGTTCTACTCCGTACACTAAGTGTTAAGAAGACGTGATTGATGAACACCCTTCTCGGTGTTGCATCACTGGTGGCTTTTTTTGCCCACTCTGTATGGATGTGGCTGATTTTGGTGCGCACGAGCATTGGGGCCATTTCTGAAGCCAACCATGGTTCCACAATGAACCGACCATCAAGAATGTTTGGGTGTTTTCTCTTCTGATACCTTGCCATTGCAGGATATTGCGCTGTAGAGACCACGATGGTTGTTCTTATGATGGATAGTCCCTGTGCAATTGACCTATCTCCGCCACCATGAGTGTTTCTGCTGTATAACTACTGTGCAACGGCCAGCAGATGATCTGTTGCGCAAAATAACGCCAGTGGAGGCTTGCCGCATAGCCGTGATCCCCCGTCTTTCAAGTTTCCCCCCTTTTCGCCCCTCTTCTAAGTTCCACAGTCGATCTATCCACCATTTTGTGTCTCATTGGTGATGGACTGTAGGATCGTCGGCGCCATAACCGCTCTAAGGTCAAGACGGTGTGCAGCCAGCGACGCCTGCTCATGGCTTCAAAGACTGATAACTGAGGCTCGGCGTTATCGGATCGTCAGACCTTCACTACTGGAGCGATGGCAACAGGGGAAATCCGTCTGCTAAGCTTCACACTCGACGGAGCGGCGCAAAAGCTTTTCTCGCGCAGTCGTTGGACGAACTGCCACCGGCGCTCGACATTTAGAGAAACTCGGTTGAACCGGGGCCCCTCTGGCTCCTCCCACGAGCGTTGGGCGGCGGATCTTGGTCAGGTTATCGTCCCATCATCTTCCCCCGATCCGCCTCGAACAAACGACACTGTCACCATCCCGTAGACTCGTGGTGATCATGGTGATGGCCGTTGCGGTTCGAGCCGACATCCTCCAATATGGCCGCCAGCACGACGGGCAGTGATCGGGATTTCCGCGAGCAGTTGGGCAAGTTCCGTCTCGACCCAGCTGTCGCCGCCAGCGTTACGTCCGAGCACACGCGGACAGACACCCAGCAGACGCGCAGCAAGCGTGTCTCTACGGCCTGCGAGTTCTGCCGTAAGAGGAAGAAGAAATGCGACTTCAGATACCCCAATTGCAGCGCGTGCACGCGCGCCGGTGTGCGCTGTACTGTCCTCTCTCAAGGTCAGCAGATCTTCAATGCTTCTGTGCCTCGAGATCAGCTTGAGAAACTCCAGAAGCGGGTGGAATGGCTGGAACATATCATCCGCAAGAAGACCGGGGCCGATGTCTCTGATACTCCAACGGGCAGTGCCGTGGACGGCGAAGGAGAGCTGGACTGGTGGTATCATGTCCCAGACCTCATCGCTGGGAATCAAACCGCGACCAGCCCTGGAGGGGCGACGGATTCCTCCAGCGCTGGGTCTCCTGGGATTGCTCCGGAGCTGCCTAATATAGGAGAGATCTTTCGTGATAAACTTGAGAACCGACGGCCGTCGACGGCCCGGCCAGCAGCAGCATCGCCAAAAGTCCTTCGGCTCTCTTCCTTCGAAGAGGCGCAGACAGTCGCGAGCGAGTATTTCGACAGTCTCGGATATCAGTATCCATTCCTTCACCGCGGGGAGTTCATGACCAACCTGCGGCGGATCTATAACGGGGAGACAGTCCCTGCGGACGCGCAATTCTCCTACCACATAACCATGGCTACGGCAGTACTGATCGGGTCGTCGGATGGAAGTATGTCGTCGTCGTTCTACAACGCGAGTCGGGAAACCCTACCACTGGCACTGCAGAATGAGGATCTCCCAGCGCTGAGGGCTCTCCTTAGCGTCGCCCTCTATACGATGTTCTCAACGTCCGGGCCAAGCGTCTGGCATGTACTTGGAACAGCGATGCGCCTGGCGACAAGTCTGGGCTTACACAAGGCTAAGCAACCGGGGCAGGCAGTAGATCTGGTGGAAGACCAGATGGGGAAGCGTGCTTTCTGGAGTCTCTACAACCTTGATCGTTTGACGGCTGCAACCCTGGGACGCCCAGTAAGCATTTCAGACGAAGACATTACGACGGACCTTCCGCGCGAGTACGACGACAATTGGATCGAGGCACCGGGCGCATGCGCCATGAGCATTCCTGTTCAGGTGGTCAGGCTGCGGCGCATCTTCTCCCGGGTCTATCGTGCGTGTAAGTATTTCCCTCACGATATTTCCATTCTACATCAGTCCCTAACATCGTCTAGTCTACAGCAATCGACCGCGTCCATCTAGAGAGGTGCTTGCTCAGATGATCAATGACTTCAGGACCGAGTTGGATGCCTGGCGTACTAACGCACCACTGCTCCTCTCCGCAATTCACTACTCGACTAGTTATTTTGATTATCTTTACTATACCACCTTATTACTTATGTACCGTCCCAGTCCTGTCAATCCCGCTCCCGATGACGCATGTATTGTGGGCTGCGGCGACTCCAGTATCCAGATCATCCGATCGTACTGGGACAGTTACTCCCTGGGGAAGATCAAATGGATCTGGTTGACCCTATGCCAGATCTATTCAGCTGGAATAACCATCCTATGGTGCATTGAACAGAATATTCGCGCCGTCAATGAGGGACGCCCCATTCTCTGGGAACCAAAGGATGACATGGTTCGCTATGGAGTCGATGCAGTGGTCGTGCTGCTCGAGGAATTTGGAAAGAGAAGGAACGGCGTTGACAGACTCGCTACGACGTTCCAGAAACAGAGCTCTGCCGTGCTCAGCAGAATGGTGCATTCGCCTCCGGGCATTGATGACGTGCTCTTAATGAATGGACCTGTCCCAGAGATCGATCCTAGCGTCGTTGAGCAATTGTTCTACGCTTATGATTGGTTTCAGGACGAAGTCGCAACATTCTATACCCTATAGGCTTGTCACGATGCCTGAGTGTTTTCACATCACATACGTCAAAAATGGGGTTCTATGGCCTCTTGTCCTGTAGGTTATCGCTGGTTCTCGGTCTGGGCAACCCTTGCCTATACGGCAATCCCCAGCACTATTTGACTCGGCCATTACCTTTCCTTCTGATGATGTCCTAAACGACCGGGAGAGACGCGCATGTGCTAGCCACAGTGTGCCCGCAGAGCACTTGCTGTCCCGTGCTTTTGAGACTAATCTTGTCGTCTTGGACAGTCAAACAACGGTTATCCACATTCACTGCGAAGATGTCAGAGTAGCAACTTGTGAAGGAGTCACTTGTTGCTGCTACCGCAGTTCACAAAATCGGCCCAATTCATGTAGTTCAGAGGGTTAACTTTGAGATTTAACCATGTCCAAGCGACTGTTGGACGCGTCTGATGGTGCCGCGAAATCGCATCAGGGCACTGCCGAGCACCTACGCTCTATGGGCTCAGTATCCTTGAACACCTCACGGTTATCACAGCTCAATGATGACTCAAACGTACCATGCCTGTGTATCGGACACCGCAGCCTTCACATGATGAGTCGGGCCGGTGATATACTATACAGATTCATGCTACGCTTTTCGATAGCCCTTCAAAGGGCGGTTGGACCAGGGAGTCGTTAGCTTGGGTCTGATGCCCACTAAGCCAGTTAATCCACCACTGGGCTCCAGAGAAATTGCCGCGACATATTCCACGGTCAAAGATCTATTCGCGGTGTCGAACTTGCCGCAGACATAGCTGACACATCTGCACCTGAGTAAAGGTGGCACTTGCAGTAAAGAAAAGCGCAAGAATTTATGACAATTGTTCAGATGAATTTATGATGTTTCCCTTGACGGCTGCTTCGGATTGCCTGTCTGTCTATACCCAAATATAAAGATTTCCGCCGACGTTCCGTCCTTTCCAAGTCATTCTAGATATCTAAAATGTCATTGCGGGAAGCTTGCGTTGATATCACTATTCCTTTCATCCTGTACACTTTTTTAGATTCTGTATCCATCAATACAGGCTAGATACAACTCCAACTAGGGTGCCTCTGGAATAAAGAGTTAGATGCACTCGATGTCGCATTCTCCACGAGTCACTGTTTGGTAGTTCGTATGTTACACATTATTTCTGAAATGGATCTGTTACCTGTACAGTGTTGGCTTTCTTTTATGGTTAGTGGTACTTCATTAGGTATGGTCGCTCCGATAGGCCGTATCGCAATTCAATCACCGCCTCGATTCTCCGTGTATAAACTCTCCTCACTTCTTCATTATGCTGATCGTTCCCTTCTACACTTACCTCGGCCGCACCCTTCGCCTCACCAGTTCGCACTGCGACTCCTTCTGTTTTCTTAGAAACGGCGGCTGCACCATCGAGTAATTTTCCATCTCTCGTGCCTTTCAGTCAGCTTTGGGGGATGCTGAACAGATTCCGTCTGCCTGTTCTTCTATTTTGATATTCTATGAGATCGTTGGGTCATCTACCTCTCCTACACTGATAGTGAAGCGTGTCTCGCTTTCGCAGACCTTTTATTTTGGCGCTGGATTCTTCGCAGCTTTCCTGGTCCAATCTAAGAAGCAAGATACTGATGTCCCAACGGTCGATGGGCACCAACTACAATCCAAAAACAAACCAACCACAAACAGGCTGCAAGGCTGAGACAACGACGCGAATCTCGCACTGCGCCTCCATCTACTGCTGTTACCTGTCCTTCGTCACGTGAGATATCTACCGCTCTTAACGTCCGCAATAACTTAGATCATCTATGTGACAATAATCATATCCGAGTTTTCATCCTGGCTACTTTTCCCGGCAAGAATGAATAGCGAAGATTGGACCAAACTGTTCTTTTCCGGGAACCCTCCCGATTGGATTAGTGTTTCTCCTGAAGATCAGAAAAGCTTCAGGACTTTTCACCATAAGAGAAAGTGGGTGCTGTGGAAATCAGTTGATAAGGGTCGATACCCTGCACCAGATCGAATTCAAGTTTTATGGCTCCTCGTGAAATACCACCAGGGCTATCGACGCATGTATGTTGCGAAAGTGGTCAGTCACTCTGCCGAGGCCAGTTTTCAATGTTTCCGATTGAAAGCTAATATCCAGTTCAGTTCCCGGAATATACTGAAGCACAAGCTCGAGCTCAGCTCCGTCGAATTCCTTTCTCACGTGATCCAAAGCAGGTCCGGGATGAACTCGATCCCTTTCTCAACGAAGCTCGAGTATTCCGTCGCATTGAAGAGCGTTGTGATAGCTCACGAAAAATCTATTTTCCCCAGTTTCATGGTGTAGTCACTGATATTGACCCTTCGACATTTAAGTCTGGGTATTCCAACCGGCGTGCCATTATTCTCGAGGCCATCAAGCCAGATCTTTCGTCTCGGCGGATCCTGGCTGCACATAATCGCGATTCCGACGAGCGTGTTGCACGATTCCATCAGCGGGTCCGAGATATCAAACCAAGCCTCAGTGCTTTTGAATCTGATTACTACAGTTCTCTCTTCACGGACCGGGTTCATCGGCTAGATGCACTACACGATCTTGCGATCACCCATGGCGATATACGAGATGATCATTTCAGGCTCCCCGGGGACTTCTACGATATGGTCCTTTATGACTTCTCTATCTCGTACACGTTCTCTCCTATACCACCTTATTTGGTGAACTTGCGGCGACCTCGACCACTGAAAGATATATCAGAGACAGAACAACTGTTCCTTGCGGAACAAGTATATGAACGGTATGCCCAGTATTCCAGCTGCTTAGTGCGCAACTAACCTGAATTTAGAGCTCAAAAGCGGGATTTGCGTGATCATCTGATTCAGTCAACCAGGGTCGCCGCAGAAGTCATCGAAGATGCACTCTTTCAGCCCCTCCAGGATGAAGAGCTGGAGTTGGTCATTTTCAAAGTTATGACACGACCGGATGGTAGGTTTCTTCTCTTCCCCCTTCCCACTGACTCATCATTTATAACCCCATAGCTTTCTCTATGCCCTCTCTCAGTTCGGTCTTTCCCTTTCTCGCAACCATTTGCCCACAGAATGATCCTACTTGGCATATCCGTAAGGGCCGGCAGCTGGACCACTATGCTCCGGCTTGGGTCTTTCTGGGAAGGTCGGGAAACTTATCAAATTCGGTTACGTTGATGACCATTGGCCACCATCAGGCCCCCAATGTTGGACTCTTGGAAAACGAAAGCGGGTACTATCTGCTTTGCCTGATTCCGAAGGAGTGGGAGATAGATGGAATACATAATAAACTGCGGCAAGTCTGCTCGTCCCTGGAATTCTCCAAGGTCTGGGGTTATATTATCAGACGGATAGAGTTCGATGATCATACTTGACACATCAGGTATGGGATGCACCAAGGAATAGAGTAACTTGTGGTAGTTCACATGGGCCAGAGCTCACTATGCTTATGGAGACTTTCAATCACGCGCAGGTGATCATATATATCACGTATCACAACATACAGACTTTTTAACACTGCGAGATGTCTGATTCGGTCTTCTAGATTGATATGGAACTGCTGGCCTAGACAACCCGATAATGCGATCAATATGCAGTCTTCCTCCCCTCACAATGCACGATCAGCGCCTACTGGATTGAATATCGTTGGCAGCTAAGGATCCACGAACTTGTCAGACAAATCGGCAACCGGAATCGCTGCCTCTGGCCGTGGGGCTGCTGTTATCAGCCAATAATTTCCTACGAATAACATAATATGTGAGGTTGGCGCTACATACCATACCCACAAATTATTATATAGAGAATGGCTCTTCCAATGACCGTCTGTGCTTGGATATAGACTGACAGAGAAGTAGTCTTAAGGGCTTGGGGAAGTGAACTGGCGTAGTATGAGCGGCTCTTTCTGAACGGGTATTGTGTCTTAACATGAGCAAAACTCCCAACTTGGCCTTTAGCATACTTGGCGAAAAAGGAAAAGAGAAAGCGATATCGACAGGCTAGACGTATATTTACATATTGATTCTGATCTCATCTTCTGTAGTTATACAATATACCGCATCTGTGAAAACAAATTCAATGCTTATCACGGGTATAATACGCAGCAAAGTGCGTAACCTGACGGGATATATTGATGGATAAGTATATCCAACCTGAGTTTAAAAAAACGTGCTGACCGATGCGGTTGAAGTATCGGGTATGAGACGTGCCTATCGCAAACAAGCTCTTTCTATGACCGATGTCGCCTGCCATATAATGCTATTTCTTCTTCTTTTTTTCTTCTGGAGTATAGTGACCAGCACCTCTAAATCTCCGAACCATTTTCCTTCGTACCCCAACAGTATTCCACCTTTTGTTCGTGTCGACCGTATCCAAGCCCCGAAATTCCAAGACCAGCTCAACCGTCTCGCTTCTTGAGCAACTCGACAATGTGGTCGTTTAACCAGTATCCGCTCAATTCCTCCTTGGACATTGTCTTTGCCCCCGAAATCCAGCCGCGACAGATGCCTTCCCCTGCCCCGCAGTTGCAGTTGAACGGTTGATCCATATCCCACTCGGTGCTCGGATAGAAAAAGGTCAAGGCATCACCGGTCTTGAGCGGCTTGTTGTCAACCACTCTAACCTCCATCTTTCCCATATCGAAATTGAGAGACGGCGCACAGGAGTGGTTACAGAAAACCAGGTCGGAGTTCAATTCGATATGGGTATCCGGACCGGTCTGGACGGATGTATAGGCCTTGGTTCCCGGTGTTGCTTCGGTGATCTTGGCGAAGAGTGCGCCAGCGGGAAGGTCGACGAGAGATACGGCGCCGGAACCGAACGGCTTGTTACTTCTGATGACCTTTATCAGAGTGGGATGCGTCGGAGGTGGTGGCTGCACCTGGACAGGCTGGGGGTCTGCCATTGGAGCCATTATGCCCTTGGTAGGATAGAGATAGGTGGTTCGAACCGCGGAATAGAAAGACGGACGGGAATTGAGGGCTGAAAGGCAGTTTCTGGATGTGCGCTAGTTTGAAAGGATGTACCTGTCAAGGCGAGGGATGTGGGCGGACAAGATCTATTTATTGTTATTTTATGCTTCCCTTCAGATAGCCCAATGGTGACTCCGACCCGAGGTCATTGGTCCCGGTGTATACTGCGGACAAGCGCAGCCAATGGCATTGTCTCGCAAACGGTCCGATATGCGGCGGGGGTCAAATGGGACAGAAAGATTGACTTCGAAACGCTTCCATCAGTAGTGCGCGGGTTGGGCATCCTTTTTGTTCTTTCCCTTCTACCGAGGACGGTTGCGGAAAGATGGAAAACTGCGGCGCTTGAGCCCCACGACGCCGGTGGATCGTGATTTTATCTCTGTATCGGTATCGGACGGACATGGTCATTATTATCATCATGAGACGCTGAAGGAACTTGCAATGCGCGGGGTCAGTAACGCCGAGGAGTTGCCTGACAGGAACAGGGTGGAAAAGAATCCACGCAGTAAGCACTTGGAGACACATGCTTTAGCACTCGGACGGTGCATCTTCCAAGCCTATAATTGCATATATTATGAGTATCGTGAAGATGTCAGATCTCTCTCTCCTATGGTTCAACGGTCTCTCCCCCACATGCACGTAATAATTCATTGAGATCCCGGTATCGCTTGCTCTCGTTTGGAATAGTTAAACGATAGTTAAACTATCTAACTAGACTAGCGAATCATACATGATGTCACGGTCACAATCCCTTTTGCGACGTCTCGGATAACTAGAAACGCAGAATCTATACCATACCATACATATTTTGTGGGATACCAAGTGCTTAGGTACCATAGGCAAATAATAATGTAGTTCTTCTTGATAATAGGTTCTCGTCCACTCGTCCGTTAAGTACACGCCGTTCCGGAAGCGGGCTGAAGATGTGCTGCAGCAAGCATGTGGTCTCAGCTCCTCGCAGGATTATTCTCCACGCGGCTTGACTACTTAAAAAGTTAACGCGGTAGACTGGGTCGCATGTGTTGGCTCTCCTCTGCTAGCAATTAGAGGTACTAAAGAAGACGGAGAAGTAGGTAAAAGCTCTTGTATGGTCGGGTTCTCTTTCTGTCGATAGGAAGCGTTGCATAACTGCCAGGGATTAAAAACTATGCCATTTCGCGAATGAAGGTCGTTTGAACAGAAAAATAAATGTCGGTAGCTTTTATCGTCCTGTACAGTACATGAGCTCAATCGTAACGTAAATGAATAATCACTTCGATGTACATACAATTAGGCAGGCTTCAACGTACTGGTCGAAGAAGCCCAGTAAAATCTTCCGGTTTCCGATCTCTCTGGATGCTGGTAATATTGCTATGCTCAGGAGTATCTTCTAGATCATATGTGGAGACTAGGATAGCTTGGAAATTGAGATACAGTACTATCCCGATTAAAGAAAAGACGTTGCTAAGGTTGCAATTGCAGACTTTGGAAATTTCTAAACAGCTAGCCCATGTTCGCTTCGATGACAGAGCATCGCTCAGCACATGCTAGTTATACCTTGACAGATTTACCTCTGACGTAGACCTTTGCGATGTTCCGATCATCGCCTGACATCAAAAACTTCTCCCAGATAATCTCATTAGAATCCTCATCCTCTATTGGCGTTATGATGCTTGGGTGTTCTGTGTCCTCGGTATGGATCTCCAGAGCATCAAATTCTTTACCGACTTTGAAATTTCCAATCTTATCATCCAAGCAGCAAACCTGCGCACCCCCCAGCGTCGCGAGGAAAAAACATTCCTTCAGCGATAGCGATGGATCTTTGCCCTTCGTGAGGACCTGTCGGGCGTTGGATACGATAAATGCCTGTCGCATAGCATCGATAATCGACGCCGAATAACCCCCGCCACTGTCGGTTCCGAGTCCGACTTTGATGCCTCGTCGCAAGTACTCGCGGATGGGAGCGACCATATACACGCCAGCAGTGGTGTTGGAGATGGGACAGTGAGACACGCCACAATTCAGTGCTTTCAGACGTCCCATCTCGTACTCATCGACGTAGATGCAGTGAGCCAGTATAGAGCGTTCGTTTAGCAGATTAAAATGCTCGTACAAATCTGCCTCGTTCTTGAACTCGGGAAATAACTCTCTGGTGATCTCCATCTCCTGTTCTGCCTCGTTGAAGTGGGTTTGAATAGGTAGATCTGGGTTCTCTTTGGCTATCTCGCCAAGGCCAGCCAGGACATCATGCGTGCAGGAAATAGCGAAGCGGGGCGTCAAGATTGGAGTGACGAGGCTTTTCTCTGGATCGATTGCCCGTACATGAGCGATGAAGTCGCGCGTCTCTTGTATAGACTCCTCGGCCGTGAGATCGCGGTACCAGTCTGGAGCGTTGCGGTTCATATTGCACTTTCCGACGTAAGCTCGCTGGCCCTTTTCCAGACAAATCTCCGCGAGGATTTTGGTTGCCTCACAATGCTTCGATCCATAATATGAGGCTGTCGTGATTCCCTGTTTCAGAAATCCCGATACACAAGAGGCATAGGTGCGCTTCGCATATTCCGGGTCTTCGAATTTGGCTTCATGAGGAAAGGTTACCTTATTCAACCAGTCCATAATGACAAGGCCTCTGCCAACTCCACGTTGGGCCCATTGTGGTGCATGGTTATGGGTATCTATGAAGCCCGGACAAAGAAACTCTCCTCTTTTCAAGTACTTCACTGGGAATACGTCGGGTGTGTATCCGACCTCGGAGACGATGCTGTTTACCTGATCCTTGCTGACGTTTTCCCGGAGTGCTTCGATCTTCCCGTCTCCTCCGACGACTAGCAGTCCATCTTCGATGATCTCAAGTTCATCTACGTCGAGTGAATGGATAATCGTGCCGTGAAATGCCAAGGGTAGCCCACTGCCCTTGGGTGTCGCCTCTGCGGCGCTAGAATCCATCTGTCTCAGATGGTGGATAACGGTGAAACAACTGTCAGTAGGGAATACTGGACAAAATTGAGAATATGATGGATAAATGGTTTTGAGTCCACAGGGCGAAGGGTTCAAAGTATTCGAAGTGCGTTTGAAGCAAAGACCTCCCTTGCTGGTCTGACGCGGGGTGTTGGCGGTTTCTGGGCGCTTTGCGGGGGAGCGATGATAATAATAAGTAAGTGCCTAACAACAACAACCTTCGGGCGTTTCCGTCCAAGATGAGTAGCAGGCGCGCCTCTCTTCTTCTTCCAACTTCTCTGCTAACCTGACATTTTGCTCATGCATGACCTGGTTTCCATCTCCCTGGGCCTCTGTTATTTTCCGTGATGGTATTATGAGAAAGCAGCTCCCCATGGCTTAGAGATCGATCTAATAACGCGCTCGAGAGCCTTATCATGAGCCTAATTGCCTCTGATCGCCTACACATCCCCTGTGGAGATACGAAGAGACTATATATGATACGACGCAGAGACATACCAAGCATACAACCATAGACAGGGATGTTATCGTTCTTTATCATCGACCAACTGTGCACTACCACAAGCGTGCGATTACGGTAAAAATAGAATGGGCAATATTTAGACCCGAATGAGCGCCAGGTAAAGACTGCCCTAAAAAAAAAATTCATCTGAATTCTGACTGCTTCCCAGTCTGGTCATCAATCACCCTATTAAACCAAATCAGCTCCTGAAAACCTTCCTCTTCCTCCAGCTGCAGACCCATCTTGACCGTCCGATCGTTGTCAAACCTAAACTCTGCCATAAGAGGGACATCGCCGCCTTCCCAGAAATCACTAAAATGGGCAATATACTTCGTCTGCTCACCGATATGGTCGAGCGTAAGCGTGAATCCCATCGATCGATCCGTAGCGTCAATGAAGAGCTTATCATTTTTGGTCTGGACCGTTATACCGCGGTAGCCCGGGTTCCAGTACCTGCCCGTGTACGCGCTGAGCGGCATCTTCTGCGGCTGGGTCTCCTTGATTCCCGGACAGAGCTGTTGCCGAAGGTCTTCTTCGGAAGGGTCATTCACATTGTCTCCGGATTCGAGTTTGTTCCAATCCGGTCGTTCAGCTTCCGGCACTCGGAGCAACTCGTCGATCAATTCGTGTCCCAAGATAGAGGCGACCGGCTCCCCGTCGCCTGAATTCCCGAAGATGACCCCGCCGAACTTCACATCAGGCAGGAAGAAGTGCCAGCTGCCAAAGCCAGCTACTAAGCCAGAGTGACTGACAATCTTATGACCCCTGTAGAAGAATGTCCCCAAACCAGCACCATACGCTCTTGGCGAGGTGAATGGGGGTAGGTGTTTCTCATCAGGGTTCTCGAATGATCGCGACCTAATAATACCCTTGTAGACTTCTTCTGTGATGGGGTCCTCGTGGTTCATTAGAGCCTTGATCCATCTGATATAGTCGTTGACACTGGTAATAATAGACCCTGCACCTTGGGCCTCGGGGCAGTCTGGAGTTTGGAATCCTTGGTATTTTTGGTCGTTTTTGTCCCATACATATCCGGTAGCGATGCGGTCACCAAGACCCTTAGCTCGAGCACGTTCGGGCTGGAGGTTAGTCGAGTGCATACCCAGCGGACTGAAGAAACGTTCGTGGAGGAAGTCAGCAAATGGTCGCTTCGTACTGCACCTCAGGATATTTTTCATTGTCGTTGACCAGCAATCCAACCGATGCGCCCGTTAGAGACTTCCCAACAGACGCAGTGTCGAAGAGTGTGTCTGGTGTACACGGCTTGGACGGGTCCAGTGACGCCTTCCCATAACCTGCTGAAGCAATTGTTTCGTTCTGCACGATAGCGATGGCAAGACCGGGCACATGGTATTGTTCCATAAGCTCTTCCACACGGGAAGAGAATTTTGGAGAGTGGAAAAGATCCATTTCTGTGTGTGTTCGTGTCAATCAAATGCGAAACGCTTTTTCGGCCCTTTGGTTAGAGAAATGCTAAACCCTTTCAACGAGCCAATGATGCAGAGTTAATGTTCACTGTATAGCAAGATCATCTTGATGCCTGGCTGGTGGATTTTTGGACCTTTTTATATACAAGACTGTATTGTTGTCGAATTCATTCTCTCGACATGAGTCAAAATGAGTAAAACGGGCTTTGTTGCCTGGAGCTGAGAATAATCAAGTGATAGCCTGAGTTAGACTAGGTAGTTAGCGTATATACATAGTGGCCTGCGGGGTTCAGAAACAACAGTTGTACGGAGTAAAGGGTTGCAGAGGTTATGCATAATCCCAGCTAGTCACAACAGTTATAAACGCTTCAACGTGCGAGCATATTCTATTGGGTTCCTGGAATGGTTGTCAGCGTTTCCAGGAACGCCTGGCGCCGAAGAATGGTTTGCGCCAAATAATTGCTTCATGCCGGAATTTGCGAAAATGTTGCTCTATGCCAAAAAGAGCGTGGATTGTGTCAGTATGGGATTCTCCTAGCTAGTTATTATTACGAAAGCTTCTCGCCGCTTCCTTCAAAAGCGCTGCAGCCTCTCCATGGATTTGGCAAATTCCTGCTTACTACCTGTTGGATATGCCGGGACCATGTCGATTTGCTTCGCATTTGTCGGTGCTGTGCTTTATGTGGATCGAACTGATATGAATCTCTTGTCTTAAAAGGCGATAAAGTCCTGCTGGACAGAATTGAGATCAATAATATTCAGTGGAGCATTTACAATATTTGCACTCATATCCTTACGGGTCCTGGAAAAGAAAGAAATATACGCGTAGGTAAGCGTGTACTAGGAAAGACGAAGGGCCTCTTGCTCGGGCGACCATTTCAACTCCTAGTGAGATTCGATTAATATGATGCAGTTTCCGGAATGGTCCCGTGCCGTGGTGGCTTCACCGATTCGCGGTAGAGAAGAAGTGAGAAGGATGACGACAGTTTGCATAGACGATATTCGAGCTAGTTCTATGTATCTACTAGGCTGCTGCTGGAGTCACTGCAACAGCGTGTTTCCAAGATCTTTCGGTCTGAGGACCATTGCAATTCCGGCAGGATAAGACGCCATACTCGGTCCATTATTATTACTCGGTAGACCGAGGTAATACTTCACTATCACTGCGCGCCGGAGAACTAAGTACATACATACTTAGTCTAATGCCGACAATACTCCGGTTTCTGCGCACCTGGCCCGTCGTCGGATCATTCATGGCTGCCGTCGTTCGGCAAACACATCTTGAATCCTTTGCTGACCACGTCGGGGTTGTTCCCGTAACGAGTCAAGTAGGGATCGGTGAGTGCGAGGACTCTGTAGATGATGAGGACACGGCAAATGTGTTCCTGCAAGTCCTTTTGCACCTACTGGATTGAAGGGTCAAGAATGATGGATTGTTACCTTCGTTCCTTCACTGATGTTTTTGTTCCTGAGTATTGGGTTCTTTCAGCTCCTGCCACGCCGCTTTCGTCAGAATAATGGTTGTCCTAAGACAGACGTCGTTCACTTTTGCTCAATTTAGGCGATATTCAACGGTCTACTGTTCCTCTTCCCGGTAAGATGGAAGACAACTACACGAACGAATGGATATTAGCCAGCCCAATTGCCCGATCGTTTGACGGCATTGGAGGGAGCCCCGAGAGGAATTCGGTTAATTGAATGGAATGCAAAATCAAGGCGATTCTCGGCGCAGCGAAAACAGCCGACTGGATGGCGCCGACAAGCCGGGGATGATCTTTTGGGTGTTGCAACGCTAAGCTTCTCTCCACGGATGACGCAGCCCCCTGACCCCAACTTTCGATATGCTTCCCCATGGGCAGCTCGGACGCTAGTTTCGGGGTTTCTCCAGACTATCTGATACGATGCTTGTCAACTTGTTCGACATGAAGTCATGGTTTCTTTTAGCGCTGTCTAGGCCATGCATTTCGGCAGCGTGTCCAGCGTGGCCGGGAAAGCATTCAGTTTTGCGAAGGCGGAGGGCATTGCGGCCCGGTTCATACATATTAAGACGGTCCCCAGTCTCCTAGATGAGATGTTTCCTCCTCCACGCAGAACAGTTCTCGCAGCTGGGAGTGGTCGGTGTCGTCTTCAGTCACAATGTATACCATCACCAACATCTATGGTATGTCTGTTTCTATGCTTGACCTGTCATGTACTGTACATGATTCCGCTAACCCGACGGCAGTCCTCGCTGCCTTTGGCACCATTGGAGGTGCCCTTTTCGGCTTCGATATCAGGTAAACATTGTTTGAGGAGAGACGCTGGTAGACCATCTCACTAACGCTTGGTGTAGTTCGATGAGTGCCTGGATAGGGTCGAAACAATATCTAGACTACTTTGACAACCCGGATTCTAACCTGCAAGGAGGAGTACGGGCATCTTCAGTTACCTTATCAAGACGTCCAAGCTAATGATTTACTTGTCTCTAGATTACAGCATCTATGTCTGCTGGGTCGTTTGCCGGTGCTATTGCTGCTGGTTTCTTGTCGGACCAGATCGGTCGTCGTTATTCCTTGATGATTGCTGCCTGTATATGGGTAATCGGAGCCGCCATTCAATGTAGCGCTCAGAATGTGGCCCATCTGGTTGCGGGACGAGTCGTTAGTGGGCTTTCTGGTATGAACACTTCTAGTTCTGACTTATGGAGATGATATAATGAACTGACCTTCTCTCTGCAGTCGGTGTGACCTCCTCCCAGGTCTGCGTTTATCTAGCTGAACTGGCCCCCGCACGCATCCGAGGTCGCGTCGTCGGTATTCAGCAATGGGCAATCGAATGGGGTATCCTAATCATGTACTTGATCGCTTATGGCTGCTCCGTTGGTATAAGCGGGCCGGCCGCTTTCAGAATCTGCTGGGGTATACAAGGTATCCCAGGCCTCATTCTGCTGGCTTCTCTGTTCTTTTTCCCTGAGTCGCCTCGTTGGTTGGCTGGAAAGGAGCGATGGGAAGAGTGCCTCGACACCCTGGCTCTCATCCATGGAAACGGCGACAGAAATAATCCTGTAGTACAGGTCGAGTTTGAGGAAGTCCGGGAAGCAGCACGGGTTGCCCATGAGGCCAAGGACATCTCATTCTTTGCACTGTTTGGACCGCGTATCTGGAAGCGTACTGTCTGTGGCATGTCGGTGCAAATGTGGCAGCAGCTGCTAGGTGGCAACATAGCATATTTCTTATAGTTCTCTTTTAAAAGAGTAAAAATAGATTTCCCCTTCTTATTTTCTATAATATTCACTAAGAATATAATAGTAGTAAATTAATATTTTAACCTTTAATAGAATTTAATCCCTATTAGATTTAATATTTAATATAATATTAAAATAGTTTATTATAAATCCTCTTATTATTACACTTAAGTAGACTAAATTAGATTTATTAAAGCTTTAATCTAGTAAAGCAGTATAATAGAGAACTTTTATTAGTATTATAAAAGTATAAGAAGGTTAAATTCTACTAAGTCCCGCGAGAAGCGAGGTTACTAATATATATAATATAACTGGCAGAATAAGGCGGTGAGCCCTAAAGGCGGTAAGCCCGCGGGTCTTCTCTGTAATACCTCTATTAATTTAATATTTAAGAGATATTAGACGCGTTTATTAATTAATATCTTAATCTTATATTCTGCTATACTATCTTATTTTATACTAACTAGCTTAGCTAGTATAAGGATTTAATTAAAGAAGTCTTTATTATATATAGTAAGTTTAAGATAAAGAATTTTTATATAAGATATAATTTATTTATTTAGTTATAATAAAAGATTTATCTATAAGTCTTTATAATTATTTAGATTATTAAAGTAAGAGTTATTAAATATTTCTTTTTATTTCTTAATCTTATTATAGTTAGAATTTTTAATTTTATTTTAATAAAATATCTCTTTTTTATTATAATAAAAAACTTTATTTTCTTTTTAAAAAAAAGATAAAATTTTTTTAAAGCTTTTCTCTTAATTATTAGTACTATTCTTCTTTTTATTTAAAAGTATATATATATTTAATATAAGATTAAGTAAGATAATAGATTAAGTTATTAGTTAATCTTTTAAATTCTTTATTAATACTATACTTAATAATACTTTTTAGAGAATATAGTTAAAAAGAATAAGGAATAGACTTAAATTACTTAGACTAATCTATAGTCTTATAAAGGCTAATATTACTTAGGGAGAGAGAGTATTAGTAATATTTTAGATTATAAAGATAGTAAGTAAATCTTTATTTAAGTAATAGAGTTTTTATAAAAAGCTTAGAGAAAGGTTTTTCTAAGTTTCTTAATTTTATTAAAATAAAATTATTCTTAAAGATTTCTTTAAAGTAAAATTTATAGTATATTTAATATTTATTAGTTTTAACTATTATTTTATAATACTTTTCCTTAGTCTAGACTTATTAAGTTAATTAATCTTAGTTAATTTAAAAATCTTAAGAAGTTTATCTTTAATAATAACTTAGTAAAACTATCTACTATTATATCTTATATTTTAATAAACTTAATACTAATTCTATTTCTTTAATATAGATTATATATATAGTAATATATAATATTAATATACTTTAATCTTTTATAAGTATAGGTATCTCTAATTAATAATAATAATATTTAATTATTCTTATATATCTTTATTAAGAAGCTAATAATAAAAGTTTATTCTTTTTTTACTTTTAGTTTAAACTTATTAAGACTAATATAATATCTATACTCTATATCTCTTAATAGAAGGGCTAGCTATTAGAATTATTTTATAGTTTAATATATAGCTATATATTTAGCTTCTATAGTTAAAGTTATAATAGATTAATGCGAATAATAATAAAATAATAGTTTTAGTAGCTTAAATACTAGAATTTTAGATAAATTTAGAGAATAAAGCTTACCCTCTTCTATTTAGCGGGAGAAGAAGACTATATTTAACTAATACTTATATAATAGAATACTTATATCTCTATATCTCTCTTTAGCTATTCTATTAGTAGATTTATATTAGAATCTCCCCTTTTTATTAAGCCGATATTCTTATTATAACCCTTTTATATTTTTTATTTAGCTTCTATAGTTAGAAATAGCTATTCTATTTTTTATCTATAAAAATATTAGTATATTTAATAATTATAACTAATTCTATAGTTATATCTATTAATTAAAAAATATTTAGTTTATTTCTATTATTTATAAATAATATCTATTTTTAATTCTAATAGGTTTTTTTTTAATTATTATACTTATTCTTAAACTATAATATTATAATTTATAAATATATATTAATATAGAAAAGTACTAATAAAAAGAATTATATAATATTAAGAAATTATATAAAAACTTAAGCTATAAGGTATAATTAGATATAGAAAAAAAGGGTATTATAGAATAATCTAGTATTATATAAATAGAACTATATAGTATATATATAGTAAAAAATAGAGAGATATTAATCTAAATATATAATATAGCTAAGAAGAATAGTCTAACTATAACTCTAATTATATAATACTATTATATAATATAATTATAAGTTCTCTATAATATATAATTAAAGTCTAGTATTAGTATTCTCTATTAATATTAAAGAAAGAAAAAAAAGAGAATATATTTACACTATAAACTAATACTAATATTAAAAGATAAAAAAGGTAAAAATAATTATAAAGGAATATATAGATCTATTAATAATAGTTATTTCTTAGGCTTAAACTTATAAAGGTAATATTATTAACTAAATATATAAAGATTAAAATAGATATTAAGATAAAAGTAATATAGATTCTCTATAGCTTACCCTATAGTAAGGTAGCGAGGTATAGGGAGAGAACTGGTAGTACTAGACCGCCCTAGGCCTAGTATTTAGTAGTAGTACCCCTTCTAGAGGGAGAATTAAGCTTCTTTATCTCTCTATCTCTACCTTAATAATACTATAGTTATCTCTGTAGAGTTCTTCTATATAGGGCTATATTAAAATAGTAATATATCCTTTATTAAATAAGGTCTCTAATTATAGATTTTAAGTTTATATATTATTTTTTATTATTTATTAATATAGATTTAGCTATAGGGATTCTATACTATTAATTAATTATTACGATACTATTTATTAAATTATTAGTAATAATTTCTCTATTAAACAGAAATTTTATCTATTTTCTTTTTCTTTATATCTCGCCCTAACCCTTCTAATTATTATTAAGCTATTATATTAGTTATTAGTAGTATAACTATTATTAAGCTATTAATATCTTATTAGTATTTCTTCTATTAATTTTATATTTATTCTTATTGTTTTTATTATTATCTTTAATTAATTTATTTATCTCTAATTTAATATATCTAAGTAACTAGAAGATAAACTAAAAGAAGAATTCCTAGATCTTTTAGAAGATATTATAGAATTAGGATTTTAATTAATAATATTTTATAAAATTAAGTTATTATATTAGAATTACTTTAACTAAGAATTAATTAATTAAATTAATTTTATAGTATCGAACTATTTACTATCTTTAGTAATACTAGTCTAATTTTATAACCTGTTATTAATAATAGTATATTATTTAATAATATAAAGTAAAGTACTATTAAAATAAGCCTTTATTTTTTCTATAAAATAAATAATTAACTAATTCTATATATTAAAAGCTATACGGAGCCTTAAATAGAGAATAGCTAATATACTATAGCTAGTATTAGCTACTAATATTCTTTCTATAAAAGAAGATTTACTTTAATAAACTTATAGTAATACTATATAGTATTATACTACTAAAAAGAGTATAAAGTAAATTATAAATTATATTATTAGCTAGTATATAATTATAAATAAACTCTATAAATTAAATATTAAGTAATTCTAGTAATAGAACTAATATATTTATATTAGACTAGTAGACTAATAATAGAAATAGTAGTATAAATAATAATATAAGAATATTAGATATAATATAGTAAATACTAGATTAAAACTAGGCTTTAATTAATTGCCTTTAAGAATTATAGAATTAGAGTTATAACTAAATTAATAGAGAAATACTTAATATAAATAGAGGTTTACTAGTATTCTTATAGAAATAAAATAACTTAGATTATTTTTATCTAAATCTTAAGAATATAGATTATACTAGAAATAGATTAATAATTAATATTAGGAATTATATATATTATTATAATATTCTTATTTTTATTAATAGAATCTATAATCTTATAGTAATTAAAGGGGAATTAATTATCCGGACTTATATTTATATATTACTTTATAGTATAACCTTACAATAGTTTATAGTAGAATTAATAGACCTTAAAAAGAACTCTTTATATTATCTAACTATTAAAGTAGAGTAAATCTCTACTTTTACTAAATAGTTCTAAAAGAACTCTACTATAGTAATATAAAAATTAAATTAGTTTAAATATATAATAATAGATATAAGGAATAGATATAATTTATAAGATTTTATTTAATTAGTAATTAGATTATATTAGGCTTCCGGTATAGATAATATCTATAATTAGCTTCTTATAATATAGAACTAATTAGATTTTAATCTTAAATATAATATCTATATATTCTGGTTAAATACTATACTAGGAGATTTTATATATAAAATAAAGAAGACCTTTACTATATAATAATAATATTAGTAGAATAATTAAAGATAGAACTAAATAAACCGATATCTCTTTAATACTCCCTATAGTAACTAAAGAAGATTTCCTAATACCCCTTTTAATAATCCTAGAAATAAATATTAGAACTTATATAATATATAATATATTAACCAGAAGAATTAAAATAGACTATAGTTTAATTAATAAATATAGTTATTCTCTTATTAAAATACTAGTTTCTAAAATTTCTAGAATTAATATTAGTAACTATTATAGTAATAATAATACTTATAATAATTATAATAATAATAATAATAGATATAATAATAATAGTAATTTTATTTATTATTTTCTTAGTGCCTATATTAAAACTAGAATTATTATTAACTAGAACTATAATAATAAGATACTATACTATAAAGAAACTTTAGTAATATAATAGGCTATTAAAATACTATATTAATATAGGTTTATTATAGAGATACTAATAATAACCTTATAGAAAGTAATATTAATCTAGAGTTTAAGTTAAATAATAAATAATATTAGAATAATATATAATATAGTAGTTTTAAAGATAGATTTTATCAGGGTATTTATTATATAAATTAAAAT